TAGTTCTTCAATATTCAGTTTATGTTCTCCTAGCTCCAAATCTTTTTCTGATAATTTTTTAGCTGACAATTTGCCCTTTTCTGTCAAGTCTTGTAAATTCTGTTCTAACAGGGTCTTGGCAGATTCTAACTCGAAAATCTTTTTTCTTTGTTCAGTCGATATTTTATCACAGTCGGTCTCAAGTTCATTAATTTCTTTTAACTTGTTTTTCAACTTCTCTCTTGAAGATTCCAACTCATCTTCCAATTGATTCTTTCCTTGCTCAAGTGAATGAATTTGTTTCTTCAAATCGTGTTCGTTTTGAGATTGTTCTTTTTCTAAAGTTTTCATTTTTTGCATCAATTCATCAACCTCTTGTTGTTTTGCAAGCTTCAATTCATCTAGTTGTTTCTTGAGAAGAATACAATTTTCACAATTTGCCTTTTCTGCCAATTTGAGTGTTATATCCTCTATTTCTTTTGTTAATTGTTTGACTTGGTCTTTTAGATTGTTATTTTCGTGTTGTGAATCAGTGTGTTCAAAATTCTTGAGTTGTGAAATGTAGTTTCCAATTTGAATTTGATAGTCATTTTCGAGTTCTTCAAGCTTTTTCTTTGTTTCTCTCTTTTGGTCATCAATCTTGGACATTAATTTGTTCTCAGATTCTTTTAGGTCTGAATTTTCCTTGACAAGATGGTCTAATTTATCTTGTAGCTTCTTCTTTTCGTGATCAACCTCTTCCTTCAAGTCTGACAACTTGTGTTCAGATGTGATAATCCTAGCACTTAGTTGTTGAATCTCATTATTCTTCTTTCTAATTTCCTCTATGTGAGCTGTGTCCTTTGCACTGGTCAAGTCTGAGAATTTTGAAATTTCATCTTCCAGATTCTTAATTCTCTTTTCTCTTTCTTGTACAGTGTGTTCCAGTTTCTTTCTAGTATCTGCAGTGTCCTGTTGTAACTTGGCTAACTCTTCTTGAGTTTGCTCAACTTGCTTTTTGTAAATGATTAACAAACTCAACTTCTGTTCCATAACAAGTTTGTTCTCCTTTTCTGATTCCAAGTCAAGCTTTGCTTGGAACAACTCTTTTTCTATCTGCCTGTTCTTTTGTTGTAAATCCTGGAACAAGTTAACATTAGACTTAGCATCCTCTGTTAGATGGCTATTGGATGATTTGAGAATTTGAATGTTATGATCCAACAAGTTCTTTTCCATCTCCATTTTAGAAGCTTTGGATTCCAACTCCAACATGCTAGAATTCATATTCTCTATGGTCTTCTTCAAAGAATTGATAATTGTGTCCTTAGACTGCACACTGTGTTCTGCTTGTTCAAGAGATGCCTTTTGTTGATTCATCAATACATTTAAATTCTGTACCTTGATAGATAAGGTACTATCTGATGTTTTGAGATTGTTGAGCTCATCCTGTAACAGCTTGATTGTTGTTGATTTTTCAGAATTTGATAACTCTATCGTAGAAAGGTAGTGATTAGTCTCTTGTAATTTTAGCTTTAGCTTTTCCACTTCTTCTTTGTGTTGTTGAGATTGTTCATGGATGGAAGATTTAAGTTTACGCTTTTTCTCCTTAGAGATGGCTATTTGATTGTCCTTACTTTCTAGTTGGGACTTGAATTGTTGAAGTGTTGAATTGAGGCGTTCAGTTTCATTCAATAGCTTGTTTTCCTTTTTTCTTAATAAGTCTATTATCTCCGTAACCATATATCCTGTTTCTGATTCTTGAAGTACTGTGTCATCTGGAACCAGAGATTTTAGCTTTTTACAAACATCCTCAATTAGTTTGGATTGGTTATCGATATGTTTTGACTTTTCCTTAAGAACCTCATTGAGTTTCTTGAAATCTTCTTCTTTTGTCAAACAAGTTTGATTCAACAAAATAATAGATTTTTCTTTTTCATCCAATTTCAACTCCATATTTTGCAATTGGCTCTTGAGAGAATTCAGATTTTCAGTTAGTTTCCTACTAGATTCCTTTTCTACTTCCAACTCTTTTTTGAGTTGAATGCCTTCTCTTTCTGCAGAGTGTGTTTTTTCCTTTTGTTTTTCAAGCTCATCTTGTATGGTTTGTTTGGACAAATCAGCTTGTTCTTTAAGCTTTTTGAGATCACTAATCTTGATATCTTGACTCTGAATTGACTCTTTTGCGGAGCTCAACTCTCTTTCGAGGTTGCTTTGCAAAGTGAAAAGTTTAGATATCTCATCATCTTTGGATTTTAGTTTGAGACTAAAGGTTTCCTCTAGTTGTTGTTTTTCGTTTTGGTAAGCATTTTTGTCTTGTTTGAGTTGTTGCTTTAGTTCATCTATTAATGCATCAGAAATGGAAATCTTACTTTGAAGAGATTCAATGGATTGCTTGTCGGAGAGAATAGAGCGATTCAATTTTAATAGCTCATCGTTGTGCTTACTTTCAAGAGACCTCTTTTGTTCATCCAAATTTTCAACTTGGTCCTTCAAGGTCTTAATCTTATCTTTCTTTGTTTTGATAGTATTTTTCAATTCATCCACTTTACATTTCAGTGCTTCAATTTGTTCTTGCAAAGATGTAGATTTTTCCTCACAATTAGTAAGTTTTTCACTCAAAGACTGGTTAATTGAGAATTTGGATGCATTCAAATCACTGATATCCTTATTTTGCTTTTCTTTTTCAGCTAACTCTTTGATGAATTTTTGAGAGAGTGATTCATTTTGTTTCTCACTTTGCTCCAATTTTTGATTTAAATGGTTGATCAAGTTATCCTTCTTGAATAAATCATCTAACAAACAATTATTGCTCTCTTTGAGTTTGTCCAGTTTGGATTGTAAATCTAAAATTTTTTCATCTAGGTTATTCTTAGCCGTTTTAAGAGATTCGTTTTCTTTTTTTTCATTTCCAAGTGCAATGTTGGATGAGGTTAATAGTCTCTCCACTTCAATTTTGGCAAGATCAGATTGTGAGAGTTTGATTGATAGATCCTTTGTTTGTTTTTTCAAATCCTCTACTTGCTCCAGTAGTTGTTCTATTTCTTTCTTATCAACAGTATTGCATTTTAGAGCCTTGGCAAGCTCTATTTCCAGCTCATTAATTTTTTTAGAAAACTCCCGTATTTCTGCTTCATACTTCTGCACTTGTTGTCTGGAGTTGGTTAAAACAGCCTCTATTTTCTCTTTTTCTTCCTGAATTTGCTCCTTTTCAGATTCAGATTCTCGCAACTCTTTTTCTAATCTTTCCAAATCAGAGTTCAAAGAAATATTTATCTTTTTCTTCAAACTGGTGTTAGCTTCTTCGAGTTCGTTATTTTTGTTGGTGAGATCTGAAATTTTCCTTTCATTCTCTTCAATAGTGTTTTTCAAATTTTGATTAACACGATCCAGTTTGCTTTTTTCTGACTTGCTAGTTTCTAGTTCTTCTATGATGTTTGACAGTTTAGACTCGACATTTCTTTTCATATCTGTTGATGCAGAGACTTCAATCGTAGAATTTTGAAGATCAATCTTCAGATTAGTATTTTCTTGTAAAACTTGCGTATATTTGTGTTGCCAGTCTCTTGCATTTATACTGGCCTCTTCGAGATCTCCAGATATTCTCTTATTTTCCTTACTTTTTTCATACAATTCTGAATTTAACTTTTCAATATCTGAAAAATGTTGAATTAATAGAGTGTGCTTTTCTTTCAGCTCCTTTGTAAGCTCGTTGATTTTAGTTTCTTTCGAAAATAATTCCTCTGAATGATCTTTGTCTAACTTGTGAAAATCTTGTTGTTTTTTCTCCAACAATTCCTTTAGTTTTGTAATCTCTTGATCTCTTTCATGTAAATAAATTAATTGTCTTTCCAACTCCATAGCTTTTTCCTTCAGCTTCCAAGAAACCTCTTCAAATTTCAAATGATTTTCCCTAGATGCTTGTAAAATTAGTACCATTTGTTGTGTGAAATAATCATAGAGACCTTTCACCAACTCAGAATAGTCTTTTTTCAATTTTTCAAACTTGTTTCTCAACTTGACAATATTCCTTGCCAATTCTTCAATAATTTCCCAAAGAGATGTCTGATACCCGAAACGAACATTTTCCATCAATTCATTCAATTGTTGAACACAAACTTCCTGCTCCCCTAGAGATTGCAACAATATTTCTTTAATTCTCTTATCCCTCTCCACAGTAGCAATCAGTTTATTCTCAAACTCCTCATGAATATCACTAATCTTATCATCAATTATTTTCTTCTGAATGAAAAGATCGGCCACTGATACCGAACCATCATCAGATGGAGCAACAATACTCGATGTATCATCTATTATTATACTCCTACGTTTAAAATTTGATGCAGATGATGAGGGTGATAACGAAGCTCCTCTCATTAGAAATTCATCATCACTCTCCTGAATTCGGAAAGCATCCATCATCTGAAGTGAAGATTCCGAATATCTATTCGAACGAGCGTTCAACCTCTGTAAAGTAGGACTCGTCTTGTTGATTACTTTGCTGTACTACAGCAAGAGAAAACCTTCTATTAATTTCATTGGTATCATTATTATTATTTTGAGTTGGATTGTTTTTTTCTTCTTTTAAATTTTTGGCGCCAATATTTCCATCACCACTTTCACTGTTATTATTTAGATTCATACTACTCCTATTGGACTTTGATTTACTATTATTACTTGTACTATCATCTTTGGAATGTGAAGAAGGTGTTTGTTCCGTCTTCTGATTGTTGTTTTTTAGGATTTTAGAAATGATGAAGGAAACAATGACAAGTGCACTGGCAAGTGCCATTAGAAACCAAGTGTTAGTTTGGCCAACTACTACAGACTCATCATCAAACTCTGAGATATGAAATGTTTGTTGAGCATTCTGTGACATTTTTTTTTAAACTTTTGATAGTGTGGGACAAGTGACAGAATTCGAATGAAGACGGTGTTTGCCTCTTTGCAGACATTCATCTAACATAAATGGAGTTGGCTCTTCATTGTGTTCAGTGGGATAGGTATCCAAGTTGTGAATTGTTTAATTATTAAGATAAATGTTTGAGAAATTTAATAATTTATTCTAAACAGCAATAATCTATTACTTATATGTACATTCGAATTTTCATCTAGTAATCAGTTTGTGGGTTGTATCCATCTCTTCTACTCTTAGTTTGGAAAAATTGGAAAAGACCCTTAGAAATAACAACTAAAAGAGTCAAAATTGTAAGTGTACCTGTGGTAGCCCACATGGCAATAGTTGGAGTTTCCATGATATCACATGGTGGATATTGAGCTAAAAATCTAACATTCAAAGCACTCATTGGTTCCTTTTCTAATTCCTCAGGTGATTGAGAGAAAACATAGGTCAATGTCTTGTCAATGTGATGAACATTATAATTAGTTGGTGAAGCAACAGAAATATTGGCACCTCTGAGACCTGGATATGGGAAGTGAAGAGTTGCAACAACACCACTTTCATTCAAATATGGGATAGAATAATTTGAAACAATAGGGAATGTAAGAGTGTTAATATCAACTCTAGCATCGCCTTCTTTACCACTAACAGTTGTGTTGGTGACATATTTGATAACTCCCATGACAAGAATTGAAATTTCAAATCTTTGTGGATTGGTAAAATTCTTATAATAGTTAAATTTGAGTTGTGAAAGTTTAACAGCTGGTTCAACAGTGTTATCATAGGTAATAATTTCCTCATATCCTGGATCAGAGCTCGAAATTGATTCAGTTTCATTACCGTGATGATCAATGTGCTTTGGTGTTAAATACTTGTAGCTAGGAATGTCGGTAACTGGAATCTTTGGAGTAACAAAAACTTGAACACCATCAGCGCCTAATAATAATGAATAATACATCCAATAATAATAATATTATATAATGAATGAAATGAATAATAATAATAATAATTTAACGCATCCAAAGTTCAAATGATGAATAATTAATAACAATAACACGGACGGAATTGTGTTAAAAAATCATATTTTCAACAAACCAACAAAAAACTACTACATACCTTGTTTTGTTGATGGTTCCAAAGGAGGCATATCTACATTAATAAATTGATTATAAACAAAATTACAGTACGAAACACCAGGGAAAGTATAAGTTGTACATTGTGAGTTATCATTCTTTAATAATTCCAAATCAACTTGATATTCTTTATAGGAAGGAATAACTGGGAGTGGATCATCACACAAAACAACAGCCATCATTATGCTCATCAAGGCTAACACACCAAGTAGCCTCGGAAGGATTCTCGCCATCTTTTGGAAATGTAAAAAATGGAGGGAAATAAAGTGAGGTATTTTTTTTAAGAAGAATTTCAATGGAGTTTATAAAGGAGTTGTTTCTCGAACTCCTGTACTCATATTTGTTATGGCTTTAAATTTCACAAAGCGAGTTTTGAATTTGCAGGAAGTTGTGAAGTGTAAAGTGCAATGTTAAAAAACCAGCAAAACAAGAGTTTGAATACAGCCTATTTCAAGGAATTTTCCTCGAATCGACAAATTAGTCCAAATACACAAAATTTAATATCCAATTTGAAAACATATGTTTATTTGATTTTATTCGAAAAAGAAAATCAATTTCGTACCTGTAAATTAAAAATTAATTTCAAATAATTTATTTAAAAAAAATGGAAGTTGATGTTTTTGGTGATAATAAAGACGGTCAGGCTAGGAATGCGATCGTAACGAAGGAGGTTACCTATTTTAATCGTCTTTACTATTCAATGTACGTGAAGGATAATACAACAATGGATCCAGCTATTCATAAAGAACATCTGGAAATGTTGGTAGGAAATTCTGGCATCCCTGGTTTAACCTTGGCTTCACCACCACCACAGGTACGTTGATCACTCCATTAATATTGGTTGTTGATCGCATTAATCTATTTGATCTTGTGATTTTATTTGATTTAATCAATTATTATTTAATTGATTCAAATAATTATTAATATAGAAAAAAAGAAGTATTTCAGAGGTGAACAATACACCATCATCATCTAAACAATCTGTAAATAATACATCATCAAAAAAGAAAAAAACTACCGACAAGATATCAAAAATCAAAGTGTACACTTCAAGTTTATTTGACAAAGGACTTTTAGCCTCTGGAGATACTGTAATGTTCAAGCATGATGATAAGGAAATTAAATGTAAAGTGAATAATCATGGGGAATTGGAGGTCAATAATGCTGATAAAACTGATACGAGAATTTCAAATAATTTGAGAATTATCACACAATTTATTTGTAAAGCTTATAACTTACCCTTAATGGGAAAATCAAAATATTGGAATTTATTTTATCTAGTTAATAAGAATGGATCTAGGAATAAGCTCAAAACTTTGAGAGAGCAGTATTTGGCATTACATGAACAGGGAAATTCAAAAGTTGTAGCTGAAAAGAGTGACAAGTCAGAAGAGAAAGAAACTGCCAAGAGAAGAAGAAGAAAACAAGCTGAAGAAGCCAGCAAGAAGAATGCTCGTTTATTAATTTCTCAATTGGTTAGTAGCGGACTTTTAAAGGATGGTGCTAAAGTAATTTATAGAGGTCAGAAAACTACTTTTCATGGCAAAATTACAAAGTCCAAATTTATCTCATATTACGACCAACTAACTAAAAGAGAAGAACAATTTGAAACACCCAACTCATTTAAATCTCATATTGGTGAACTTGGTAACTGTTGGCAACAAATGGTTCTCGTTGATGATGACCAGGAAATCTCATTCCAAACTTTAAGAGATAAATATTTTGAATGAGGAATCAATCTTTAAAGAATCAACAAATACAAGAGATACTATTTGGCCTCGATTTTGTAATCTATTTTGATCTGCAAGTATTAATAAATTGCTAAACAATTGACAAAAAAACAAAATTCCAGCTGTTGAAAGTCAAGTTTCTAGTGAAATTATTACAAAAAAAGCCTTAAATATCCAGATTTTTGTTTGTTACAATTATTATGTTGAGCTAATTATTTTCTTGATTATGTTAGAAGATCTTTCAATTTAAACGATCCAATTCACTCTCTAATGTCAATGGAATTGAAATTACAGAATTTGTTATTCTTTTGATATTTTCCTCTCATTTGAGAAATTGTTTTCCATTGGTTGAGTAAATTATATGCAGATCATTTTTGGTTTATTGATAAATTTCCTTTGCCCCATTCGTTTTACAATTCTTAATATGCTAGAAGATGATGAGAATAATTAAGACGTCTTTCTCGAAAACATCAATAATCTCCCGAAGCCTTGTTATTATTATTTTAAAAGACAAAAATAAAAAACACAAAATAGCCTAACACAACGCATCATCACAACAGCCGACAGTTTTAAAATAATTTAACGGCTATTCATCAACATTTTTGTATCATAAAACAACAACCTCAACATATATAATCATCAACGATGGAATCATGTCTCAAGACTCATCAGGACTAAAACAATCAAACGGAAATACTAAAGATCCACTTGTTGTAAAATTGGAGGCTAACAAGCTCCGACTAGGATGCACAAGAGACGACTATAGAACATTGCAAATTATTGGGAAGGGTTCTTTTGGACATGTCTTTTTAGCATACTCAATTCATGGAAATCAACCTCATGTCGCTATAAAGAAAATAGACAAGGAATTACTACTGAATGACTATAATGTTGATCGTTTAAATAGTGAAATAACTATTCACCTGAATATGAATCACGAAAATATTGTGGAATTATATCTTTATTTTGAACAAAATAATTCTTATTATCTAGTGATGGAGTATTGTAAAGGAGGTGATATGTATAAATTCTTGAAAAAACAAAAAACCTTTAATGAAGCCCAATCAAAACATTACTTGACACAAATTGTGAATGCACTGATATATTTACAATCGTTCGGAGTGGTTCACAGGGATCTCAAAGTATGTACACTATATCATTAGAATCAATTTAATGTTTTTAAAGCTTTCTAACATTTTACTAACTGAAGACCAGCAACAAATCAAATTATCAGACTTTGGACTCTCCACAAAGCTTGATAGTGTTGATGGAGAGCAAAGCACTATTCTAGGAACGCCAAATTATATGGCCTAGTAAGTTTTTAATCAATTTTTAACCAACACCATTCAGTGAAATTGTAAATAAGATGAATTATGGAATGAAGGTAGATAATTGGGCTCTAGGTTGTATATTATTTACATTTTTGGTTGGTGAATCTCCATTTGATGAAGGAAGTAGAACTCAAACGTTTGATAAGATTAGAAAATTGGATTACAAGATTCCTGATTTTGTCTCTAAAAATGCAAGAGATTTGATTGAAAAACTTCTGCATCCAGATCCTACCAAACGTATTTCCCTTATCGAATGTAAATCTCACCCTTTTCTAAGAGAATCTATTCCAAAGCCTATTCAAACTAATGGATTCAATTCTAACTCAAGGGCAAAAACACAGGAAGAGATTTCATCCACAATTACCAAGACTCCATTCAATACCATTAGAATTAAACCATTCACTCACAAGAAGAACGATATTCATATAGAGATTAATGAAACAGGGAATGTATTCTTGACATTTAATAATGGAGACAGAAGATTTATTGTTTCAGGAGATGGAAAAACGATATGGTATGAAAAGAAAGCATCAAGGCGGAAAGAGTTCTCCTTCTTTGAAATGCCATCATCAGTAGAAAAATACTATGAATATGCCAGAAATTTAATTGACACTATTAAGAGTAAGACTCCAAAAATAATATACCTAGATACTGATTTCAAATGTATTCAAATGGAAAATCATCCATTTCCTGATTATGAAACATCACTCTTTCCATCGGGTATCAGAATGGTGTATCAAAGAAGAAAAAGCATGGTCATTGTGAGATTTTCTAAGGAAAGATCTGTTTCAATTCACCTCAACAAGGACCTCACATTATTCAAAGAAGAAATGGATCTCATAGATAATCACAAAATTGTAAAAGTAGAAGGATCACTAACTGTTGAAGAGAGCGAAATTCTTTTCAATAACTCTGTTCTGTGGTCCAGTTTAGGCCATGTAAAGAAAGGTATTGATCTCATAGAACAAGCAGAGAGAGAAATGGCGATCGATTCTTATCCATTCTTTATCAATGCAACCAGTAACACATCTGGTCCTCTAAGTCCAACCCTAAGTGATACCAGTACAACAAGTAGTAACAATTCCTCTACACTGAATCGTTGTTTACTTTCATCTCTTTCCTTCTCCACCAACAACAGTGAATCCAACCCACCAGATGATAGTAGCTTTTCTAATCCACATTTCTATTAAACTTTCCTCCTTAAATAACTTTTCAAAACACCTCAAATAATCTTCTCAAACTGCTTAATTGAAACATTCTTTATTCGTGAAATATTCTGCTATGGCTGTATGACATTCATATCTACTTTACTCATCTAATTAAATTCTTATAGGGTATGTTATATTTTCCTGCCAACTCAGTCGTACTCTTCTTACTTCCATTTACGGGAGAACTAGCATAGTTACGCAGCCGCGACTCTAAGGTTTTGTTAAGAAACTATTTTAAAGATTCCAGATTTTTCCTCAAGTTAAAAACTTGCGAATTTCTCTTTCAGGATTTTAAATAATTTCAAATGCTTGATGAAGATTGGTATTTTCGAATTGAGGTTTCAAATAAATGGTGAACGTTGCAAAGACAGTGACCGTGTCATTACGGGATCAAGGTGATAGGTATTCCCTCCATTTGAAAAATACTGTCTAAATGTTAAGAAATTAAATAAGGTTAATAATTTAAATACAATAAATCCCTCCATCTAACGTTAATTATTTCACTGGTCCATTCTTCCAAACTTCTACTATATAATGCTACTTAATATCAAGTGATTTTAATTGTTTCATTTCGCATATGAAATTAGGCTTCTTCATCACCAATTCGATTGTTAGAAATATCAAGTGATGTTAATTGTTTCATTTCACTTATTGATTTGGCTTCTTCATCACCAATTCTATTTCCACCAATATTAAGTGATTTTAATTGTTTCATGTCAATTATTGATTTGGCTCCTTCATCACCAATTCGATTGTTATAAACATTAAGTGATGTTAATTGATTCATTCCACTTATAGACTTGGCTCCTTCATCACCAATTCGATTTCCACTAATATCAAGTGATGTTAATTGATTCATTCCACTTATGAATTTGGCTCCTTCCTCACCAATTTGATTGAAATAAATATCAAGTGATGTTAATTGTTTCACTTCAATTATTGATTTGGCTCCTTCATCACCAATTTGATTTCCACTAATATCAAGCGATGTTAATTGATTCATTTCACTTATTGACTTGGCTCCTTCATCACCAATTTGATTGTAATAAACACTAAGTGATGTTAATTGTTTCATTTCACTTATGAATTTGGCTCCTTCATCACCAATTCCATTTTCATCAATAGTAAGTGATTTTAATTGTTTCATTTCACTTATGAATTTGGCTTGTTCTATAGAGTCAAGCAACCTTCTCGAAAATTTAACATTTTCAATACTATTCATAAATTGACTTGTCATGAATAATTTAATTCGTTTCTCTGTAAATTTTTTTTTGAATTCAATAACAAGTTTTGAACGTTCCTTGATCACATTAAAGAATTGTTTTGAAATCAAGGAACAATTATTCAAAATAAACCACGAATCATCAATCATGGAAATTATTTCAAAACAAACATCATCTGAAAATATTTCTTGGAGCACAAGTTTTTTCTTTTTTCTTTTCTTATTTTTGATCCGAAATTGCTTTTTAAAATCTTGAATGCTTCGTTTGCTCATTTTTTTTGTGTTAACTTGTCAATAACATCTGTCTATTAAGTTTGTTGGTCAAACTCAAATGATGACAGATAATGAAGTGGATTTAATCAAATTGTTTTACTAAATCCAATTTATTTTTAATATCTGGCATTGAAAATCCTTTTGATATCAAGATTTAACTGGTTTATTTTGCTCTAGTTTTTCTCTTTCTTGTAATTTCTTAAGCTTTTCTAATAGATTAATGCTTGGCATTCCATTTTGAATTGTTCTATCCAAGAATTGGCGGATGCTTCTTCATATTTCTTGTCAAAGAATAAATTATAAGCAGCTCCATAAGATTGCCAAAGATTTCTCTGCATTCTAATATTTGATTAATTTCAACTGAATTGTAAAATAAACTTACCATCTTATTTAACTTCCATAAAATCTCCAAACTCATAAACATTCACTTCAGTAATTTGTTTAGAAGACATACTCTGGTGATTTTTAGAATGCCAATTCTTGTTAAGCGACTTGTCTAGGAAGAATCTGTGTTGATAGAAATTATGAGTTATTTCCTTAATTTCTTCAGTGACAACAATTTCATTGTTCAATTCAAAAGATATCGCTATCAAAGAAACAACAATTTTATAAAGAGATTTGGAATAGTGGTTTCAATTAATATTTGAAAGGTTGTTATGAGAATTCTTTAAATGCGAGAACATTATTGGAAGACTTGTTAAATCATAACCCTTTTTATTATTCAAAATAATGGATTTGAAAGATTTTCAAAACCATTTTACATTTCTGGTTTCTACTAATAATTTATTTCAAAACAAGAAACCGTAGTCATAATCAAATCACAAAAATATCCACTGACATGGTGTTTGAGTGAGAGTGTTGAAATTTCTAAAATCAAGGAAAAACGGTTAGAAGAATCTGAAGAATTAAATTCACTCAAAATTTGCATTTGTATTCATTTAAACATTTAGGGAAATTAAAGAAACTTTCCTATAAACATATGGCTCTGATTAACCAATTCCCAAACAATTATTGGACCATATAAACAATATCATGAGATAACAAGGGAGAAAACTTTTAAAATCAGTCATATCTATTGACTTGAAATACACTATTATTCGCCACTTGTTTGTCCATATAAAACCTCTTTAATTTTCCTGAATGTTTAAATGAATACACGGACAAATTTTGTTTGAAATTAACAGATTCAACTAATTCTTCCATTCCAATAACACTATTTATCAATAAATTATATTTAAAGGAATCAATTTGATATTCTTGATGAAATAAAATGTGCATTTTTTTTATTTAAAATAAATTTTTTAATAAATTATTTAGAAAATATATTTTCTCAAAACACCAGTGGCACCAAGATAAGCAGACCAAATCAACAAGGCAACCATTGGAAGGAAACTCAATCCAAATCCAGCAGAACGATTATTTGGATATCCTAAACCATACAAAATTCTTCCAACCAAATAAACTAAACCAATAATTCCACAAACAAAATCATTTCCACTGGCCAAAGCAGTCAACCAAAGTCCACTAATAAAAACAGTCAAATATTCAAGACCATTCATTTGAATACGATAAACTCTTTCAAATTCCAAGTTGCCAGTAACAGCTGGTGCCTTGACGCCATATTTAACTCTTGCAGATCCAACACTGAGTGCAGTGAAAATGTAATAGATTAAATTTAACACACTGGCAGTGAGAACGAGAGGATAAGTTTCGGTGATGATATTTGATGACATTTTTTTTGATTAATTTCAAAGTCAAACGATTGTTGTTAGTCCTCTTAGGATTATGTGAAAGAGCAGTAGGAAAATGCTTCCGCACCAAACGTGTTTAAATTGAAGGACTGTTTAATTTGGGGAGGATTTCACATCCCTTTGATCCGCTATTATGTACGTCCTCATTGAGGATTCGAATCGTTGAATTCATTAATGACACCACTCAACAATAAGTCATTCCTTAACAACTTTAACATAAATTGTTTGAAATTTATTTAAAGAACTTGCCAATGTTCTTCAAAAGCACAACAAACTTTCATGCAAACCATAGCACCTGATAATGGATAACTCGATATCGAAACATATTCGTCTACATAATCAACTTTCAAATCACCACGAGCAAAGGCACCAATAACGAAAACCATTGGTCCATCTTCTGAAATGTCAGTAGGATCTTGTGATGGTTTCTTATTGACCATAGCTCTTTGTTTAGCACATAAAACTGGAACATATTCCTCCAAACGAACAACAGTTTCTTGATTATATTCTGCAGCAACTTTCAATGCAGTTGATGGTAAATGTTCTGTAATTGGATTTTTGATAACTTTAAACAAAACTGCTTCTGTTTCAGATGCCTTGATTTTGTGTTTGAAAAGCAATTGAACCATCAAACCTGCAAAACGTTTATAAGTACGAGGAACACGAGTATGTGGATTAACTTCTATCAATGTATTATCAGCAGTATGCATGTAAACTTGTAAAAGACCTGCCTTACTTATCGGAGAGTCAAAAAGTGAAAGTAAACATTGATGAACGACATCAGGTCTGTAATCATCTGGATTCTTTCCATGTTTTGATAAATAGGTACGATGATCATCACTGTTTAATAATTTATATTTTTCTCCAATTTTACCAACTTCAAGAGGACAATTTTCCAAAACTACAATCAATCTTCTCTTACTTTCCTTTTCCACATATTTCTTTGCTTGGAGTGTCTTTGCTTCCTTTGAAACTTTATCAGCAGCACCCGATGGTGTAGAATTTGATGAAGAAGTGTGTTTACGTTCTCTTTGTTGTTTTGGCATTTTTTATTTGTTGAACATTTTTTAAATTCATCTAATTTTTAGAAGCAATAAATTTATGATTTTAAGAAATTATAATTATTATATTAAATATTAAATATTGGAATAAAAGAATTGACGAATAGGTTGGTGTTGGTAATGAATTTAAAAATCTTGAATTTAATAATAAAAATCATAGTCTAATTTGACGAGTGTGTTCCTAGTATCATCCTTTGTCAACTTGTTGAAAATTGTGTTGAAAGAATGCTTGTAACCAACAGCTATTATCTTCTTGTTGGCATCTTCAAGTTTAGTGTAGAGAATTACACCACCTACTTTCATATCTTTGATTTGATCATTTTCAAAAACAAGTTTACCTTCTGTTAAGAATTGTTTGAGTTCTTGTTTGGAAATTTCAATTAATTGTTTAGATTCTGGTTCAATATAATCAAATAATGAAACAGCTCCTGCTAAAGTAATTTGATATTTTCCACTATCAATATCAAAGGCAATATTACCAGCATTGAAAAACTTGAGCATCAAAGAGTCATTGTAAGTATAGTTACTTCTCAAATAATTGCTCAAATATCTATTGGAAATAAAATTGATTTTTTTAGGTGTGGGAATGCTTTCCAAGGTACTTTGAGTATTGTTCTTATCTACTTGTTGCAAATGCTTGACATATTTGCTTTCACCAGTGGTTTGAATGATAAAGTTTCCAATATCAATATCAATGGATTTTTTGAATTCATAGAAATTAAAAACATGATTCAAAATTTCTGGTAAAACTCTGACGTAAATGTTATGCTTCAAATTTTGCTTTTGATTATTGCCTTTCTCTTGGTTGGCTTTCTTCTTGTTCAATTTTTGTTGTAATTTTCTTTGTCTCTTTGTTTTTTCTTCTGCAGAGTTAATCTTTTTCAATCTCAACTTGGCAACATAAAAACCACCAGAATTATTCATGTGTGGCAAAATTCTCATTGTATATTGCAAGTTCATATCCTTGATGTCATCCTTAATAAACATACTTGGTTGAATCTTTTTACATCCTTCCTTCTTTGGCATGTTTTCAGACTTGTCACCACTCTTGATTGTAAATTCAATACTGGTATCCTGAATATCCTCGAACTTTTCAACAACATTTCCCAAACTATCTACAACTTTCCAATCATTAATACCCTTCAAATATTTAATATTATTATTGATATTTTGTAATGATGTTTCCAAATCAACTAATTCAAATCTATAATTTGTTTTTCTAATAGCTTCAGCAACAACTGCTTCATCTTCAATAGGGTTTAAACTACATGTTGAATATACAATTTCATATTCTCCATCGTACTTGATTAATTTAAGGCTACTATTTTCAGTGGTGATTTCTTCAGTTGTTTCACCACTAGTATTTTCATCCAAACTAGTGTTTTCATTATTGAAACTGGTTAACATAATTTGCATAGCAGAAACCAAGATGGAAACTTGGGTAGCATGATTGTGGTGACCATGATCATATGTCCATCTTTCCCACAAATCACGTGACTTACGAAGAGTACCATCACCTGAACATACAGCATCACACAAGATGTGATGAATATGAGAAAGAACTTGACCATTCAAACTACTAGAAGACAATTGTTGATGCAATGTTACTGCATTGTAATGACTGATTACTACATTGTTAGTAAATTGGTTAGGTTCTCTATTCAAATTAGAAAATAAGGTACCCAATCTCTTTCTATCAATATCATTACAAATTAAAAATTTGGAATAATCTCCTTGATTCAAATAATATTCAACCATTTGAGCAGATTTGCTTCCTGGTGCTGAACACATATCCAAATATCCATCTACAAGTTTACCATTAACTACCTCACTACTATCAGATGATTCAACTTGTAAGGAATTTTCATCTTGAGGAGTAAAACACAATGGAGGAATCATACTGACAAGTTCTTGTCTACTAATATATCCAATGTCTGTTAATTTAACAAGATATTCTCTGAACTCTCTCAAAACTGCTTGTCCTTCAGCTACTCTAGTATCACTACTGACAATTGTATTGTCTGCTGATGCATCAAATTGTTGAATATCATCATCATCATTTTCCGATGATTTTCTCAGTTTAGTCTTGGAAATATTAGGATGAATTTGATAAAATAATTGATTAATGTGATTCAAGTTAATAATATCAATAGTATTTCCATCATTTTCTTGTTCTTTAGGTAAAATTTTACCTTCCAAATAAATATAATTATTTAATTTCAACTTGAATTCGTTCAACTTGTTTTGAATCTTTTCAATCAAGTCCAATGGAAGTGATTTGTTGATACGGAATGTTGTTGGAAGAGGTTCTTGGAATGATTTAATCATTTCATCCATCTCTTCCTTTGTCTTTACTATTTGCTGAATATTAAAATAATAATTATAGAACATGGCATTCTCTGGAATGATATCTTCGTAGCCTCTTTTAACTTTCTTTTGTTGTTGACAAATTTCATCATTACCATTTTCCGCCACTACACTCACACATTCACATTTATTTTCCAAATCTTCATCACCAGTTGTTGTGCTTCTTTCTTGACGTTTTCCCAACAAATTATTGTCGGAAGATGTTATTTCTTCTGATGACATTTTTTTATCGAAAATTCAAATAAATATTAAATTCAATTTTACTATTGCACTTTTTTCATCCATTGAAATACAATTTCTCAAATCTACATTATCAATTTTAATTCATTAGTTATTGCTAAATAATAACATTGTCATCATTAAAGGCGGGAGAATTCATTCTTCAAATAAATTTGTGCGTTAATTTTATCTTCACCAACTTCAAAAAAAATGCTCAATCCAAATCATCAACACGAACACGAACATCATCACGGATGTGGTTGTTCCGATCATCACCATCACGAAGAAGAAGAAGAGGAGGACGAAGAAGAAAATAATCAAATGAATGATGAAGAGGAAAATTTACAACCATCAAGACCAATTTCTACTTTTAATTTGGAGACTACACTTGATGATAAGGAACCATTACCTTTGGATCAAAAGCCTATTGCTTGTATTGTTTTGGGTATGGCTGGAAGTGGTAAAACAACAATTATGCAAAGAATTAATGCCTATATTCATGAAAAGGGTCATCCTTCTTATATTGTAAATTTGGATCCTGCTGTATTGGACGTTCCTTATGGAGCACATATTGATATTAGAGATACTGTCAATTATAAGGAGGTTATGAAACAATTTAGTTTGGGACCAAATGGAGGAATTTTAACAGCACTTAATTTATTCTCAACTCGTTTCGATCAAGTTGTGGATTTGATTGATAAAAAAGCAAGAGTTGGTTTTCAAAATTCAGAAGAGCCAACCTTTAGAAAGAAGAAACTGGATTATGTATTTATTGATACACCAGGTCAAATTGAAATTTTTACTTGGTCTGCCAGTGGTCAAATTATTTCAGAAGGATTGGCAACATCTTTCCCAACCTGTATCATTTATGTTATAGACACTCCAAGAAATACTAGTCCAATTACATTCATGTCAAACATGTTATATGCCTGCTCAATTCTGTATAAGACTCGTTTGCCATTCCTTATTGTTTTTAATAAGATTGATGTGGTGAGACATGACTTTATCAATGAATGGATGAAAGATTTTGAAGCATTCCAAGATGCTCTTGCTAAGGATGAAAGTTATAGTAGTTCATTGGCTCATTCTATGAGTTTAGTATTGGATGAATTTTATGAAAATATTGACACTGTTGGTGTGAGTGCAATGACAGGAGAAGGTGTTGAAGAAATGTTCAAGCTAATTGATGGAAAATGTAAAGAATATGAGGAGACATACTACCAAGAATTACTCGAAAAGGAAAAAGAAAGAGAAAAAGCAAAACTAGAGAAACAAGATGAAGATATTCGAAGATTAGAACAAGATTTTAGACGTTTTAATACTGCTGGAAAGAAGCAACCAAAAACAGAAGATGAAGAATTACAAGATTTCCTCCAAGATATAAAGAAATAAACATTTATTTTCCTTAATTAATCCTTGCTTGGTTTGTAAAGAATTCGGGATGAAAGTGCAACATATTCCTTTTCCTCATTTGTAAAGTCTAATGACAGGTGGTAAAGGGCATTATATAACTTGTAATCAATGTACGATTCTAAATGTTGGAAATTCAAATTATTCAAATAATGTATGCAATTACTATCCAATTTGATAATTGAATAAAGTGAGAGGGAAAAATATTTAACAGCATCTTTTACAACTGGTACATTGGCAGCAGTGGCTGTATTGTTGATCAAACTTGCTGTTAATCTATTCAAAGTTGCTACACAATTTTCCAATAAGGAACGAGTATTACGTTGACTGGTTTCTGACTTTTCAATGAATGGGAAATTAAATTGTGTCTGGACAAGAATAGTTAAATGATCAGACAAGATAGGAGGAAGTTGAACTCCAATTCTTTGTACATTAAATCTTAAATTATGTAAAATCATTGAAGCATTGAAAGCATTCTTCTCTTGATTAGAGGTAGAGTTCAATAATTGTAAAATAAAATTGATAAGCAAATCATACTTGTCTAAATGATTTGTAAAGTAGTTCAAACCAATAGGATGAATCAAGCAGTGTGCTAGACAACTCGAGATCAAGGTTAATGTGAAACCATCTACGTTATTAACATTCTTCATTCTATCCAAAATATCTACAAGTGTTAGATTTTCGTGATGAGTTAATAAATATTCTACACATTCTTTTTTGAGTAATAATACTCTCAATAAATCGAATGCTGCTGCTTTAAACTTATCATTCAATACTTGAATTAAATAGTGAATAGTACTAAATAATTGTTTGATAGTATTATTATCTAAATGTTCTGGCATTTGGTTGAAAACATTTAGAATACTTAATTGCTCTGTTTTAACTAACTCATTAATCTTAGAGATACACTTGCCAATATTTTGTGTTGCATTCATTTCATGAGGTTTGGTATGGTCATTATAGCCATATCTGCTTATCATTACATCAACCAATTTTAGCTCCATTTCAAGTATTTTTGCTGGATCTTGTTTTGAGGCTGATTCTTTAAGCATACCAATAAGAGTATGAATAGTTGTCCTGATGGCATCATATAACTCTTTGATGTCTGGTCTGAATTCTTCATTATCTGTAAAGCATGCCATTATTGTTGAATATAATTGCTGTACAATTGATGTAACTGAAAAGTCTTTTTCTCCATATTTGCTTCCAAACAAAACTTCATGAAGTACGTGTCCCAGGTTGAAAATATCGTTACTCTTTTTAGAAAGAATATCATTGATAGAGCCATTGGAATTGTTCTTGCATGCTTTAATCTCAGGAGAAGATTGTTTTTCATCTAATTGGTTGAACAATAGCCCATAATCATAAACATATAGCAATTTCGTATCATTAACAAATCTGAATGAGTTAGGTTTGATGTTACCATGTGTAATATTTGAATAGTGCAAAACATAAATTGAGGAAATAATTTTCAACATGGTACTAAATTGATGTATAGGATGTGTTAATAAATTGTTGTCTAAATAAAATCTGCAACTACTTGTTTGTTCGAAAAGAGTATTGGAAGAATAAACAAGATGTAAGTTATTGTTTTCATACTTGAAATTCAATAATTGTGGGAATATTGGGAGATTGATATGTTTGATAAAATGTACAGAAGGTAAATACTTTTGGAAATATGAAATTCTTTTGTAAATTGATTGTAAATCATTTACACTCAACTTGGCATTGTACAAAAAGTTCAAAATTTCATGCTGTAAATAAACGCCATGGAAGAGTTTGTAATTTACGGCGTGAGCTTGCATCTGAGTAACATACTTGCAGTATTTTTCAAAAAGTAAATTACTTGCAAAACTGCTCTCCTTTGTATAATCTTTACATGGTATGTCGTTCAAATCTTTGATATATCTCGATTCATTGAGTGCTTCAATGGACTCTGAAATATCTTTGAATTCGCACAATTTACTTAAATGCAATGCAGTGCGTAGGAAATGATCTTGAATACTCAGATTAGTTTTTTTGATTAATTTCATAATAAAGTATTTAGAGTGTTCTGTTGGCTTCAAATAGTGTTTGATGATTGCATATTGCAAACATGTCATACCTGTTTCCTTTGATTGCTGATTTACATTAATGTTTGGTTGTCTGATCAAAAATTTGAAAATTGTTTTGCTATCATTCAGAACACAATCCACCAATGGAAATTTAGGAGTTGTTGTTTCAGGAATAATGTATTCATAAGGACCTTCCATATTCTGATTAATATCTACTTGGTATTGTAAAATTTCTTTAACTAATTCAATACTTCTGTGTTGTTTAATACACAAAAATAATGCGTGATTCAAGGAATTGTTAAGATTGCTATTTGTGCTCAAACTGTTATTGTTAGTAAGATAATTCAAATGGAGTCTTAAGAGTTCAATATTATTCTGAGAAACTGCATATTGTAATGGAGTAATAGTACCATGAAACAAAACAGTATCATACTGTTGAATATCCAAATATTGTAGTAACAAACTAGAAGCTGCTAAGCTATTAAATAATGTAGCATAGTGAAGAGGAGTGAAACTTCTTTCATCTCTTTCCATAATCATTTGGTTATAAACTGGTAATAAGATTTGCAAAGTTTGTACAGAATCTTCCTTGCAAGCCACAACAAGGATTGATTGGCTAAGTTTGTTCTTTAAATTAAAATTAAACAAGGAAGAAAATAATTGAGAATTCACAATATGTTGGACGAGATGGAAATGATTTTTTCTAACTGCAATGAGGACAGCAGATTCACCGTCATCATTCAACAAATTGAAAAATTTAGAATATTTTGTAAAGTCTTCATCAAAATGTTCACAAATCTTTGCAAATAATAAATCAAAAATTTCTACGTTAGCTTGCCCTTTACAGAGTGTATGTAGAATTGTTTCTTTTTCCATGTTTTTAAGAGTTATATCTCTTGTTTCCTTTAGCAATAATTCAAATATTGGTACACTATTTCCCATACTTGCTAAATGAATTGGAAGGTTTGCTATACCATCTTTCTCATTCAATTGATTCTTGAGTTTGGATTGTAATAATAATTTGACACAGTCCAAATGCTCGTACCTGACAGCCAAATGCAATGCAGTCATGCCTATGTTGTTTTTACACGTCTTATCAAACTCTACATTCAATAAGAGTGATATCAGGTCAGCTTTACCATTCTTGGAATGGAGTAAAAACAAATCTTCCAATGATTTGCTTCTTTGTGATGCACAGTAATTTTTAACTGCTAAATTAATATCGTAATCAGAAGCTTCTAGATAGAATAAACTGGTATCGGTATCAATTTCAAATAGATCACAAAAATTAGATATCAGTTTAGTTTTTAACTCTTCCTTTTTAGGATCAAAGTCTATAGAGTAACTATCTGATGTGAAAACAAAATAACAATCTTTCTTTTGCAATTGTTCCTTGCCTAAAACCTGACTATCATTGATAACGTGATTTTCATAATTCACAAAATTGATACCATTCTCAATGCAATGCTTGAATGTTGGAACGTGGTAGAATTTCAACTCACTGTTATTTGGCAATTGACTCCACTGTAATACTTGATTCTCGTTTAATGGTAATCTAAATTCGTTCCATTTACGAACAATTTTAACTTCATTACTGTTATTAGTTTTACCATTAGTTGCTTTATCATTAAAACTCTTGGCAACACCACTATTACTACTATTGTTTTTTGTTGCTTTTTTAGCATCAATAATAGTTGCTTTGTGTTCATAACAAATTACAAGAACAACAAAGTTTGAATGACGATCATTATATTCGGTAAACATTTTTGATCACAGCTCTGTGAGAAATAAAGAAATATTTAGACAGTCTCCTACTATTACTTTACATGCTGATCAGCAAAAGAAATACTAGTTTGTGATGAAGAGTTTCAGAAAATAATCTGCAGCTGGCTACACAAATGATCAAGATCCGAGGGAGGTCTGACCACAATCAAAAAAGGCTTTGTGAAGAAAGCAGCTGTGAGTTTTTTTTCTTTGGGTGATTGCTGGAACTTGAAGCTAATTTTATTTGCCGCTTTTTTTACCAATGGTATTGAATGGCTTGGGAATTCTCTCAATATCAGCAGAAAGAGCACGCGTGATAGATAAATGTTGTTATTGGATGAAAATGTTTTTTTGATAGGAAGATAATACTCGATTTTAGTGAAGTGATCTTGTTGCTCATTAGAAAGAAATGATTTATTGTTGAAGGTGAATATAAAATAATAATTTTAATTAAAAAAATGGAACAATCACTAGGAGGCAATACGAGTAGCTTGTTTTTTATTAGTACGGAGGAAGATTTTGAATTCGAAGAAAAAATCGTCAGTAATCCGTACATGCTCAAGACGTGGCTAGCCTATATTAAATACAAACAAACCTTTCAAAGCAATTCTGATCAATACAATAATATTATTAATGTTACTTTTGAAAGAGCCTTGTCCTATTTACCAGGAAGTTATAAATTATGGAATATGTATCTTGATGTGAGGATTGTACAATGTGAATCACTTCATCCGATCACTAGACTTGATCCTGTGGAACTTAGTGTGGATAAACATGATTTGAAGTTCCATGATGACATCATGAAGGATAAACCAAAACTGATGGAAAAGAATCTTGATTTAAAAATTATTGAAGCAGTCAATCAAGTTTTTGAAAAAAGTTTAATCACCATGCATAGAATGCCATTAATATGGTTAAAGTATCTAAAGTTTATTGTCAGATATCAACCATCAATTACATATGTTAGATCGGTACTTAATCGTGCCCTGCAGGCACTTCCATTAACTCAACATCAAATCATTTGGAAGTTCATATCTATGGAGTGGATACTCAACCCACAATCTAAAGTTCCAACAGAAACAGGAAGAAGATTATTGAAAAGATATTTAAGATTGGAACCTTCATTTATCAACAATTATGTAGATTACCTGAATAGAAATAACTGCTATACAGAATTATGCGAATTATATATTTATTTCTTGAATTATGCCTCCACACAGGTAGATTCTAAAACTAACTCATCATCAGTAGCCTCAAGTGTTATTGTAAATGATGCCATTTGTAAACAAAATGAGGCTCTTGTTTTTGAAAAATCAGCTGTACAATACCTAACAGATCACTCTCCACTTCAAATATGGGAGTATTTCTGTGATATTCTTGGAACAAAGGCACTCTCTATTAATATGCCACATTCAAAAATTGAAAATACACTCTTATCTGGTATTAAGAGATATCCAAGTGAGGTTGGAAAGTTGTGGACTACTCTCGCACAATATTATATTCAATATGGTAAATTTGATATTGCTATGGGAATTTATGAAAAAGGAATGGAAAGTGTATCCACAGTTAAGGATTGGAATTTGATATTTGATACATATGCCAAACTCTTTGATGAGCTTATCAAAGTACAAATGAGTGATCTTCAGAGCGAAAATCCTGACAAAGCTCTTGAAGCAAAGCTTGAAATATTAATTGCAAAATATGAAGGATTGATGGATAGACGAGCACTACTTCTAAATACTGTAAAACTTAAACAAAATCCAAGTCACGTTCATGAATGGCACAACAGAATTAAACTGTTAAAGGCCATCAAAGATCATGAAAGAGTAATTGAAGCTTATGAGCAAGCTATACAAAATATCAAGTCTGACCAAGCTACTCACGGCAAATTATTTACAATCTGGAACAGTTATGCTAGATTCTTTGAAATGGAACTTAAATCTATTGAAAAAGCTAGAGAAGTATATGATAGATGTTTGAGTGAAACAACAGACGATAGTACAAACATTTTGTCTGTGGTTGACTTGGAGAGAGTTGTTACTGATTATGCTGAAATGGAATTGAGAAATAACAATCCACAGCAAGCATTAGCTATTCTATTTAAAGCAACTCATCCAAACGACAAATCAAACACTTTATCTTGCCAACGCTCACTACTTGTGTGGAGTTTTTTACTAGATCTTGAAGAGTCAACTACCAAGAATATTAAGAGAATGAAGAAATTCTTCAACGAAATGATAGATCTCAAAATTGTTACACCAAATACTGTAATTAATTTTACTAATTTATTGATTGAAAATAAGTATTTTGAAGAAGCATTCAAAATATTCGAGAGAGCAACCTCACTCTTCCACTACCCACAAGTTTTTCCCATTTGGATGCAATATTTACTTCAGTTTGTAAATAGATACCAACACACCAAATCCGAAAGAAGTAGAGACATGTTTGAACAAGCCATCAAAAATTTACCATTCTACTCTATCGACAGGGCTGCCCAAGAGTTTGCCTCTGAAAAGAAGTATATTGTGAAAAACCAACACGCTAGAGACTTTTTCTTATTGTATGCCAACTTTGAAGAAAATTATGGAATCAGCTCAAAGGCAATTAATGTATATGATAGAGCAACCAAGTCTGTAACTCCAAACTCACAAGAACAATTCCAACTTTATCAATTATACATCACACGTATTACTGAAACTTATGGAGTTGCTAAGGCAAGAGAAGTTATTGATCTTGCATTGAATCAATCTGTAGAGATGAATAATGCCAAGGAAGAATCATATGTATTTATTAGAGACTTGGCACTTAAATATGTTTACATGGAACTGAAACTTGGTGAAGTTGACCGTGCAAGAAGTATTTTTGCTTTTGCGTCCTCTTTCTGCAATCCTGACAATACTGATCATTTTACAAAATTCTGGGATAGATGGCAAAAGTTTGAAAAATGTTATGGCAATTTAGAAACATTCAAGGAATATCTTAGAGTACGTCGATTTGTCCAGCAACAATATAGCTCTTCAAACACTGCATTCAAAAAATAAGAGAATAAAATTGGAATAGTATTATAATTTTCAACACAAAACAACGAACAAGTGATTTATGGATAAATCATCATCCAATATTTAATTTAAATAAAATTATTTATTAAAAAATGAGTAGCGAAGCATTGTGGAAGGAACTCATCCAACAATTATTCGCTATTGCAAGTGGTGAACAGTTGATTTCCGTGATCAACGTACAACATGTTGTTATTGATAAGAAGAGAGGTAAAATTATGGAGGATAGAATTGTTTGCTTGACAACAAAAAAGAAGATGATTACTACCTCTAAAAAGAAGAAGGGATACACAATTCAAGTTTTAGTTATTAGACGTGATAAAGAAGGAATTTTCCACATTGAAAAATCCTATAAATTGAAGAGATTGGCTAAAATTGAAGGTTCCGAAGAAGGATCCGATATGGAATTTATTTTACATTTTACAAACCATGTAAAGCCATTCAAAATTATAAGCGATAACGTCGAACAAAAGAACATTTTTATTTCTAAATTATTACAAGTCTGTAGAGAAAATTTTGGAACTGAACCAGTATTGGAAAACATTAATCTTGTTGAATTATCGGATTATATTGTAGAGGAAGAAGAAAATGATGAGGAAAATTTATTTAAAGATGAAATTGGAGATGTCTCTCAAAGAGATTTAGTCACTGAGGAAGAAGAAAAGATTATGAGAAAAGTGTTGGAACAGTTTAATGAAGATATGAGTGACGCAAAACAAGTATCATCCCAACTCAACCAAAGATTGGCTATTTATGAAAGAGAAAATATTCATGCAATCTTACAAAAGCAAGATCAATGGGAAATGATTATTCAACAACTTGACAATACAGAAAATTTACTTGAAGATATGAACGATTGGTTAGAGAAATATAACAAGAAATTGATGCTCATGCAAAAAGATATTGTTCAAATTGAATCTGAAAATAACAATATGGAACTTCAAGCCAGAAACTTGAAATGCCTCTCTGATGAACTGGACTCTTTAATTGTATGTTGTTTCATATTTCAAATATTTACTATTAATGTTGTCTTACTTAGAATACATTGGAATTTGCTGATAGTTATGATAAAAGTATCCAAAATGATCCTTTTGATGGTAAATTAAATAAGATTAATGATGCTGTGGAAAAACTGCAATCATCTCTCAATAACAAATTACAAGATGGTATGGACGATATGGTAGCTGTAAAGTAGGTTTATTTCTCGTTGAAATTTGATAATTATTTTTAGGGAACGTGTAAAATATTTCCAAGAGTTGAGATTCAACTTTGTATATAGATTCAAAATGTTTATGAAGTCTTACTTTAAAAAACTTGCCTCTCAACTATTAAAACAAAGAGGAAAGAACTACAAATATTCCATAGATCTTAAAACTGTAAATTATAATAGTTATCATAGAGATATGATTCAGGTAGGTTGAGTTGTACAATTTCATCTTTTTACCATTCAATAATTAGATCCACAAAGATTGCATTCACAAAGAATTATTAAAATATTCTATTCTCATGGAATGTGTACATTCCACACAAAATGCTGTAAAAGACCAACAATTATTCGAAGTACTTAAAGCCAAGTGGAAGGAATCTCAAAAGAGATTTTCACTCACTCTAATGAAGAAGGACAAAATGATGGATAAACCATTAGAAATGTTACAAGGAAAATATACAAAAGCAATGTCTACCTTGTATCATAAGGAAATCCATGAATATATTCTCGATGTTAGATCTGTAATCAAGTCCAAAAAAGAAAACAAGGTCAGCAAAACTTTCTTGTTGGGTACAAAGAGTACACAATTAACAGAAAAAATTGTTAAAGATACAAAGCATACATCACTGAGAAAATCCATCAAAATTCCAAAATCAGTATCAGATTCAATCTCAAAGGCTACAATGATGGATGATGAATCTACACTAGGTACTGAAATTGATTTTTCAGATGAAGAAGAAGATTTTGATGATGAAATTATTGAATATGTAAAACCTCAACAGTCTGATATTTCATCCAGAGTTGACACTCTTTATGCTTACTGCTTGAACACTATTTGTAGCACAATGTTCCAAGAACAACAACATATTTCTAAATTATTCTTAATGGATACCAGTTTGGAGGAAGTTCCATTTGTAACATTTGATGAACAGTACGAAAGTGAAGATGAAACTCAGAGCACAGAAGGAGATCAGAAAAAATCTCTTGATATTGTACCAGGAGCAGCAGAAACTAGTCAAAACTCTCTAAAATCAGAGGTTTATGTAATGATGGAAAAGATGTTCAAGGAAACCAATGAAAGTATGGCAAAGATTACCAAATATGTTGAGTCTAATACTGACAAATTTTATTCTCTTTCTATGAGTTTAGCTGCTGAAAGACAATTCAGATACTATAACGGAAAAAGTGTTTACATTTCAGAATATATTTTATATGTCAAGACACTCATTCAGCAGATTATCCACAAGTTTATTTCAAAACAAATAGAATCTATTGAGGAATATAAGTGCACCATCAAAAAGACACATGTGGTTCCTTATATTGCCAAGTTTTCCTACTTTAACGATAGATTTGAAAGTATCATGATGAACTTTTCAGATATGAGTACTGCTAGATCAAGTGCCACGACTGATTATTTAAAGATTATCAAAGCTATGTTTGATTCTTTGGAGAAACTTGCCAATACCAATGAAAAGCATGCTTCTGCATTTAGAATGAAGAACTACTCATATTTCTATCACTCCTTACTGAAGAGACCAAACTTGTGTCAAAATGAGTTGCTTGCAAAACAAGCTGATATTGCCAAGAAGAGATTCGAAGATGCTTGCAGATTCTATATCCTCTGGATGATTAACTTTAGATTTGAGCAATTATTCCAATTTATTGATGGTTTGGAAGATTGTATTAAAACCACATCAAAGGAAGACATTATTTATCAAACTCAATTCTCCAAGTCTAAAGTTAAGGAATTAATCAAAAAGTATGATCAAACTGTTCTCCAAAAAGGAATTACGGACCTAATGAAACGTACGGATAAACATATTGGACAAAAGAATGTGGATGAGTCTACCTACAAAATTCCAAAAGCCATTGAGGAAAGAGGACCAAAAGCTCTTCACAAAGAAGTCTGGTCCAGATTGAGAAAATTCTTCACAACAAAATATGAAAGGTTTGAATCAATCATTACAGAAAGCTATCCAACATGCAAACCAACTAGTTCAAAGGAAGTGGAAGCAATATTTGATTCTTTGAATATTAAAGATTAAATAGATGTCATCAACATCTTTTTTCATCTTTTTTTCTTTTGTATTGGTGGCAATAATGGGAAAATAAAAAGGCGACTGAGGGAATTGAACCCTCGACCCTCAGTTATCTCAGCATTTCTGCCTACAAGACTGATGCACTACCACTGTGCTAAGCCGCCCTCACAATGAGCAACATATGACAAAATTTCGAAAAAATTCTAATTTAAACATTTCATGTCCACAATGCTGTTCAGGTAAAAAATTTTAGAATAAACCCACTAAATTTTTTATTTACATCTATGCTTCTTCAAAAGTGATTTCATCATTGTAAGGAGAAACCGAAGAAACTCTAACAAATACTAAATTTCCAGCAGCCCTATTTTGAGCTGACTTGACACTAGTCTTAAAAGCTGATTCCATAAGATAAAGCTCTGATGTGTAAGGAAGTTCATTAGGATCCAAACTTGTAACAGAGTTCTTTCTAGTTTCTAATACAAGTGCCTTGTACTTATTAAGATTTGATGATTTGGTAAGATTTTGTTCAAAATACTTCAATAACCAAAAACGTTCACTCTTCTTTTGCAAACTATTGATAGCTCTAGTTGTTGGTTCAATAGCAAAGATCATTTCTTGAATTTCATCCCAGGTAAATGGTTGTTTTTCTCCTCTCATTTGAGCCTTGAGTTGATAGTGAACCATCAAGTCGCTGTATCTTCTGATTGGAGATGTGACTTGAACATAGTTTGCACTACCAATGCCTTGGTGGAATTTTGGTGATTGATTAATGCAAACACCTGCAATAGGGTAGAATTTCTTGTTAGAATCAACAACCAATTCACAAACATCCTTTTCAGGCAAGTTAGTACGAAGAGAAAGAATCTTTTGCATTTCTTCATTGGAAAGAAGAGGTGGAAGATCAGTAGTAACAGTTCTAGTACCTCTATAAGGAACAGCAATATCATGTTGATGAGCATAGAATCCTCCAATTTCGTTGGCAGCAATCATAAATTCTTGTACCAATCTTCTAGAAGGACTCACAAGTTCCTCAAATGTTGTGGAAACTTCAATATTCTTCTCAGAGTCGCTGACATAAACCTTTGGTCTTGGTGTCAAAGTTGGTGGAGTTGCACCTTTACCCATTCTAAAGGCAAAACGTAAATTAGCAACTTTAACCATATGTTCGAAAGCTTGTTGAACTTCAGGTTCAGCTTGGACAGTATTTTCAATAATGTTGTCAGCCATAGAGTAATCTACCTTCTTGACCTTTCCGAGTATTGCTGGAAAGACATCCCATTCAGATAGAGAACCATCACTATTAATCTTTGAAGAGAAGGTTAATGAAAAGTTTTCCTTCAAATCAGAAAGACTGAGAATGTTTGCACTCAGATCAGCAGCAATCATACTGAACTTAATGTCAGGCAGGTAAACACTGGATACTCTTTTTTGAGCTTCCTTATCGATGCTTGAGCCTTGATCAATGTATCTGGTAACATCAGCAATGTGAACATATATGTAGTATTCACCATTCTTAACTTCAATACTGACTCCATCATCAACTTCTGTAGTCTTTGGATATTCGTCAATTGTAAATACAGTCAGGTGTCTCAAGTCTTTTCTGATTTTGCTGTCTGGATCTGATGCAGACATTATAGAATTCCTAGCTTCTTCCACAATTTGCTTAAATTTGTCCTCTTCTTTCATGTGGCACATATCTTCTTCCATTGACCTCAATAAGTGAATGTTTTGTGTTTTGAATAGTTTCAAATCTCTTGCAACTCTGAATGCCTGCAAGTGATCATCAGCACCTAGAGGTTTGAAAAATGCTTCATAAATCCTCTTTCTACTTTCAAGATTAGAGTACATTCCCAGCGCATATTGTCTGAATACTCCTAGCCTCTCTGCGTCCTTTTGTTCATCGAGTTCTAAGTTATCCCTAGTTATTTCAATATCAGGTCGCATAGCTTTAATCTCCTTCATTATATTATTTCTTAATTGTTTGTAAAATAGACTCCTCTCTTCATTTGTTACCAAGAGACGATTCGTTATCTTGAGTAAGAAGAGCTTATCTAGAAGAATGTTTTCCTTTTCCTCGGATCCCATATGTTTCAATTCTTCGACTTCTCTAAGGGATCTGCATTCAAAATTGAGATTGGATGTATGTTTAAAGTAGAGTGGGTTTTTGTACAAGAATCTGTAGGCAGAGTAGAGGGCAGTAGCATCTGTAGATTGGAATAGGTGTTCTGAAGCTTCCTTGATAGTTATTTTGACATTCTTTCGTTGTAAAAATGATCTCCACATCTTGTCACAATCCTCAGTTGTAAGGTTTGAAATCATATTGGCACTATCAATTTGCATTTGCTTGGCATCATCAATGTTGAATCTTTTGTCATTACTCTCATTCGAAAATTGATAGGTTAATTGATTGGAATTTACAACCTTGTTCATACCATGTATGTCAACGATCAACCACTTGTTGTTATTTTCATCCTGTGACTCTGGTCCTGTTATTATTGCCAACTTTCTTTCAAACTCGTCATCATATTCAACTATAATACTTTGAGGTGTTCGTGATTCTTGACTAAAAGCTCGAGACAAGTTGATAGAACCAGGTGAAGCAAATGTATTCAAGTTAGTGTGGAATGCTCTCTTCCCATATTGATTAGCTTCTCTTTGTATCTTATTCTTGTTAGGTGAAGGTGGTCCTGATGTGGTAGTTGTGGTTGTTGATTTTCTATAGATACGAGAGCCAATATATTGGATCTTTTTCTTAGTTTCATTTGGTGTGGAAGCGGAGGTGGATGGTATTATTTCATCTGTTACTGATGAAGAAGTGGCAGCAATATATTCTGGATATGGTTCTTGTTGGAGGAAGAAAGCTTCTTCATCAAAGTATGGATTAACAGCATTAGGTTGATGATGATATTGTTGATAACGTTGTTTAGAATGACCTTGGTAGTATGTAATGTTGTGATAGTGATAATTCTGAGCAAATGCATCACTATTTGATGTGGTAGTTGTTGTGGTCTTTTTGATGATGGAAGGATTTAAATGATGATTATAGGAAGTTGTTGGTTGGGTTGTGTTGGAGGAAGATCCTCCAAAGTTTTCACTGTAGAATTTGTTAACCACAGGTGGAGCATTTGGGAGAGCATTTACATTGTTGAGGATGGATATGGATTGGGAGAGACCTCCTGTATACTTCTTGAATGAGGTGTTCTTTGACATTTTCTTTGTTTTATATTAATATATTTCTAATATGATGATGGAATAAATTATTATTAGGATGATGAGAAGCAAATAGTCCGCAAGCTAAAGTCCTTTCAAAATATCCTCTTCTAATAGAATGAATTTTCTAGAAAGTAACAATAATAGTCTTACCAACTCTCTCAGGTGAATGTGATACAAGATGAAAGCCGTTACGAATTTCTTCAAAATTGCCTTCTTGTTACGGTTTGCTGCAGAACACGCGCAGTAATTGTTTCAGCTCAAAAAATTATTTGAGGAAAAATTCGGTTAGTCTTTTATTTTTTTTCAAAACTCTATTGAATATTTTTTATCCTTCTTTGTTTGGCTTGTGATAATAATTCTATTCGCAGTCAATGATTTACAATTTTTTCGAAGGTGAGGAAACAAGATTAATAATGATATTGAGGCTTGTGTGAGAGAAAGTAAAAATAAACAATCCTGTTTTTTGATTTATTTAATAGAAAATGAGGCACAGCCTCATTTTCTATTCAAAATAACTGTTCACTATTAAAAACACTAGAAAAGGAACGGAAAATTATGAAAAATTTTTTGTAATCAATAAATTTTTAAAAAAAATACGTTCACATCAAACTGTTGAGTATATCACTCATTCTATTACCACAGGCCTTTTCCTGTTACCAACGGTAAGTTGTTGTTGGCTCTCACTTTCTGACTCACTTTCTGTCAAACTCTCTTCATCACTCTCTAAACAGACACTGTAATCATCTACGTCACTATCTGGAAGATAGCTATGTCATGAGATAAGAAGTTGTATTTTGATGGATCAAAATCTTCTTTGGAATACTCTTCGTCCAATAGTTTGCATATTCTATGATTGTGATGATTGTGTCCTTCCTATCACAAAATAAGCAATGGTTAGGTTCTCTCCTGAATTAGTTCAATCTCTCTACTTTTTAATGTGCTTGCCAATGCCTGTGTGTATCACATGATGGCAAATTTGCAATATTTACGAATATTTCATTGGTTGTAAAATTGCGTCAAGTGCTTCTCTATGTGGTGATCTGATGTATGATTGTCATTAATCAGAAGTTGCACTCTTTCACTTTGCTTGCAGAATATCAGTGGAAGACACACGACGTACCTGAATCCATCTTCTCTCTGGTAGTGTTCGGCTTATATTTCGTCATTAACACAGAGCCGTAACTCTGGAAAGTGTGATTGAATAAACAATGTTTATTTTGCAAAATGTTTACTCTTGGCTTGTCTTGAATTTCACTTACCTCCACAACAAGGACAAAAGTATTGTACTTTGGTTTTGGTTTGCCATGTTATTTTCAAATGATTAGTCCAAGATTCGAACACTGACCTGGCTGTCAATTATCGGATTCACTAACCGTTACGCTACTGTTACATTTAAAAAATTAGTCAACTTTGAGCGAGTATTTATAGATTGACATGTCAATCCGGAATATTTTTAATAGGATTGTGTATTTTAATTTTCTCACTGGCTCAATCAATTTAGATGCCTTAACTAAACGAAACTAACACCAACCAAAGTTGAATATTTAAGTCAGTTCAAAGCACTGAGAAGGTTTATTCAACAACAGGAATAACAACAATATTTGTTAACCTGTATTCAGTAAAATAATAAGAGAAGAATGAAAATTTAATCACAAAAAACAAAGAATAAAGGATATTAAAAGTAATGCTGACGACTTGATAAAGATGAGACATGCAAAAGGCTACAGCGAGCGGGGCTTGAACCCGCGACCTTAAGCGTGTTAGGCTTACGATCTAACCAACTGATCTATCGCTGCTACAGTATTAAGGATTTGAGGTATTTCTTAATCTTTTCAAAACATGGAAAACGAAGCGAATTTTTGAAGCGTTTCTATCTATCAAAACTGTCGAACCATAATTCTGAGTTATCTTATTCAGACTGGTGTATTAGATGAATAAGGGTCTGAGAAAACAGCAATTCGATGTGATGTTGTTGGTTTTCAGCTAGTTGTATTTTTTGATTAGTTAGCTAAAAAGATGAGTTTTTATGAGTTCTAACACAATTTCATCAATTCTATCATTCAATTACTAATTTAGTCAAAATACAATTGAAAGGTGAATCTCACTAATATTCGTATTTTGAGTTGACAAAAAAAAATAAACAAAATGATGACAAATAATCCTCCACACAGGCTTTTGTTACTTGTTGTATTTGCACTGTGCATCCTTTGCTACTCATCATCAGACGCAACAACTTTCGTCCCACAACACGAAGTTTCAGATAGATTCTTCGTACCACCAACCAATGACCTCGCCATATCACCAAATACACAAAGTAGCAAACCTATCAATACACAATCCTTCCGTACTACTTCCACTCAACAACAATGCTCATGTCCCAATTGTTATTGTAATAGTCAACAATGTCCAAAAGCAGTATCTGCAAATTCCTATCTAGTTCTCTCAGCAATGGAAGACTGTGCTGCCAATAATCAAGTTCCTGCTATTGGTCTTGTAAATATTCAATCAACTTCATCTTCAAACCAATTCAAATATGGACTCGTTGATGAGGATAATAAGAATAAGGCATTGAGTGGTCAAGGTTTTAAATATTATGCCTATAAGAGTAACTTGGAAACTGCCACTGATTGTGTGAGTGATAGTACACCTGCAATTAGAGTTACTGGAAAGGCATATTTAATTGCAAAAAGTTCTAATTTACTACTGGATACAAATGTCAGATTTAATATTCAAATGTCTTGTGTACTTGCTCCATTTTCAACTATTTCAATGAGTGTTAAACCAATGGATTATTCTAGATTTTATGTTGGTAAGAGAATGATGTGGTCTTTTTCATTTGTAAATCAATATGATAATGTTGACACTTGGCAGAAAGGTACTTTAATGACACCTGATAATGTTCTTGCATCAGTCAATAATGGAGTTGCCTCTCTCATTCATACCCCTTCTACTGTTGGTCAATTATCCCTCGACCTTAAATATACACCTGATTCCACAGTTTACGGAAGTATTTTCAACTTTGCTACTAAACCATTGGAAGTTTTCAAAATGGCTGTTGATGGATCAATTGAGGTTACTGATAAAGTACAACTCAAAAAAGAATTCCAAGTGAAATACACCATCAAGGATAGTGATGGAACTGTAACACCAAAGGTTGATTTGTCAAAATTGAGTTTTGTCTGCCCAGAAGTAGATTTGGTTTGTGTTAATCCAACAAGTGATGCTGGATCTGGGTCAAGTGTAACATGTACTGCAGGAAAGAGCGGTATTGCTGTCATTTTAATGCAATTCGATGGTAAAACAATTGATGCTTCTAGAAATGTAGCAGTTATAGAAATTGATCCAAATGCCAATGATAATGGAAAGTATTGGATCGACTATCAATCAGCAATTGTTGCAATGCTTGTTTTGGCTGTCATTGTAATTGGAATTGTAGTAATTGCAGGTGCTGCTGGAATTTTCATATATTTTAAAAGAAGAAGAGCTGCCCAACCTCAAAAGATTAGATTATCAGAGGATGAACAAGCTGAAGATTTAGAGGCATAAATAAATCTATTTCTAAAGAACATTTTAACTTCCTCCTAGTAACAAAATTAAGAATATTTATATTTAACAATTTAAGAATGTGAATGGCTACGGCCATATCACGATTCATGCACCTCATCCCGTCCGATTTGAGAAGTTAAGCATCGTAGAGCCACATCAGTACTGAGGTTGGAGACAACTTGGGAACCTGTGGTGCTGTAGTCTTTTATCTTTTAGAAGTGTTTAACATTTCATAGCTGTATTAGAGTTGATATGGTTTGTATGGATCTGAGCTACCTTTGAAAGTTTAACTGGTTGTCTGGATATCATTAAAAAGACATCAAATGATCAGATTCTTATTTAATAAATCACCTCCATTCTTTACAAAGTTCACCTCAACACACAACATTAATAAACAAAACACTGGTGAACTTTAATGAATAGTTACAAAAAAAATGCTCACAACATTAAACTCACTTTTTAAACAGAATAAATCATCAGCAATACTCTCTAATAACGCAATCAGAGGTATCATCACGAGGAGATTATTTCATCATCAAAATCACACATTATCAATACCAGTAGTTGATGACGAATTTCCAATTAAAACCAAATTTACAATTCGCTCAGATTTACGATTTAAATTTGATCATCATAAAACAGAATCTCTTGGGAAGAGACACAAATTACTGTTACAAGTGGGGAGGAGGGGTAAAAATCTTACTTTTAATTTAGGGGTGTTGGCTAGAAAATTACGAAATAATTGGGGGGGTAAAAACATTATTTATTTAATTATTTCTTTACTGATTCTTCAAATTGTGATTTCTTTGGTACTCCACGTTTCTAATTCTATAGTGGTTCTTCTTCTTGTTCCAATTCCTTCTCTTGTTAAACCTATGGAATTATAGTTGCTGGGAAAGTCTTCTTAACTTTTTCTTTGGTTATTTTTGTCCGTATGTGGTGAAGTACAAACCATTGTATTGTGCTGGTTGTTGTTGATTAATCTTCCTTTCTATTTACAAAAGTGTCTTCTAAGGTAATGAATCATCAGTTTGTACCAATGGTCATCCTTAATTAATTTCTTGATGGTAATAGCTGTAGGAATTCATGAAGCGAAGGTGAGGCGTGTTATTGTTGTGGAAACATTTGGAAGTGCTTTTGTTTTGGTAGAGGGTTAGTTGTATTGAGGTTTTTTTAAAATATTTTTTTACTTTTATTAAGCTTTTACAATAAAGAAAAATCAAGCAAGCTGAAAGCTAAGCTTGGTTTTTCTTAAAATTTTAATAAAATTACATAACACACGAGTGGGGTGGATAAAATATTATTTTACATACGAGTGGGGTCAAAACGAAGGACCGTAATTAATGTCTCTTCCCCTTCTGAAAATTAAGAAATGGTCAATTCCGATAAATGAAACATCGAAACTAAGTGCCAAGCAACAAATTATGATTATTCAATATGCTGGTCAATTGTTTGAGTTGACTAGTATGGTGGAAGGATTGATAACTCCATTGATGAGAGGGGAGGATTTAACAATTGCTAATTCAGATTATTTATTTGATTTGGAAAGAAATGATCTTTATTTGAGTACTATTTGTAGAGCTAGAGAAGGGAAAATTTTACAATTTCTAGTAAAGCCAGGAGATTGGGTCGAGAGAAATCAAGCTGGAATAATTATTGAGAGAGAAAAAAAAGTTGAGGAGTGGAAATTCCTTAAACCAGGTAGAATTCTCGAAGTTAATTTAAAAGTTGGAGATCACGTTGGCTTTTTTTATTCACCATTCACAATGATGGAGAAGGAAAGTGGCGAAACTAATCTTCCATTAGCTGATTGCAAATTTATTGGAATTAGCAATGAAAATCCAAAATATAGACCTGATATGGCTCCTCAAATGTATTATTTTGAGAATCACAATTGTGGAATTAGTACAAAAGAATACTATACTGAAATATATGATATAGAGTGGCTTGTTAAAGAAGGTCAATTGGTAAAGAAGGGAGATTTACTTTGTTCATATCAAGTACCCAAATTAAGATTGGAATTTATGAGTCCATATGATGGGAAAATTGTGTGGCTCAGAAGAGATGATTCCATGTTCATTGGGGATTCATTTTTTGAAATAATAGTTCACCAATAAAGTTTCCACCAAATTATTCTACTAAAATGGTTGAAGAAACAACCTTATTATCAAGTAATTTTCTAACTTCCATATTGAATGGACGTTTTGCAAGAATATTCTGAACAGTTTGTCTCAAATTTGTAAAAATCTTCCACTCATTACAAGCATTATCATCTGGTAATTGAATGACAACATCAAAGACTGGATCGGCTTTCAATTGAAGTCTCATCTTTTCACCATCTTTTGTTGCGTTTCTATCACCTAATCAATTATTGAAAATTAAAATTACTGCAATATTGTAAACTTACTCATAATTACACTTTCAACACCACCCAACAAGTCGCATAAAATTGGATTTTTGAGAATGGATTTCATATCACCATGCGCACTACCACAAAGAACAACCCCTCTCTGTGCGATGGTTCTTGCAGTACTGACCTCATCCCTGGTTCCAATCTCATCAATTACAATGACTTCTGGTGTGTGATTCTGAACGGCTTGAATCATTACTTCTTGTTGTCTTCTAATGTCAGCTACTTGCATTCTTCTGGCCTTACCAATCGCCACATGAGGTACATCTCCAAAACCACCAATCTCACAAGAGGTGTCAACTACGACAACTCTTCTTGATTCAGAAAGCGTCTTGGCAAAATCTCTGATAAAAGTCGTCTTTCCTGAACCTGGTTTACCCAAAAGCAAAATGCTCTTCCCTTGTTCAATCAAGTCTGAGAATACTTTCGATCTTCCCATTACTGCCCTGCCTACTCTCAATGTGAGTCCAATAATTTTTTCACTTCTATTGAGCATGGCACTAATTCTATGTAAGGCGCCATCGATTCCAGCTCTGTTATCAGTTCCAAAGGATAGCTTACTGACAACTTCATCAATGTCCTCCTGTTTAACAATAAATGAGTTATCAATGTGCGATTCCTTCTTGTGGTAGTAGAATAATTCATAGGGTCTTCCCTTATCCATGGCCACTTCAATTAAATTCATCACGTCCTCACCTGAAATTGTTGACAACTGTTCTTGAATCTTCTTTGGGAATAACTCCAAGAAACTGTAAATTTGATTAATAATTGTGACATTGTAATCAGTTTGATGAGTTAGAATTGCAACATCTTGTTGAGCAGACTCCTGACCTGCTGTTGGAGATTTCTTAATTTGGAGTATGTCCAAAATGAAATTCCACAATTTTTTCACTTCAGAATCCACTTGAGCAAACACTTGTTTTGCCTCATCTTCCAAAGGAGGTGTCATGGCCTTACACAGCTGTACCAGAGTTCTGACATCTCCAGAAGCATAATTCAACATTTCTTCAGTAAAAACTTTCTTTGCCCAACTATTTCTCATATGAAGATTCTTGCCCAAATCTTTGAAAGCATTTCCTGGAACGTTATAGAGCATACACAAATCATTGAATGAAATATTTCTTTGGGTTTGATGAAGAATTTGATAGAGAATTGAAGTGTCCACAATTGAGGAAACACAAATATCAAAGTCCTTATATAGTCCACATAAATCATTCTCACAATTGTGAATAATTTTCAAAATGGTTTCGTCTTCAAGTATTTTCTTTACAGTTTCGGTGATGGTTGGATTTTTGAGTTTCATATCGAACAAGTATTGAGTGTTGTGAGCTGAAATCTGTACAAGAGTCAACACTCCATTAATTCCCAAATTAACACCTTCGCAATCGAATCCTACTAATTTGGTATTGAACTTGGACATGTCAGAGAGGAATTGCTGGGCAAGAGCTGGAGTATTGACAAGCACAATATCGCTCTTATTGGCATTACCTACACTCACAACAGTGGATGAGCTGCCAGCTGTCAACTGAGAACTATTAGCAACAGAAGTAGAAGCAGAAGTAGGTCCATTTGCTTTTTTAATTTGCTCTACCATGGAATTCAATTTAGTTCTAACATTTTTAATTGACCTTTTGCCTGTCTTATCAAAGGCAGCTGCCAATTGCAAGGTTGTTAATTGTTCCAACAAGTCGTAATCACTAGAAAATTGTTGATGCAAATTGGCCAAGACAAGGTTCGGAACTTGAACCATAAGAGTCATGGTATCTTGCTCTTCATTATAAGAGAACCATCTCTCACTCTCTCCACTAAATAATACATCATAGATGTATTGCCAATCGGGAAGGTCTTCGAATTGTGTCTGATGAGGTTCGAATGAGTAGCCATTCTCTAAATACTTTTCAAATATTTCACTCTTGGTTGGTTTTCTATTGCTGAGCGCACTGATGGAGCAGACACGGATGAGTTTATCAAGATAATTGGTTGTGGTGGCCATTTTGTTTTTTGAGTGTTGATGAATTGCTCTCAGAGATGGTTGATTTGGAATTGAATTTGTTCAGTCCGACTTGTGAATTCCCACCAATCAAACAGCTCCAATATATTCCTTTTAAGAAGTAGTATTTCAGATTCTTCCACATCAATATGCTCAATTTTAATAAAAAATCTTTCAATGTTAATCCTCTTCTACAATGTATTACAATGTATCTCCATTAATTTTGGTGTACCTTGTTTTGCATGTAATTTTCAAATGAACATTGGCTAATCAAGGTACATTAAAGTTGTTTAATGGAAGAAGAAAAACAGGTTTTTGAAATTGAGTTCTTCTCAACCTTAGTTTAATAATTCTTTTATTGATATCGAAGTTCTAATAATTTTCCTCTTTGGCAACTCAGAAGAACCAATATTGTGTGTTGATGTGGTGAGTAAAGATGATGTTTTGTTAGATACAGAAGAAGCAGTTGTCGGCAAGGCAAGAAGCGGAGTTATTGCACTATGATTCATCAATTTACATTTCCCAATGGATTGTTCCTGTTTCTTCTCTGTTTGTATTGGTTACATTAACACTACTGCATGTAGTAGTTGATTGAGTGAACCATTGATTGAAAACAGTTTCATAATGATTCAACAATTCTGTCGACTTTACAAACATTTGATTACCACTGACCTTCTTCTTTGAAGGTCTGCCTCTTTTCTTTGGTATTTGCAAAGTAGTATTACCATTCATTTGGGATGTTTGGGAAGTGTTGGGTGAAAAATCAATAATTGAAAACTTGTTATACTTGGTCATTTGAGGAGCATTAAGCAATGATTGTGTTCTTGTTTTTTATAATGTCTGTTGTGGACCAGTAACAGGTGAGTAACAGTTTTCTAAGGTTTTTGATACAGCTTAATATTATTCTCTATCGATTTTACGCTAGCTTGTGAACATCTTAAATATGAAATTGGTTTCAAATTACATAAAAACACACTTCTCTATAGAGACAGAATGCAACAGTGTTAGTCATTACGTGTATTTCAGTTATTTTGCTGTAATTTATCACTTGAGAATGATGCTTGTCAACCAATTATACAACGAACTTCTGAAGCAATTAGATATTTGTGCTTAATAGTACATAGAGAAGAAACTGGTTCAACTTCCTATTGGCAATAAGCCACAAAGGAGTGCAAGTTCAAATTTTAATTCTTTAGTATTTGGGTCTTGTTTGGATATCTATTCAAACGATGCTATTTATAATTCTCTTCTAATATTACTCAATAATTGTTGCAATTATTTATGTTCATCATCAAATTTTGAGAATTTAAAAATTTAATTAAAAAAAATGTCAGTCTTTTACAAGTTTAAATCCGCAAAGGATTATGATACAATCACAGTGGAAGGCAATGGCATTTCCTTGTCCAAATTAAAACAGAGTATTGCTACACAAAAGAAGTTACCTAAAACAATGGACTATGATCTTGTCTTGGAAAACGCTCAAACTGGAGAAGTGTACAAGTATGATCAAGATGTTGTACCAAAGAATACTTCAGTGCTGGTTAAAAGAGTACCTGTAACAAGAAGTGTAGGATCTGCTAATAATAATCCTTCTGCAAATTCCCAGCCTGCCATCATTCCTCCATCTAATAATAATTCATCATCACTCCTCTCTAATAATAATAATAATACAAATCAAAAGAGTTTAACAGGAAGCCTATTTTCAAGAAATACATCGTCAAATGATAGCGGAGCATCTTTTGCTTCTGTTTTTTCTGGATCAAGTGGGAACGAGACAACAGAGGAAACAATAGGAGAAGAACAAAAATTGAGAGATTTAGCAAATAATACAGGAAAATGGATTCCGGATACACCAAGTCAACAACAGCATCATTCCCAATCAAAACGTATTCCTCCACCAAATTATATTTGTCACAGATGTAAAAAGACAGGACATTACATTCAACATTGTCCAACTAATGGCGATGCTAGATATAATATTAAAACTATTCGTATTCCAGTTGGTATTCCAAAGAGTTTTTTACAACCTATTGAAGCACCAAAAGCCGATTCAAATAATACAGTTGTAATGCCTGGAGGAAATTTAGCTGTTTTGGCACCAAATGAAAAGGAATTTTCAAAGATTTTAGGTAAGAAGAATGTGGAAATTAGGGAAGTTCCAAAAGAATTCCAATGCTCAATTTGTTCAAAGATCTTAACTGATGCTGTCACCATTCCATGCTGTAAAACAAATTATTGCAATAATTGCATTACTCATGCATTAATACATGATACTCATTTAACTTGTCCAAATTGTAAATCTCCTGATCAATCTATTGATGCTCTAGCTCCAAATTATGATCTAAGAAGGAGAGTTGACAATTATAAAGCAAATTTGGATTCAGGTGCTCCTCCTTCACTTCTCAGTACTGCAACAAGTCAATTTAATTCATCATCTAGTTACCATAATTCTAATAACAACTCTAATAATTATAATAACAGTAATAGTGCTAAATCATCTCCACCTAGTCAAAATTACAATAGCAATAGTGGTGGAAGTAACAATCACCGATATGATAGTCATGACAATAAACAAGACAATCGATCTGGATCTTACAATAATAGAAGTAATAATAGTTATAGAAGATCACCTCCAAGAAGAGATTCCTATGATAACAGAAGAGGAGATAATTATGATAATAGAAGAGGAGGCTACAATGACAGAGGCAATGATAGAGGAGGTAGAAATGATCATTCGTACGATAAGTATGATAAGAGAGGTGAAAAGAGAGGAGGTTATGATAATCGTCGTTCAGATTATGAAAGTGATAGAAAAAAGTATAAGGATTAAGGTATTTAACATTTTGTAAATTTACTCCAATAAATTATTGTTTTTTATCCATCAAATTGATTAATCTCATCATGCTTTGTATTATCCACCTTGAAAGTTATTCTTTGGCACTTTCCATTTTAATAAAACAACCTGTTGTAAATAAAATTAACAATTTATTAAATTTTAAATTTTAATTAATAAAAAAATGAGCCAACAACAAAACTCATCACGGAACAATAATTATTCATACAATAATAGTAGTAATTATAATCAATCATCGTCTTCTAGTGGTGGCAGAAGACAATATAATTCATCATCATCAGAAAGTAGTAGATATCACGATTCCTCACATAATAATAGACAACAAGATAATAGGCAAGGAAGAGGTGGCTATAATAATAATAATACTGGTGGTGGTGCTGGAGGAGATTACAGATCATCTTCAAATAATTACAATAACAATAGAAGAAGTGATAATTATGAAGGAAATTATAGAAATTATGATCATCATAACAAGACTGTGAGTATGAAACAATCTCATCACAACAATTCCTCATCTTCTGATTCTTTTAAATATAAAGAAAATTATAATAGAAGAGATGATAGGATAAGTAATAATAACAATAGGATTTCGGAACAAGATCATAAAAGAAAGACAGTTGATAGTAATAATGTAAACAATACTGAACATCAAGTAAAGAAAGTTAAAATTGATGAAAAACCTTCCCTTCCTCCTACTTTAAATAATTCGATCATCTCGGAAAAGAAGGATGAAAATACAGAAGAGAGATTGAAGCAACAATTAAATAACGAAACTCTTTTATTACAAAATAATGATGAAGAGCAAGTAGCAGCAAAAAGAGAAGAACGAAGAATGAGATTTAAACAAATGGAGGAATTAATTCTTTCAGAGGTTAATCCATCAACAGTAGAAAGTGAGCAAATGGAAGACAATAGCACTGAAAATTCTGCTGATAGTGATGGCGATGAAGAAACAGTAGAACCATTGAGGGAGTATAATGCTAACGATGAGAGAGCATTATTTATTCATCAAATTGAAAAACAAAGAGAAAGGGAAATCGATGACAAATCTGATATTACAGAAGAAACAAAAGTAACTTCACTATATGATGAAGACAATTCAAACTCTGAATCACCAATCATTGACATGTTTGCAGATTCACCTGATACACTTGTAAAATTATTGAACACTAATAGTAATCTAGATAACAATACCTCAACAGAATTATATGATGATGCTGAAGGATATTACAGATATAACATTGGAGAAGTAATTAATCAACGATACAAAGTTGAACAATTCCTAGGACAAGGTGTTTTCAGTTGTGTTGTAAAAGCAACTGATTTGAATTCCACTAAAAACACAGCCCAAACACCTACATTAGTAGCTATAAAAATAATAAGAAATATTGAATCTATGAAAAAGGCAGGGCTAAAAGAATTGGATCTATTATCCAAAATCAATGAAAAGGATACCCAAGAATATAGTATAATTAAAATGGTTGAATCATTCACGTATAGAAACCATTTATGCATTGTATTCGAATTATTGGAGATGAATTTGAGAGATGTACTAAAGAATTATGGAAAAGTGCAAGGTCACCAACACAGTGTGGGTATTTCCATACAGGCATGCAAAATCTATACAAAACAACTTGTTAATGCCCTAAAATATATTCAAGAATGTAATATAATACACGCAGATATCAAGCCTGATAATATTTTGCTGGATCACTCACATCAATTTGTAAAATTATCTGATTTTGGATCAGCATGTCATATCAGTGAAAATACTATAACACCATATTTAGTGTCTAGATTTTATAGAGCTCCAGAAATTATTTTAGGAATGAAGTATTCTTATCCTATTGATATGTGGAGCATTGCTTGTACTATTTATGAATTGTACACTGGTAAAATTTTATTTACATCCCAAAACAACAATGATCATCTGAGATTAATCATGGAATTAAAAGGTAAATTTCCAAACAAGGTTCTAAAGAGGTGTGCTTTTAGAGAAAATCATTTCGAAAGTGATGGTGCCTTTTTATTTAGAGAATTCGACAAACTCACCAAGAAGATCAAGATTTCTAAAGTATACTTCCAACGAAATACTAGAGATTTGAAAGCCATGTTATTGAACTCTATGCTCCAAAACCATCAACAAGATGAGAATGGATCTGAGCAAGCACTCATGGAAGAAAAGAAGCAAGTCATGTTATTGCATGATTTCTTAGAGAAGGCATTAGCTCTGGATCCATCAAAAAGGTTGAGTGTTAATGACGCTTTACTGCATCCATTTATTAACAATTAATATTTCATTAAATACTGTACAATTTATTCCCAATCATCATCCTCATCATTTTGTGCTGCACTTGTAGCATTGTCAGATGTGGTGGCGTCACCACTAGCAGCAACAATATTATCACTGTTAACCTCTAATGTAGTGTCATTTGTTGCTAATGTTGTTTCATTCAATGATAAAACTTCGGAACCTAATTGCATTTTAATGTAGTCTCTAATCTCTTGTACGGAATTAAAATCATCATTTAGAATATCCTTCAGAACGTCCAAATATAAATGTTCTTTAACACTTTCATTCTTGGTGTTTGTATTATTCAAAGATTCAAACAACTTTCTCTTCTTTTCATTTTCCTCAAAATTTAATTTTAATTGATAATATCTCTTCCAGAATAATATAAATGATATTTGTGAAGGGACAATGTTAGTATGAATTTCCTTTAATTTTGGATCATTTTCCAACAATTTACTAATTTCATCAGTTTTAGAATCAATATCAATTTGAATAGTATTCAAATCATTTTCATCACTTAAATAAATTGGTGTTTTGTATGATTGTTCATTGTACAGAATATTTTCAATACTAATATTTGATGATGATTGATCCGAATCTCCCAATTCTGAAGCCAATTCATTAATCTTTACAATACCAACAGAAACGGCATCAGCAAATTCATCAATATCCTTCTTGTACAACTCGATCAGTTGGTTGCCATTTTGTGTAACCGTTTGTGAAACTTGCTCAGCCAGCGATGAAAAGTAATCAAACATTTTTTTTAGAAAATTTTTTCTCATAAATTATCTCTTTAAGGTTTTTTTAAAATCTGATTGCAAAATTTCCATTTATTGGAAATGCTAGTCTTGTAAATTGTGTTATTCATTTCCTAGTCTAGTAATGAATTCCAGTTTGTGTTCAACATAAAAACTATTGAATTTGGAATATCTGTAGCAGACTTGGCCGAGTGGTTAAGGCGACAGACTTGAAATCTGTTGGGGAAACCTTCGTAGGTTCGAATCCTGCAGTCTGCGAGTGAACTTTTAAATATTACAGCTTTTGGGATCCATTTTTAGGGATGGAACTTTGGATTTATCTACAATTTACGGTTAGGGATGGTATACTCTCGCTCCAATCAAAGAATGGTTGATAAGAATTATTTTACAACTCAAACAAAAAACCTGTTACCGTTTTGGTGATAAATTAAAATTTCACTCTAAATTGTTCGGTGATTCAAACATGTTACAAATAATGGGATTATTTATTATGTTTTTGTAATAATATACTTAAACACAATTTATTTTCCTTCAGTCTGGTAGAAATGTAATTAGTTTAGAACAAAATAACAATTTGAATCTGTATGCAGTGGAATTAAGTTAGATTCTTTGGAGACAAGGCAAATATTGAACCATTAATTATTACTACTTCAGTTAAAGAGAAGCAGAAAAAGGAGAAAACTAAAGCCATCAAAAGAAAGAATAAGGAAACTCCTTAAAAACAGACTTGGTTGTTTTTTTCTTTCAAGGATATATCTATGAGCTGCAAATTAATACACGGGCAAATTTTGTGTGAAATTAATGGATTCAACTAATTCTTCCATTCCATTAATAATACTATTTATCAATAAATTATATTTAAAGGAATCAATTTGATTTTCTTGATGAAATAAAATGTGCATTTTTTTTGAGGAATTTAATAAGAGTAATTCATTCTCCTTTTTCTCCCAAAACAGTTTACTAACCGTAATTCTATTCTTAGAAAATTTTTGAGGCTCGCATTTTTCACGTTTTCTAAAATAAATTCAAACTAAATAAAATTTTTATAATCCACACATTGTAGTAGAAAGGAAAATATATAAATTAACGATAATTAATTGGATTTACAATGTTTCCCAAAAAACGGTAATACTAAGATAAATTATGAGTGAACAAATAATTTTCAAAGGCTTGTTAAAAAATTTGAAATAATTTGATGAAGTTGTGTATTTGATTGGATTTTTGATCTTACATTCTTGAGGTGATGAAGTTGGAAAAATCAAATGCTGAAGGGAAGTTTTTGTGGCGGCCACAGATTGTATTTTTTCAAGTATTGGTGTTCATTAGAGTGTGTGGACTTGTTGTTAATTTATAATTGTATCAAATTACAAATCCCTTTCCAAATCAAATCATTCGATTCTATTTTGGCGAAATTGAGAGACTTCTGAATCTATTGAATCAATGAGTTAATATGGTGAAAAATAAACTGATGTTGAAGAAACAAGGCTTGTTAAAAAAATATTTTGAATTAAGTTACATGCTTTCCTTTTTAGAAAACATACACACGATTGATTTTTATTAGATAAGTGAGATTAGACAAGTTTCATCATTTAAAAATCGTCATGCTCACATTCGCTTCCTCTTTATCTCATTCTAAGAGAAGTAAGAAGGAGCAACATATAATTACAACACCACCAGCAGTATTTCTCCATCAAATGTTCAGAGTAGTAGTAGTAACAGTGGTTCAGGATTGGTATTTCCAGTGGACACTAGTGTCAGCCTTTGACGGAGATGAGAATGTATATGGTCACCATAAGATGTGAGAATAGATTTGAACGAGAAATTCATTCCACACTCAACATTTAAAAACCCTTCAATTAATTAATAAAACAAATCTAAATAAATATATAGAAATCCAAAAAATACTTACAAAATTGTATTTCAAAGCCTTCACATATTTCACTCATGTGAAATTCAATACAATGAAGGTATTGATTGTTGGATTCATTTAATTGGAGCATGTTGTTGATTATTGTTATTTTGTTTTTTTTGAATGAATTGAAAGTCTTGTTGAATGCTGTTACTATTTATTCGATTTAACATGTTCAAAAGTTCTGTAAAAGGGTAACATTGTTACCAATTATATTACATCAAATCACAAATCTCAATTCCAATAAATCAAATGTTTTTTATTTGGAGATATTGAAAGAACTTACATGATCCGATTTGGTTAAAATTAGGTCATTTTTTAAAATAAATAACAAATCTTGTTTTATGTTTTTTTCTCGATAATTAATTGAGAACGATAATCCTATCGAGGTCTTGTTGGATTCCTCATAAAATTTCCAATCCAATGAGTTCTTATTATCAGTAATAAGAGTGATGGTTTAATTGTTGAACGAATTTACAAACTTTCCAAATATGATGACCTGTATGAGAGTATTGGTAAAATCATTCAGTGTGTTCAGTGAAATTGCTTAGATTATATGTTGTCCAACATTAAAAACAAGTAAATTCACCATTATTTGGAAAAACAATTGTACAGCGGATGTTTCTGAAATTGTTGAGTTATAGTTGATAAAACGCACCATCTCTCAATCCACGCTTGAACGAGATAATTTGTTGTAAAATTTTGTGAAAAACTCAATGTTTATTAAATGCAATTAAAAGTATTATTCGTCTTTTTCTCTAATGGTTGAGAGAGCAAACATACTCTGTTGAGATTTCATCACATCCTGTAACGATTGTTGAGTGGTGAGTATGTGTGAATAATTAACACTCATTAGGTGTTTTGGATTCATGAGATAGGTCTTGACTATTCCTTTGCCTTTAGCGTCAACCTCCCTCTCTTCAAATTCATATCCCAAATCGAAGACTCTCTCATAGGTCGAACGAGAAATTTGAATAGTACCTGCAACTCCAGTGGATTCCATTCTTGAAGCCACATTGATGGCATCACCCCATAGGTCATAGGCAAACTTCTTGGAGCCAATCACACCTGCCACAACTGATCCTGTGTTGATGCCAACTCTATACGAATGAATTTGATTAATAATGTTTCCATCACCTATTAAAACATACCTTATATTGATATCTTCTGTTTCCACAACCTTATTCTTGTTATATTGATGAATGACTCCAAATGCATCGATGGCAAACTTTAAAACACGCTCTGGGTGATCAGATTGACTATTGTGAAGACCACCAACTAGAAAGTAAGCATCTCCAATAGTCTTAATCTTTTCCAATTCATACTTCTCTGTCAATACATCAAATCCATTCACAATACTATTTAACATTTTCACAAGATCTGTTGGTTGCATCTTACTACTAATTCTTGTAAATCCAACCCTAAAATAGTCAATATAATGAATCAATTGGATGATTAAAATACTACTTACATATCGCTAAAGAAACAAGTAATATCATCAAATTTCTCTGCAATAAAGGTTTCTCCAGCTTTTAAACGATTGGCTACCTTAATTGGTAATATATTCTTCAATAAATTTTCACTCTTCTTCTTTTCATCAGCTAGCAAGAGGGATTGCTTTTTTTCTTGTGTAATGTCTTTGAAAGTTATCAGAATCTTGGCATCCTTTCCAAGCAACCGAATTGCATAAATGGTTATCTTGGCAGGGAACTTGGTATTGTTCTTTCTCATCATGTCAACTTCCAAGCTCTCCACAAGTTTTTGTTCGTTATTTTCATTCGATTGCTGCTCCTTTGATTGTGAAATGAGAGCATGGCACAATTGCTTTACCTGGGCTCTGAAGGGATTATCAAATAAATCAAGCATTGAAGTTCCCAAAATATCCAAACTCTTACTTCCAAACATTCTCAATCCAGACGAATTAAACAATTCAATTTCTCCATTTTCTTTACAAATCATTGTACCTTCCACACTTGAATTGAAAACAACCTTCAAGCTAGAATATTCATCATTGGTTTCGTCCAGTGGGTGGGCAGTCTTTTTTCTCAAGAGAAATGGATAATTAGTTTCCAACTTGTGGTGTAATGCAAACTCCCTTAATAATTCATTGTGATCAATAACGTCGATTGGTAGGTAATTTAACATGTTTCTGAATGAATGGTACTGGCTCCAGAAATTTGAAAGCATGTAGCAAAATACTAAAACGGAAGATAATATAACAATCAAACCAATAATTGAAGAACTAATTGTAACAGAAAATACCGGAACAGAAGACTCTTTGACAAATTCCTTAATAAAAGCAGTATACTTTGCAATTAATGGTTGAGATAGACGAAGCAATAGATTGTTTCTCATGGCCAAAGTAAAAGGGTCCAATAGTGTACCATTTGAAATTACAGATTGTTGCAGAATATAATGTTTTCTTGAATCAATGACTAATTGTGGAGCGGTACTAGCAAAATCAGAGAATACAGTCTCCAATCCCTGGCAATAAAGCTTGAAGGTAGCATAAATGAAGGTAATATTGTTTGCTCTCATATATTCAGTGCAATTATCAACGCCAACTGAAATAATCTTATCGACAGTTGGATATTTTCCAAGAAGAGGAACAAGAGACAACTCCTTAGATCCATAAATGAGTTTGCTCATGTAATCTGAGGCTGCTGCAATTCCATCGTTTACTCCAGCAGCCAACGAGTCGAATCTACTTCTCGCTTGCCACAATCTCAAATCACCAAACGATACTGTTCGTTTCAGTTTATATCTCAATGGTGCAGTTGGAGAAGTGAATTGTTCAGCTCCAAAATATGTATAGAATTCTTGAGCACTGAAGGCAGATCTCTCAACATTCACACCTGCCTGAATAGAAAGACGAACACGTGTCATGGTGTTAATAGCTTCTTGTCCATTGACATACGCCTCTGTAAACATTAAGGCAATTGTGGCACAGGTGGACACTACAATTACAATGCAGCTGAAAATGACAAACAAATTTGGTTTGATCTGATCAATAGATATTATACGTGTGCTTCCTATGGCATCATTCTGAAGTCTGTTAGATATATTGTGGAAAATCTTTCCAATTATGTCCTTCTTGATTTGAGTTTCAAAAAGTTTAGCTAACTTTTTCATATTACTCAATTCTACCAACATTAAGGCAATGAACATTGCACTAACCAACACAAAGGCCGATAACATTACTGCTGTATAAATCATAAATTGATTAACACTTTGATCAATTACTGAGATTGTACTGTCCAAGTACTTGGTGCAAAATCCTTCATAAGCTGTTGTAAAAACTCCCTTATTAGCCCACAAGTAATTAAAGTTAAAGTTTGGAAGTGGATTAAAGTATGAATCTTGGGAAGTAATATTCAATAATTTTTGCCTTTCAATTAAGGAAGAAGAATTCTCAACTGATAACAGCAATTCCAGTGGGAAATCATCAATAAGAAGTTGAGTATATTTGATTAGAGAGTTGGTAATATCAACAATTGAGGCATTTCTTGTTTGATATGGACCAGAGTAGAAATGTGGATCTGATGCATCCTCAGTTGGAAAATTAATCGAATAAATACTTGATGAATAGTCGGTATAAATGGCATCAGTAAAGACACCCTCTTGTCCAATCGAAACTAATCGTTTCAAATATTCTAAACTTGTTTCTAGTTTCTTTTTGTGATCTAAAATGTAAGCTGATTTTGAAATGGAAGGATAACCTTCTGTAAGAGGTGGAAATTCCACTTCCTGGAAATTAAATGTATTAATCCAATTTTGACAAGCTCTAATATTTCTAATGATGGAAAATGGAAGAGTTCCTGGAAAGCAAACATGCTCAACGTAAGGAACGGTTGATTTAACCTGAAAGGAATAGAATACACTCAAAACAATCGAGGCCACAATACATGCAATGACAAAGAGGAAGTAAGAGAAGGATAAGATTTTGACAATTCCATTTGGTTTTGGATTGGCAATGGCATTCAAGAAGAGAATTTCCTTTTTGAGTTGTGGATTGTCAAAAGCATCTTCCATCTCTTCCAGTTTTTCTTGTTCTGCAGTGTCAATATTGGAGCCTTCTTCAAAGAAGGCACTTGCAGTTTCTAATTTTTCATTTGGAACAATTCGATTGTTTCTCTTGGTTGGTGGAGCTCTACTGTGAGAACCTCTCCGTTTCTTCTTCATTTCTTCTTCTTCAAGTGAATTGGCCTCTGCATAGAGAGAATCTGCCAATGGTTTGTTAAATTCAAAATTTTCAATAAAGTTTGCCTGAACTCTCAATACTGTCTTGTTGTGTTTGTAATTGAAAGACAAGTTCTTTAGCATGGATTTGCACTCACTTGTCAGATTATAAATGGTTCTATTGGTTTTCTTTAAAGATTCATAATTGATATGCTCATTTGCCATTTCCTTCCAGAAAACTTTGTGTAGAGCTAAAAGGTTGCTTTGAAGTTTTTCCAATTTTTGGATTTGGCAAGAGATTTCAAATAGGCCACTTTTTGAGAATGAATTCGATTCCACTTCCTTGATTCTTTCCTGAATGGCAAGCACTTCAAAAAAAGCTGGATCACTTTTCATTGCCTTCCTCAGTAAACTTGTTGCCAGAACACTGGAATTTTGTTCTTCTGACCAAAAAGTTTGAACAAGCAATGATGAATAGATGAGAGAAGAGACATTTCGGAACATTTTGTGTTGAACCAGACCTTTCACAAAGCAAAATGCTATTATAGCATCATTCTTTCTCCGAAGGGAAAGTTTTAAGAATAAATTAAGATATTGAACAGATTTGGATTCGTCTAAATCTGAATAGACTACAGAGGCCATCTTCTCAATATAATTCAGCAATGCCAAGTCTGTTTCTGCACTTTCTTTGATTTCCATACTTGAAGGATGTGAATTGACAATAATAAAGCTTCTGATGGATCTCAATTTAACCCAAATCCATACGAATTGAACTAGAAATCCCAAAACGAAACCCAGTATCATTAAAGCAATCGTGAATCCAACCAAACCTCCACCAATCGCCGATTCATTGTTCGAATTGACCAGAGATGTAATGAGCGAACCAACACTGGCAGCTAATCTTGCTCCATACACACCTTGAACAATAGCATTTTCGTAATGCGTAAAGAATGGAACATGTCTTAATTGAGTGATACAACACAATCCAGAGATGAGTACATTTGCAATAGACGAAACATAGGAATATTCTTTTGGAATAACTAGCTCACAAATCAAGCCAATAATGTTCAATACACCAACAATACTAAACATCAGGCTGGTCTCAGAGGTGAGAGGTATCTTACTCTGTGGATTTGAGTTTGAAGTAACAAACTCTGTCAGAGGATAGATGATGATCAAGGTAAATAATGTACAAATAGACAGCACAATCATGATAGTATTCTCGCTATCCATGCATCCAATCAAATCAAATCTGTTGAGAGGATTTACTTCAACTGTTGAGGTTCCAAAAACAGTCTCCACAGTTATACTAATTTTCTGGAAATAGTTGCAATCAAGAAAGCCAACCAACAAATGACTTCCAATCAGATAAGAACCCTTGATGAACCAGCTCAAATACCACAAGGATAACTTTAAAAGTTTGAAATGATTGTTTGGTTTAATGGTCAAGTAGTAAGCCAAACAGAAGAGCACGCACGTAACACAAATTACAGACATGAAGAAGGCAGATAAACCAATAGCTCCATAATAAGGTATCATGTTAAAGAGTAGAGTGGTTGGAAAATTCAAAACCTCAAAAACATAACTTCCCTCATAACCCCAACGATGATTTCTAAGGGTTGGCACAAACATTTGACTCCACAACATGAGTAAATAATAGACCAAATATAATAGAAAGTGCTTCCATCCTGACAATGGAGCTCTTTCCTGCAGACTTGTCATCATTGAAAGAACATTTTCACGAGCGTGTGTAATGAATGATGAGGATATTGTCGATGACTCTGTAGAGCTCTGAATGGACTCTGAAACCTCATCATAAAACTTTTGGGAAGGAAGAAAATTGTTAGCACCAATGCCTGTATCAGAAGGTCTTCTCAGAGAGTGAAGTGAGTCTGAACTGTCACTTCCCCTCATCTTTGGAGCCAAGCTATAGGGTTCTAAGGAAATGATGGGAGTGCTTGATGATGATGCAATGGCCATCTATTATGCTATTGTTTTTGTTTTGTTGTTTTGGAATATTATTGATGATGGCGAATCACTATGGATTTAGCGTCTTCTTATAAAAAAGTTGAATTCCTCTTTAAGTGCAAGTGTCCTCAAAGTCCTTATTAAATGTCGTACTATACATAAATACTTTTCGTTGATGTATTTGGAATGTGCGAGATCGAGAAATTTCATTTTTTGGAAATAAGGTACGTAAGGCAAATAGTTGCCGTCCTTAATAAGTTTAAGGCCAGCGAAAACAAAGGTGAATATTCATTTCACGTTAAAAACGAATGTAAAAATTGGTGTTGCCAACATCTAAATTCGGAAACAAAACTCACATTGATTACACTAACTTATGCATTTAGAACCATCTTGTTTAATAACAATACTGTCCATACTTGAAGATGAATGTTTTTCAATTCGAGTTTTTTTCATTTTTTCAACAATCATGTATATTTCAACAATAAAACAAACACTTTCAATGCGAGCATTGTTAAATCCGATGATAATTGAGAAACAACAATTTTTTGGAAAACTATTTCCAAAATCTCCAAGATCATTTTCCTCACCTATACTTGTTAGAAAATCCCGTAAGTTTTTCCATAAACACTTTAGAACAAAAGGGTTACTATTTTCCTCATCTCGCAACACCAGAATTTTTGGCACAGATAATAGAGTGACAATTACCTTAATCCATGCTAACTTAAATATTTTCTCATCCAAAGCAACTCCCCTACCACAGTATTTAAAAAAAATGGTAGGAAAGAGTGATTATAGACAATACACTCTCTTGTTGAATGTGAAAGACGTTAATACTTTACCTAAAGGTCTAAAGAGTAAACTTGTCAAGAGTTTGGAAAATGTAAGTAAATAGAAGTTTTTTGCCAACAACATGGCAGAATTCTTTTGTTGGATTACATGGACGGGTACTTAGAGATTATGATGACGAGAGAAAATGCTACATTATTAAAATTGTAATGGGAAATCCATATGGAAAAGTATTGGATTGGGAACTTTTGGAAGAAACTATAAAAAATAGTTTCGAAAACTATTACGAGGAATTGCATAAGGAAGAAATTGGGCCACCAACATCATCCAAATCTGTGTATTTACGTCCTCTGTTTGTTGGAGACACTTCAATAAAGGCAAGAAGAACAGGTCAGAGCTATGCCTCCTCAGGAAAAGAGAAGCATATCCAAGCTAGTAATGAATTGGCTTCAAGAAGAACCTTAAGTGAGTTCAGCTCATCAACAATTCCTCTCCATCGTTCTCAATTATCAGAATCCGATTTGATATTCAGAGCAGATGAAGAAGAACTTCTCCAAAATCTCTCAAAGCCAACACATCTACCTTCACAACAAGTCCAATTTCCATTTTACCAACCAGAAATTGATCCATCAGTCTCTCAATTACCGGTGTACTCTCCTCAATTTTGTTCGTTCCCATTCTACCAAAAAATGATGTATCCTTATATTCCTTTTCAACAATTTACAACTCCAACCCTAAAGAGAGCCACAGGTGAGTTGCAAATAGGTCAATTCAAGCTTGACAAAAGCACGCCACAACATTGGTCCCCTGAGCACATTAAACTAGTATTGAAATATGGTGTTGGCTTGAATGAGAAGCAAGTTGCGAACTTGGAAATAAGTGGGCATGAGTTGGAAAGTCTAGTGGTTCTATTGATGGCCTGTAAAGGAGATGGTAAGGAAAAAATAGAGGCTACAAGAGATGTGTTGTTAAGTTTAGATATTGATGGATTATCCAAGTCTGTGGCATTGTCCATTTGTTGTTGGTGTTTTAAGGAGCTATTGTGCAAATAACAAAATCTAAAAATTAATCGAATTTTAAAAATCATTAAAAAAAATGAGACGAAATTGTCAACCGCCACCAGCTGGTTCTTCTTCGTCATCAAATAGGAATCATCAATCCAGTAATCAGAGTCCTCTTCTTAGACTCACCCGATATGAACATATGAATGATTTGGCAAGAATGTTTTTTGAGCAACATTCGGAATTACTTCCAACAACAAGCCTCCGATCATCAAATTCAACCCTCAACAATAATCCATCACCCATTTTTGCATCAAATAGTAATAATAGTAATAGTAATAATAATAGTATTTTGAATAATGTTGCTCTATCACCTAATGTTACACCACCACGAAAAATCACATCACAAAAACAACAAAGGCTAAATGCTGTTGAACATACATTAAAAACACCATCAGAATGGAAGGAAGGCTTGGGTGATATGCCGATTATTCTAGTTAATATGATAGAGGATAATAATTTGGTTAGACTTTCACCAGAATCAAGATTAGCCTTGTTGATCAGTGGAGATGGTGATAGTCAGGAATACTTATCTGTATTGCCCTCTCATAAACCAAAGACTTTGATTCATCAAGATAGAAAATTGAAACCCTATATCAAGTGTAAATTTAATGATAAATTAATGAATGGAGAGATAATTACTAGAGGATCTTCCAAGTTTATTGAAATTAATATTGATACATTATATTCAACCTTTTTCCCAGCTGATAATATTGCTAAATATGAAAATACTAAAATTATCGAACTCGAAATTTTTACTGGAAAACAAACAAAGAGCTTTTCATTCAATTGCTGTAAAACTAAATCAACTAGAAATTTGAAACGAACAACAATAATTTATGGAGCTTCAGAAGCAAGAATCAAAAATCAAACATTACAAAACGAGGAAAAAGTAAGAAAAACAATAGATAGACTTTCTGATCAATCATCATCATGCTCCTCCTCAAATCATACCATTCCCAAACTAGTTGACGTCAAACCTAGCCACCTTCCAACAATCCACAAAGATCCTCCAACTAGTGATCATGTACATATTCCTCAACATGTTGTTTCCAATCCTCAACAAGTATTGCAACAACATTCAACACCAAGAAAAATAACTAGAGAAACTCTAGATCATAATGGAAGAGTTACAAATGTTATTACCGAGTACTACAATAATGACTCCCCAAAAAAAAAGATGGAACCTCTTGTTCCTTTGAAAAAAGCTAATACACCAACACCTAGAGAGGTCATTTCGCTTGATGATGAAGTGACTGTTACACCATCAAGAAAGAAACGTAAATCCAATATTAATACCAACAACTCTGTAATTTTGATTGAGGACGAAGAAAAACCACCTGTCAGATCCATTAAGCCAAAACAAGAGGAAACAGTTATTGCTCCAATAATTGAACCAACAACACCAAAAAAGACAATTTCATTCTCTAGTGTTATTAACCTAGATGATTAGGAGGATTTTAATTGATCGCGAATCATTGTAAAATTAGGCTGCCTCTTCCTTTGACAAGGACATAATCTTCTTGTTCCTGAACCTGGTTCAGGCCTATTTTCACATTTAAACCTACTTGGTCTATAACCTATTATACATTCATTACTCAAAGCATCAATACTTGGAGAGATTGAGTCACCCTCTGTTGTTTCAACTTTACAAATACATGGTCTATTCACTACTTTTGACAGCTCGTCACAATGATTAATGTAAGGGAAAAACTCAGGACTACACGTAGAATAAGTATGTCCGCAACAAGTTGTACAATCCTCATCTGCATCACACAATATGCTTTCAACATTTTTCAATGTGGCAAGATTATATTTGTGAGTAGGAGTTTTGATTGGCATTTCGTAAATATCATGCGTTATAGATCCTTCCTTTGATTCTTTAGACTTTTTACAAGGTGAGAATAATGAATCTGGACAATTATTCAAATCAAAATTGTGCAATAAACCAGCATGCACAATTGTCTCGTAACAATGAGGAAATCCAATATTATATTGATTCTCAGGTCTATTATTGCCTACAGCAGATATCAGCCCAATGTGTTGCATTAATTGGAATCGATAAGTGTATAATTGCCTAGATTTGAAATGCACCTTTCCAAAATTATTCTTCCTATCAAGAAATTCCTCAATCAGAGCATCAATTGGAAAATCTCTAAATCCATACCTTTCACACATTTTAATTATTGAAGGAATGTCTCTCCTCTGTACAATAATTCCATTTAATCCAAATGAAAATCTAATACCAGAATATTCATCCCTATTCGAAGCCAAATTGAAAACATTCACCAAATGAGATGACAAGTCGTTACAGATCATAAAATCATCCTCCATCAATATTACATTCCTATCAATATCTGAAACTGCAACAAACATTTTAAGCATATCATAGAAATTATTGGCATGATTTCTCTTTTTAGCATTCAACAAGTGAGATGTGAAAATTGAACTTGCTATTTGATTTTCCAGAATTCTAAATCTTCCAGAATTGAGAATATGTTCTGGTATGGCAATTTCCAATTCCTTCCTCATATCAGGTAAATTATTAAAAACTGTGATACATGGTTTGAAAATGGTTCCTTCCAATTCATTGTAAATACTCGAAACTGAAGACGAAAGATAAGAATATTTAATATCCGTTCTTGGATAGGTTAGTATCAAGATATCTACTGCACAATCATGAGCTGTCCACTGTTTTAAAAGTTTCCTTTCGGAATTTGTTTCTTCAAATTCAGGTTCTTCGTAGAGTTCTGCTGTCTCTTCTTCCATTTCTTCGTCTTCATATGAAGAAGATGATGATTTGGATAGGTTGTTAGTTTCTTCCGATATTTGATGTTTTATGTTACCTCTCTGGGAATGTGAATTTCCGAGTTTAGTGTGGTCGAATGTATTCGAAACTTCTAGATAGAGTGCCTTCATAGCAGCAAACTTTTCAACTTGTTTAATGTTGAATAGTAAATTAAACACAAATAAACAACCCATTATCGTCAATAATACTAATACGAAACATTTCGTTCTATGACTCCACAGCATTTTTTTTGTTCCAAACCAAAACATTAAAACTCCGCAAATGTAAAGATGATGGAATCCAAGTAATCTCATTCTTGTTGTTTAGAAATCCATCAATTCCACTTGATAAGAGAAAGTATTAGTTTACTTCAAAATACATGAAGAATTGTATAAGAAACAAGTAATATATTCAGCTTACCAAATTATTCTTCTTATTAATCTGTATTCTCAACATTGTAATTTTTGTATTAGTTCTATTCAGAATCACCTAGATGGATCCAAATGGAGTACTTCTCTTGCTTACAAAACCAATTCTCAAGAAATGCCACGTCTGGAGATTGGCTTCGCACATGATTTTAAGCAATTTGGCAAAACAACTTTTTTGTGTTTTAAAGTGCTTTATTTTGAAACAACACAAGAAATCAAACAACAATCTTTTGATAATTAGCTGAAGATTGAGCCAACTTTGAAATCTTTTCAAATAACATCAAGTCTTTATTCAATAATTGCCAAATCCTTAAAATTTTCATCTCACGATCTGGCATTTAATGATACACTTGTAAATAGAAACTTTCCTTTCCAATAAATTATAGATTCGATAAAAAAGGTAATCCAAATTCTCTTTGTTTACAATTTGTATAGCTCCCAACTAACAACTGTCATGATGGATTTCCATGATTCGATTGTTAATGTCCACTGTAATTCCACTAAAGTCAATCAACTCTTCCTTATTTGTATTCAATATCAAATTAAGACTCCCATTCAACAATTACAAAATTACAATTGCAACAAAGTATCACAATGAGAATCCCTCATTTACATGTCCTTTAGCATAATCTTCCAATCTTACATTTCAGATCTGAGCAATAATTTTCTTACATTCCAATTGCATCTATTAAGGAAATGAATATTCTTTAAGAATCTCCGACACAACACCTCTAACGAAAAAAACCCTTAAAACCCAACCGCTGATTAGTTGAACTAGACATTTGATACAAAAAAACAACACCAACAATATAAGAAGAACACACACATCAACAGTGTTTCTTTTATCCACCCTCTCTTACTCTATATTTTTACTTTAAAGAATATTCTTAATAGATAGACATGATGTTGAACAATAACAAGTTCAAGTATAACAAATTTTCAATTGTTGATTTTTCAACAGCAACCAATAATAATAATGATAATCATTCGACAAATCAAATACCAAAGAAGAGAGGAAGACCTTCAAAGAAGAAATGCACTACAACAACTGGTGGTGCTGCTCAAATGATTGTCAGATCGACAGAATTATTCAATACACAACAACACACATTTTCACCTTCCAAATTACAACCCTATGAAAATGAATTGAAACAATTTTTCAATGAATTTTCACCAATTTTGAACAAGAAAAGAAAAATTGAAAAGAAGAAGAAACATTGTCAATCCATTACAAAATGTAATAGAGAAAATAATAGAGAAACATTGAGTGAAGAAACTAGATCGAATCAATCCTTATCAAATTCATCCATTGATTCCATCACTCCACTTTTAACTTTCTCAACAATATCATCCTCAACTAATTCAATCAATAATTCTGTAATATCACCATTGCCACCATCTTTATCGTCCTCATCATTTGATTTGCCAATTAAGAGAAAAATAATAAGAACTTCAATATCAATAAAAGAATTATTAAATTAATAATCATGAATGTGATGGTCAGCGGCATGTGTTGCAAACGAAATGGAATTTTAAATTGTGTGACATTTGAATAATTTGGATAATTTGGCAATTATAAGGAATAGATTGAGAACCAAGGAATTTAATGATGTTGTTAATTGGATGAAAATTGGTAATTTTAAACTCTAAATACGGATTCTATTTCTAATAAATAGAGAGAATATGAACAATGATAAATTTCATGATTTGTAACCAACCATGTTTGAACCATCTCTTTGTATTTTTGGAAAGTGTGGAACACCAAGTTGACCAATATTCGATTACAACATCCAATTTAAGATTTTGAAAGGACAAATTAGTAGAAGCATGATCTCCTTCTCAAGAATCCTATTTTTTTAAAGGTCGTTCCTTTCTAAGTTGGTGGTGAATATTCACACAATATTCCTTCGGCATCTGTCAACACGATAAATTCGACCTAATGAATGTGGTCTGCCTTTTAATTTTCAAAAAGAAACAAAACTAAACACTAGCAACCAACAAAACCATGACAAATTATAACAAGTTTTCCATCATTGAATTTACATCAAATTCTAACTATCAACAACACTCCAACAATAACTCAACTACATGTCAGAATTCAACACAACAAAAAGAACAACCAAAGAAAAGAGGAAGACCTGTCAAAACATCCACATCTACTACTAATAATAACAATACACACATGATGATTGTAAAATCCACTGAAATGTTATCTACACATGTGTTTTCACCTTCCAAATTACAACCTTATGAACATGTATTGACTCAATTTGTTACATGTGATTTTTCGAAAGCTCAACAACAACAATCCATGATTTCAAAAAAGAAGAAACAAGTGAGAAGGAATCAAAACAAGGTGAATTGTTCAATAGAAAATGAATACTCTTCAACTTCAAATCAATCGAATGCTGACTCAATTGTACCATTATGCAATTTTCTTGCAACAAGCTCTATACTTGATAATTCTAGATCTGAATTATCAAATAGCACTACAATGAAGAGGATTATCAGAACATCCATTTCAATAAAAGAATTATTAAATTAATTATAAATATATTAATGTAAGATTGTGTGTAATTCAGCTAATGAAAAACTCGATAAGCACGATTTTCAAGTTTAATAATTATTTGTACAAGATTTATTGGACTATCAATTCGCTACAAACGAATTGATGTCTTTGAACTTAGTGTGTAGTGTTGTTGGTGTTGGTTTGTTGTGAGTGTTTGTGAAATTGACTGTTATCTAGTACTTGGATTTGTCGACATCATCAAAGAATGGATGTTTGAGGGCTTCCTTGGCAGAAATTCTCTTGTTTGGTTGGTATTCTAACATACGAGTGAGCAAATCAATACCACAATCGTCCAATCTGCTACAGACAGCAGGTAAGTGATTCCCCTTCCACTTTGGGAATTTGTTATTGAAACTGGCGAAACCCTTCAAAGATGAAACACCAGGCCAAATTTCTTCATTAGGAGTACCAAGGTTTTGGAAGATCTTGAATAACATATCAATTTCAGAATCAGCTGGGAATAAGGCAGTACCATTAACCAATTCAGCAAAGATACAACCAATAGACCAGATATCAACAGGAGTAGAATACTTTTCACTTCCGAGTAAGATTTCAGGTGCTCTGTACCATAAAGTAACAACTTCGTGTGTAAGTTTACCACATGGCAATTGGAAAGCTCTGGCCAAACCAAAATCAGCCAATTTGAGCATCAAATCATTATCCTTAGTCTTTTGGACGAGAATGTTTTGTGGCTTTAAATCTCTGTGAATAATTCTAGCAGAGTGACAGAAAGCAATACCCTTAAGAGTTTGATAGAGGCAAGACTTGATCATGCTCATTGGAATTGGTATTCTCTTCTTCTTTTCACCTTCAATTCTCTTAAATTCGTTCATGTACTTCTTCAAATCCAATTCAATAAATTCAAAGACTAAATGTAAATTATCATCACCATGAATAACTTCGATCAAATTAACGACATTTGGATGATGCATCTCCTTCAACAAGGAAATTTCTCTGATGGAGGTACTTGGTACACCTTCATCTTCATGTTCTAAACGGATCTTCTTGATGGCTACAACATTCTTATTAGTAAGATCAATTGCTCTATATACAACACCATAGGTACCTTCACCTAATTTATCTTGTCTATCGTATCGGGCAAGACCCTTTGCTGCAGCAGAGAAGTGTTGTTGCTGTTGTTGTGGTAGGGACAAGGAAGTCATAATGATGGAGGATGGAAGGCTTGATTTGTTGTTGGATTTTTTTTTTGCTGTGATGTGTTTTGAAAATGTGTAACGGTTTGGGTTTTATATTGGCGCGAGTTACAATACGTAACGGTTTTTGAAAAGCAGTTCGTTGCAGACAGTATTTTGTTGTTTTGAAAATTTTGATGCTTTTTAATATGTAACGGTTGCTGTATGGATTAGTAGGCTCACAAAAGGTTCTTTCTCACTGGTCCGTATCTTCAAGGATATAATATTCGACTCTTGATCAAGACAGATAATTATTTACAAAGTTTAAGAGATGATGAATATAATTACTCATCATCTTCATTATTCTGACTCGTCATTTCAACACTTGTTCGTTCTCTTCTTGATGACGAATCAATTTCATCCTCGTTATAAGTATTTGCATTATTATTGAATGGTTGATTCAACTTCTCCCTTCTTCTCTTAATAAGACAACAATAGACAGCCATTGCAGCACTTATCAAACAACAAATACACAACATGATGAGAATAATCAAGGCAGCAATAGCATAATTTCTCAATCGGATTGAATTATCACCCGGATACTTGATTTCAACAATCATACCAACAACACTTCCCGAATCAAGACGACACTTTGCTTGAAAATCAAAAGAAGTACAACTTTCAATATCAAAATTAATAGCCAAATCAAATTCATCATCATCTTGAATATCATCATCTAATTTAATACATACAACAACACTGCTTGGTGTTAATGCTGATGAAAATTGACACAGATGATAATCATCCTTCACATGATAACAATGATTCAATACAATTTGATCAGAATTACTCCAATAGGAGGAAAGAGTAATCTGATTTGAAGAGGTAACAATCTGAACTAGTGAAACATTTCTTCCTGAACATTGTCCATCAAATCCATATAAATCTCCCAATAAAAGTGATCGGGAGGTGAAGGTGGAATTGTCTAGATTGTTGGTAGAGAAGGAAATTGCTTGATTGTGTGGTTGATAAATTTTAGATAACATAGAGGTTGGAAAACAGTGAATGGTTGATGCGATGAGCAAAATGCCAAACATCAAAGGTAAAGTGAATGATGACATTTTTTAGATGGCTGTTAATTGTCAGTTTGATGTTTTTGAAGGGTTTTTTAATGTAATAAATGAAGATAACAATCTTAAACATTGCACAATAATGAATAAGTTTTCAACAAATTTTAACGCGCCAATTTTTATCCAGTTGTGAGTGGAAATTTTCAAGGTATTTTTAGTTTAAAATTCTAGAAAAAAATGTCACACACCACAACGAACGAAAATGTGATGACAGACGAAGATCAAATTGTCAACATACACACTGTGGAAGTGGTTGATGAAGATGATAATTTATCTATAAATTCCGATACATTAAGAGCATTGGATGATGAACAAAATAACGAAGAACAGCAGCAACAACAGCCTGCCGAATTAAATAATACACAAGAATTGTTGGATGATTTGGGAGGATTTAACGATGATGAAGATGTAAATATTGATAATTATGAGGAAAAACCACATAGTAGAAAATACTCTCAAATTGAGGATGACGATGATGTATTGGAAAATTTGGATCTTACCGATCTTTCTCCGATTATTGAAAATCCTCTCAAGAAACAAAAATTCGATCAAATAGATGAAAATAATCGACCAGTAGAAACATTTGGATTTGTTTCTGCTAAATTAACTTCATCGAGTAAGGATGAAGAAAATATATCGAGTGAAAAACCACCTGCCACAGATGGTTTTGTGTCTGCTGCTTCAAATAGACCTTCAGAAACATTTGGATTTGTTTCAGCTTCCTCAAATAATAGACCTGCAGAGACTTTTGGATTCGTCTCTGCCAGACCACCTACAAAGTACACCTATCATCCAGAGGAGGACGATGAAAAACCAGCAGCAACTGAGGGTTTTGTTTCAGCAGCTCCATCAAAACGTCCACCAGAAACATTTGGATTTATGAAAGCAAATGGAGACAATTTTGAATCAGAAACTGAAGAAAATTATCAAATTAACAAACCAGCAGCAACAGATGGATTTGTTTCTGCCTCCACTGACAAGCCTTCAGAAACTTTTGGATTTATTTCAGCCTCTTCAAACAAACCACCTGCTACAGATGGATTTGTCACTGCAGGCAAAGATTCCAAAAAGTATACTTATAACCCTGAGGAAGACGAAAAACCACCTGCTACAGATGGTTTTGTGTCAGCTGCCTCAAATAATAGACCAGTAGAGACTTTTGGGTTTGTTTCTGCTAGACCACCAACAAAGTATACATATAACCCTGAGGAAGACGATGAAAAACCACCAGCAACTGAAGGTTTTGTTTCTGCTAAACCAAAAACTAAATTTGATTCACCAACTGAAATAAGGCCATCCGAAACATTTGGATTTGTTTCTGCCAGGCCGGCCTCCAAGTATACCTATCATCCAGAGGAGGACGATGAAAAACCAGCAGCAACTGAGGGTTTTGTTTCTGCCTCAAATAGACCTTCAGAAACTTTTGGATTTGTTTCAGCCTCTTCAAACAAACCAGCACCAACAGATGGATTTGTATCCGCCTCGAATAGAACTAACGAAAATGAGATGGATATTTCAGATGAAAGACCACCTGCCACAGATGGTTTTCAAAGCGCCCTAGATAGACCACCACCAACTGAAGGATTTTTGTCTGCATCTAATAGACCACCAGAGACATTTGGGTTTTTAAAGGCAAACACAAGCACTCCTGCCGAAACTGATGGATTTCAGGTTGCCAATAATCGTCCACCTGCAACAGATGGATTCGTATCGTCTAAATCGTCTAGTACTTTCAAAACTCCTTCAAAGAATAATGTAAATATTGAATTATCCACACCTAGTAATAATAGTGACATATTTAAAACACCAAGTAAGGTTGGTAGCTCACTTAATAAGAAAACACCTGCTACGAAGAGAAGTATAAAGAATCCATTTGCTTCTCTTACCACAGAGCAAGGTGACACTAAGAAGGAAACTCCTACAAATAGAATCAATGAAACTGTAAAGAAAAAGCAAAAGAAATTTGTAACTCCAATCAAATCGAAGGAAAGTTTTGAAGAAGCTAAAAAACGTGAAAGTGAAAGGAGGTCAGCTTCCACTTCTTCTTCTTCGTCAATTAGTATCACAAAGAAAACTTCTGACACAACACCAATAACAGCACCAAGCTGGGTACCTGTAAAACACCACAAATCTGATTCAAAGGAGGAAGTTCATGTAAAAAGAAGGATAAATACTTTGGGAATATGTGAACAGCTACCTATTGAGAAGATTAAGAGAGAGGGAGTATCCCAATATTCAATAACAATGACTAGCATTTCCGCCAAGACATTTAAATTTAATTTGAATGATTTCAAAGTATCAAATGAAATGATAGAAGCAATAGTGAGCCTTAATGGAAACAAAAGAGTAGTGAATTTTGGAAGTGAAGAATATGAACGGTTATTAGTACATTTTGGTGCTAAAACAAGTGTTGTAAAAACTGATTGGGTTGAAAATCACTATAGGTGGATTGTTTGGAAATTGGCAAGTCTCGATAGGACATTCCCAAATGACAAGTCTTTTCCATTTTTGACTCCTGAAAAGGTTTTAGGACAACTAATTTATAGGTATAATGTTGAATTTTGTAAAGGAAAAAGATCATGTTTGAAAATGATTGCTGAAAAGGACATTCCTCCTGGTCAATTCATGGTTCTGATGGTATCATCTTTATCAAATAACGATAACGATATGGAAGAATGTAAAACTATAGAACTTAGTGATGGTTGGTACAGTATGAAGGCAAAATTAGATGAACAACTATCCAGGTATTTGGAATGGTGCAAGATACGTATAGGTCAAAAATTGAGAATTGTAGGAGCATCTTTTGTTGAAAATTTTGAACCTGCTCCTCCTTTGGAGTTGCCTGGAAATGCATGTTTAAAGCTGAGCATTAATGGTGTTAGAAAGGCTCACTGGGATACCACATTAGGATTCCAATACGGAAGAATGCCTTTCAAAGTTTCATTCAAATCCATTCAAAGCAATGGAGGAAATATTCCTTGTATCAGAGCCATTGTTAAAAGAGTGTATCCACAAAAGTTCTTGGAGAAAATCACTGACGAAAGTGGTACTGTCTCGACAATCATTAGAACTAAACAAGCTGAAGATTACATCTCTGCTATTAATGAGAAGGAAAGAGAAAAATTAATGGCTACACTTCAACCAACCTATTACGATGAAGAAAAGAAGAAAATTATTGGACCTAAGAAAAATATCACAACACCGATCAAGAGAATTTATGAGGGATCTGTTCTTTACAAGCTCTTATCAGAATGCAGAGATGAGTCATCATTTTATGCCCAATTGAATGAGACACAACACCAAAATTTAGAGAATTACCAACGTAACATTGAGAGTGAGATTCAATCAAGAGTTTCTCAAAGATTAACAACCACTTTGGATCAACATCCAACTCTCAATAGAAATGTCTCTGCTATGGTAACTGTTAGATTGGGTGATTGCTGTCCTTATTCGAAAAATCCTGGTGTAACGATGAACGATAAGGAAATGATTATTACGTTATGGATTGCAGATGAAGACAATGAATCTTTTCAAGAGGGAAATATTATTGACATTTATAATAGTAGATCATCCAAGCAAAGTGGAAGTCAAGTTATGAAGTCAATTTCAGCAATTTCTCATACTAAAGTGGAGATTGTTAAAAATTGGAAGGACTTGACAGATGAAGAAATGAAGGTCTATAGCTATGTACCAAGAAGTTGTATCAATTTTACTCAGGTGAAAAATCCAGACTGCAGACAGCACAATAACGAATTCGATTTTGCAGGAATACTAGTTTATACAAAAGAAATCGAGCAGAGAGAAAAAGAAAGTACCCTAAAGTTACTCTACTTTGTAGATTCTACTTCTTTCAATATTTCAGAATCCTCATATTCTAAAAATCCAATAATTATGCAAGTTAGATATTATGAATCAAATAAGAAACAATTTAGATGGTTCCTAACTCCAGGAAAAGTTTATTATATGGCAAATGTTACCTATTCAGACTTTGATGAAACTAACAATAGAATCAAGTGCTTTGCCAATGAACAAACTTTCATTTCTGAAAGAGCAACCAAACAACATTTCAAGTCAGCATCCAGTGAAATTAATGCTTTCTTGAAAAACAATAGGGAAAAATGCCTTTCACTAGAAAGTGTTATCGACCAATTTTCATTTAGAGAGGAAGATTATACAACACCTCGAAAGTCAATATCAAGCAATAATGACATGGAGGATGATTTCAGTCTTGACCAAGAAATTAATTGTAATCCAATTATTGATGGCGATCACCAAATTCAAATTACATTATTGGATGGAGGATACAATGTTATTGAGACGTATGTATATCCAAAGGATAATAATATTAGCTACAAGAGAGCTGAGGATACATATTCTTTTTATGTAAAACTCTACATTGAAACAAAGGAAGAGTGTTATTCCATTAAATTTACAGAGGACATGTTTGACAAGCTTGCTAACTGTCTCTATTTTGAAGAGGCAAACAATGCAGGGTTTCATCAATTCAACTTGCAAGACATTTTACAGTCAGAAACCATACCAGAATGGATTAAAACTCTTGTAAGTGAGGGAAAGATCATACATGAAAATTATGAATCCAATGATTTCACTACAAGGGTTGAAGAAATTAGAATGAATTTATTCAATTCGAGGAATGTGGATACCATGACAAAATTAATCAGATCTATCATTGTTGGAACCAAATTTATTACCAATTTAGAGCAGTTAGAAAACTTTATCTATTTGGATTCAGTTCTTGTTTGCTCTCCTGAGGAATGGAATTATTTGATGCAACAATTCATCTCCACACTCAAGAATACCCTTTTCAAATTCAATATTCGTGGAAGTGATAAACAAGTTATGAACGTCACGTGTATGGTCAGAGATTTTGCATTGGACAATTTAGATCTAGAAGATATCTTATTAAATTAATTAAGACCTTAAATCCAAACCTTTTTGCGTTTAACACATCCAGAAAATGATGGAATGAAATGGCGCCAAAACTAAAATAAAAAACACAAAAAAATGCAAAGACTTTTTGTCCGTGTAGTTGCCGATGGTTTTCCTTCATCATCGTCATCTTATAATGATAACAATAATAATAACATTACTTTTCCATCCTCAACAACAAATCCTTCAACGATCAGTTCGTTACTTTTAGAGAGAAATCAATTTTATAGAAAGTTAGCCGGTGTAAATAGGTCCAACTCTACGTCTAAATTGTTGGACAGAAACTTTTGCTGTATTCTTCCACATAATTTATCGCTTGGTGATGTCAAACAAACAATATGTAGACAATATCAATCGATATTTTATGATAAAGTTACGGAAGGTTTTGAATTTGACAATTCTGATGCCTTTACTCTTTCTCGTTTATATTCCGACTTGGGATTAGAGTTGGGCTTGTGGAATACACAACTTAAAGCTAGTGATATTTTCACTGATGAACAAGTAGTATTTGCCAAATTGGATTGTTCACGAAAACAAAAAATTAAACTGAAAGAAAAATATCAACAAACAGAACAATACCTCTCACCACCAGATAGTGATAAGGAACAGTCCAACACTGCTCTTTTTGAAACACCTAAAAAGAGAAAACCAACAAGTAATTTTTTAACACCTCAATCCAAGAAGAAAAAACCAATTACTCCACCAAGTATTACAAGTGGTGATGATAGTGATTCTTCTGTGAGTGATTCAGAAGATGAGGCAGGGGCTACTCGTCCAGTAACAAGTGCCACATTGAAACAAACAGCGGAGAATCCTATTGTAATTCAATCGGATGAAGAATCTGAAGAATCAGAAGAGGAAGAGGAAGAAGAAGAGACACCAGTCAAGAAACCACAACCAAAGAAGCAAGAATTAAAGCAGGAAACAAAGAAACCAGAAAAGAAACAACCAGAAAAAGAGGAATCTGAAGTTGAAGACTCTGAGGAAGAACTGAAATCAGATTCTGATAAAGATGTCATGACTCACAGATCAATACGCCAAATTCTTTGCAAATACCAAGCACTGGTTAAAGGCAAAGTTTGCTGGTGGTAAATTCAAAACTGAATCTGATTTGGAAGACATGAAAAAGGCATTTTCACAACTTACTAAATCTCACCAAACGGAATTATTGGACTTGATGGCAACCATGAAGGGCCAATAAACAAAATTTCTTTGGTTTTGTTGATTTGTGATGAAATTCGATTCAGTTTTAAATGGAAATTTACCAAATATATCAAAACATCTATTCAATTCAAAACACTATTCAAAATATTAGAATAATTAGCTAAAGCAACTATTTAGATATTTTCCAAGAAGAAAATGCATTCAAACAACAATTATCAAACTTCTACAAACACCAATTCTATTCGAATTTGTATTCGATTGCTGTTTATAATTGCTCTCTTCTGTTTCTTTCAACTAACAACCGCACTCTCCGAGCCTAACAATCACCATCCTAATCATAATCCTCATCACACCGGCGGAAGATCTGTGGACGAAAGGTTTTCCCTTCCTTCTCTAGCTGATTCGAATATTTTCGAAAAACTCTTCAAAAAATTGGAACAAGCAATTGAAAATGTTGTAAACAATGTAACAACAAATATCAGATTTCAAGTTTCACAAGCCATTATCGACGTACTCAACAAGAATCAAATCACTGCAGTGACAAATAATGCCATGTCAGCAATCTCTCAAAATATTTCAACACTTCTCAATAATATTCCATTCAATCAATTATTCCAAAACTCATTACAATATTCCCAACCAATCATTAATCAAATGGCCCAACAATTCACTAATCAACAAGTTATTGAAACTGTCAAATCATCTCTCAAACAAAATGACATTGACTTTTCCACAATTGTTTCAGAAATTATCAATGCAACCATTACAAAACTATCTGAACCCCAAACCAAACAAGAAATCAATCAAATTCTCAAATATTACGCAACACATGCAACAGATTCCATCCCAACTTGGTTATTAATTTTTTTTGGTTCAGTTTTAGTTTCCATTTTAATGATTCCTTCATTGTTGATGGCAATTTTGTTGCAACAAGTTTTTCCAGTGAGGAAAATGAAATGGTATCAAAGAATTTTCATTAATAGATTTGGAAAGGCCAAAGTTTCTCAGCAGCAAACTATTAATGATGAGGAGGAAGAAAGGAGGCGGTTAGTTTACAATGAGAATATTCAACAATAAATAAATGTATATAATATGTGAAACAATTAGAAGTATCCAATAGAAAAACAAGAATCGACTTGCTTCTATTTTACAGCAACAGAAAGAAAAAAAGACTACAGCACCACAGGTTCCCAAGTTGTCTCCAACCTCAGTACTGATGTGGCTCTACGATGCTTAACTTCTCAAATCGAGCGAGATGAGGTGCATTCATCGTGATATGGCCGTAGCCATTCAATACCTTAAAATCTTAATACTGAATAAGATTGCCTTTCGTGCTTTTTTTGACTCAACAATATTGTCAACAGAGTTAATTTATTAATTTTTTTATTGTTCTGAATCCTCTTCATTGAAGTGCTATTTGATAATTCAGATGTTAATGATGGAAAATTTGTTATAATTTGTCATGTTTTGTTTAATTATAATAAACAGTTCGAAATGATATTTAATCCAGCATGATAGGATTCTTGATAACGAATGTATATATATATATATTACTTTCTAACACCAACTGGATGAGGTGCTTTGGCTGTGTAGGATTCATCCAAATATTTGACTTCCTCAGTGGTGAGTTCAATATCCAAAGCAGCAATAGACGATTCAATATTCGATACTTTTGTGGCACCAACAATTGGACTGGTAACTCCTGGTTTCTTCAATAGCCAAGCAATAGCAATTTGAGCTGGTGAGACATTCTTCTTATTAGCCAATTCTGAAACTCTTCTCAAATTTTCCTTATCACCTTCAGTCAGGGTTTCTTGGAATTGTTTTTGAATGAAATCTGAATTTGCTCTCTTGGATTTCTGATCCTCATCATCATCATTGCTTGTTTTCTCAGAGTTGACAAATTCGTGAGCTCTTGCCAAAATTCCCTTAGCAAGTGGACTATATGGAGTTAAGGAAACTTTCTGATCCAAACACATTGGAATCATGTCTCTTTCCTCTTCTCTATACATTAAATGATAGAGATTTTGCATGGAAACAAACTTGGTCAATCCCTTCTTATCAGCATAATGTTGAGCTTTAGCAAATTGCCAAGCAAACATTAAAGAGGCACCAATATATCTGATCTTTCCAGATTTTACCAAATCATGTAAAGTTTCCATGGTTTCTTCAATAGGAGTGTCTGGATCCCAACGATGAATAATATATAAATCAATGTCTGTTTACAATATTCAGTCAACTGAACTTTGCAATTTTCAAAAATACTTACAATCAGTTCCCAATCTTTCCAATGATTCCTCAACAGCATGCATAATATGCTTTCTCGACAATCCATGAGTATTCACCTTCTTATCATCACTCAACGGTAGGTACCTTTGTTCTCCACTCTTGTCAACCGGACCAAAAACCTTAGTAGCAATAACAACTTCCTCTCTCGGAATGTTATTCTCCCTAATGAATTTACCCAAAATTCTCTCACTTTCACCATTCGAATAAAGGTTGGCAGTGTCGAAGAAGTTAATACCCAACTCCCAGGCCTTCTTGAGAATGATCATGGATTCTGGTTCTTCCAAAACCCAATCAAACCATTTTGGTGAGCCGAAACTCATGCATCCGAGACAGATTTTGGAGACTTTCAAGCCAGTGTTACCCAAATTTTCATACTTCATCTTACGTTTCTTCTAATTGTGTTGTTTGTTTGTTTTTTTATTGTTTTGTTAATTGTACTCTAGAGTTTCTTTTTAAAGGAAAGAGAATTTGTACGAAAGTGCGAGCGAGGTCTTTTTGAAAATGTACTCGTACTTTGTTAATAAGTTAGATCCATTTGTTCAATTGTTAGTTGGTTATACTGTTTGTACTTGCAACTAATCAATCCTTCTGTTGTAAACCAATTTAAACAAGTCGATTTCATTTTACAAACATTCGAAATTAGCAACTGATTGAGAGAGTAAGGAAAGAATGAAAAGTTTAAGTAATGGGAAGCTAGTGTCTAGAATCAATTCGCAAGTTATTGAAGAGTGATCACCATTTACAAAATCAAAGTTTCAATTGGATTTGCATCTAATTATTCGTTGCATGAAACAAAACAAAACTTGAGAAAAACAAGTCATAACTGATAACTAGCTGTCATGTCACACTTTTAATTTCACCTTATCAAGTGGACTGCAATCTTGTTGAGTGGAGGAACTTTGGGTGCCTTATTCTTCTTGTGGCCAACTATTAGATGATAAATTAGAAGGAGTGTAATAAATTGTAAAGTTTATCCACTGGAAACAATGTTTTGAATTATCATAACAGCAGGTTGTCTTGGATGGTGCAATATCGAATATTCATCCAATTAGTTTGCAATAGTTTCCAAAAATAAAAAGAGATTGTTCAAACACGACTGACATTGTTATGTAAATTGGATGGAAAGAGGCAATTTTGAAATCTAAATGTGGATTACACATCTATTATTTATATGAACAATGAAAAATTTCATCACATGTCCAAAGCACCTCAGTTTCACACATGAACCGTGGCTCTTCTTGTTGTTGTGGCAAAAACTTGAACGAAAAGGAGAGGGAAAATGGACCAAAGATGATTATGATGACATTAATTTAATAATTCTTTTATTGATATTGAAGTTCTTATTATTTTTCTCTTAATTGGCAAATCAAATGATGAGGACACAGAACAAATTGTATTCGAATTATTGATTGAATTAGTTGAGGATGATATTGTTGAGAAAGTTAAAAGTGGAGTGATGGAATCAATGGATGAATTTGATGAGGATTGATTCGATCTTGTTTCTTCACTCAATGTTTCTCTATTATTTTCTCTATTACATTTTGTAATGAATTGACAATGTTTCTTCTTCTTTTCAATTTTGCTTTTCTTTTTCATAATTGGTGAAAATTCATTGAAAAATTGTTTCAATTCATTTTCATAGGGTTGTAATTTGGAAGGTGAAAATGTGTGTTGTTGTGTATTGAATAATTCTGTCGATCTGACAATCATTTGAGCAGCACCACCAGTTGTTGTAGTGCATTTCTTCTTTGAAGGTCTTCCTCTCTTCTTTGGTATTTGATTTGTCGAATGATTATCATTATTATTATTGGTTGCTGAAGAAAAATCAACAATTGAAAATTTGTTATACTTGAACTTGTTATTGTTCAACATCATGTCTATCTATTAAGAATATGTTCTTTGAAAAAGTTTAAATATAGAGAGAGTGAGAGAGGGTGGATATTTAAAAAAAAAACACTGTTGATGTGTGTGTTCTTCTTATATTGTTGGTGTTATAATTTGTTTTTTTTGAATAATGTCTAGTCCAACTAATCAGCGGTTGGGTTTCTAAGGGTTTTTTCGTTAGAGGTGTTGTGTCGGAGATTCTTAAATACAATTATTGCTTCTATCTGATATTTAAGATTTGGTAATTTGAAGGTGTGATGTCGGAGATTCTTAAAGAATATTCATTTCCTTAATGGTTGCAAATAGAATGGATAAGAATCTTAATCATGATATAGAATATCAGATAAGGAAGAGTTGATTAACTTTTGTGGAACTATGGACATCCATGATGACAGTTATTAGTTGGAGCTATTATAAATAGAGAATTTGGATTGCCTTTTTTATCGAATCTCTATTGTTTATTGGGAGGTAATAATATACAAACTCAATTTTATATCAAGTACAACTTATCAATTTGGAAGAGAGGACAATTAGGAAAAATTAATTGAATTTATTACTTTTTAAACTTATTACCATGGTAACCTCTTTGATAGCTAATAGTGACACAATTTCTCAAGTACTTTGCAATGGACGATTCATCTTTGAGTATCATACAACCTTCCAAACTCTTCCAATGATAGATTACTATATTGTTCTACAATATTTCTCAAAAAGAAAACATGAAACATGATTAATTTACACGAAACTTGGTTGGCTTCCCATGATTTTTCACATCTTTCAGAGTCTGATTCGTTCAATCTGGATAATTGAGGATACATCTTGATTACCCATAGAGCATTTCTGATAGAAGTTTCCTCAACGATGGATTTCTTTACAGCTCCAGGTTAGTTTGCTTTCGCCTAAAATTGAAAGTTTTGGAAGAAATTCACCAAGGTTTGGACAAGAAGATTTCAATCTCTCCTTTTCTGTGTTGTTAAATTGATTAACTTGATGCTCGAAACGTTTAACAATTCTAGGAAACTTTTCACTTAAATAAATTAACCATCTATGGAAATACATATAACCATACAATGCCTTAATTGAGGCATGAGTATTACCCTTCATGATTTCAACGACCATAGAATTCATCAGCTTACACATGAGATCTGCATAAACGACCCAATTATCAAAATTTGGTTTCTCACAATGATTGTAAACTGTTGGATGAGAATTGTAAATTTCTTGAATTGACTTTTTCAATCTCTCAAAATTTCCATGTTTTCTATTAATGTAAATTGGAATCCAATGTGTGAATGTTGATCCCCAAACACTCTTTCTGACTCTCTCTTCATAAAATGACTTTCTGGAGAGGAGATCGAGTGGTGAGGAGATGGAGGCAACTGTGCCATCTTTCTTCGTTTCGAATGAGAGACCAATACCAAGTATATCCTCCTTGAAACTTTCTTTCGAATGGTAACAAATTAATTCTCGTGCAGTGGAGAGAAGTTTGTACTCACACAATTCGAGGAGATGTTTGCTTGATTTTTCGACTTTCTTCAAATCAGAGTGAGTTAAATAGGTGAGAATGTGCAGGAGAATTTCATTTGGAATGTCATTGAATGAAGTGTTTGGAGCTTGAACTCCCTTTTCAACTGTGCCAACGTTGGTAGTTACATCAACACCAGTATCTTCTGTGAAGATAGAATTGACTAGCTCAGGTGCTGTAGAAGTGGAAGTAGTTACTGGAAGAGGTGTTGTTGCAGATTCATTTGTAAATTTAACGAAACCCATTTGATTTAGAATTTTGAGGAGGTAATTTTGAATATGTGAAATAATGGATACACTGTATGATAACGGAGGTTCAACAGGAGTAGCTAATTCTTCCTTGATTTCTTCCTTTGGTTTAGTTTTCTTTCCAATATCTTCTTGTTCCATTGTTTCAACCTTGACAACTGATTTCTTTTTCTTATTCTTCTTTGGCTTGCTAACTAGAGTACTAACTAATTCTTTCTCCTTCTTTGGAACAATAGCTTTCTTAACCACAATTGGTTTTGGCTCATATTTGGAAGTCAATATTTCATTAACATTCCAATGAGGAGCACACGGATAAACAACGCCATTGGAAGGATCGTGTCCAGTTTCATCAAACTTGAATGCTCTGGAAAGCTCAATATCAGCTTGAATGAATCCAGCTTGTCTTTCTTCTTCCTCCAAGAGAAAAGATTGCAATTGAAGCAACACAGACAAACATGAATAGCTTGTACTCCATCCCATGTAAGGAACTTGAGAAAAGTGATTACTCTCCAAAATATCCAAACAAATCCAACTTCCAAATACATGTGAGTGATGCAATCTGGTGAGACAATTAATAGTTGGTGGCTTATTTGGATAATCGAGTGGAAAATCAATTTCCAACAAGAGAATAATTCCACGATACTTGGAAGTTTTTGGAGCTAGCACAGTTGCGTACCACTTGAATAAATCTCCCTTGAATGGTTCTGCATAGACAGTTTCTAATGGATTCATTTGAATTTCTTTCAAATCTTTCATTAATCTTTTAAGAACTCGATCTTGCTTGTTGTTGTTTGATAACATTTTTTATGGCTTGCTTTTTGAATTTCTCTTTCAAGTTTCTGTATTTAAATGGATTTTAAATATTTCAAATGCTTGATGAAGATTGGTATTTTCGAATTGAGGTTTCAAATAAATGGTGAACGTTGCAGATACAGTGACCCGTGTCATTACGGTGATCAAGGTGATAGGTATTTTCTAATGACACTCCCTCCATTTGAAAAATACTACTCTAAATGTTAAGAAATTAACTAAGGTTAAAAATTGAAATACAATAAATCCCTCCATCTAACCTTTAATTATTTCACTGGTCCATTCTTCCAAACTTCTACTGTATAATGCTACTTAATATCAAGTGATTTTAATTGTTTCATTTCACAAATTGATTTGGCTCCTTCATCATTTCACCAATATATGTGGAAATGTTTTTCCCGCTTTTTTCTAGTGCTCCCTCTTTAAAAGGACATATTTAGTTTAATACATGGTATAACATCTTGAATTTTACACGGGTTATTTCATATCATGTATACTATATCCTATTCATTTTTGAATATTTAATCTTTTGTTTTCATTGAGATAATTAGTGAGTTATGACATCATATACCTTTTTGGGAAAAGTGATTTTTCGCTCAACTACTTAATATCGAATATTGAATTTTGTGGTGGTAAGAGATAAGATCAGATACTAATACCATTTGTAATTTTTTTTACGAATTGTTGTGTATTAAGGAGGATATGCTTGGTTAAAGTTGGTGAATTTTTTTGTGAAATTAAAATAAAATGGAAGTTTATTAGAAGGAGAGTTATTTTTTGGCGCGAAGTTTCTTTCCCATAGAGAGAAAGGTTTCGGCCAGCAGTTTTCTAAAGTCTGAATACTTGATTCGAACAGTTTCATTCATAATAGCGAACAAGTTATAAAAAAAATCATTCAATAAACTGATCATCAATTTGGTTCTCCACTCAGTGATGATATAGGCATATCTAGCCTTATAATGGTACTTATCTTGAATGTCGACAAGAGTAAAAGTACGTCTATAATGGTCATGATGGATAGCAGAGGTAGCATTAAATTGATTCTGATCAAACGAATGCAAAGCATGTAGTTGAAGTGATTTGACATTTGTGGAGTTGCAAATAAATTGAATCTTCTGGATGATTTCATCCTTAGTGAGCTTACTTAATTTGATATGTTCCTTCTTTCCAATTTCTTTCAATTTTTCCACTGTATTTTTCTGCAAAAAGGAGGTGGAATATTTGCAAGAGTTTGCTGAGATGGTTGGTAGTGAAATTAGTGAGGTTTCAAAATCAAATGCATTCGAAACAAGATGGTGATATTTCTTGTCTCTGTCTGATTGGTATTGAGGATTTCTTTGCATAGAAGCAATCACAGACTTTGAAATAAATTCAGCAGCCTTCCAATTACCATGAGTGAGCGTTCTTTTCAACAAATCCCAGATCCATAATTTTTCAGTACCTGAAATAGAGAAAGTGCCAACAACATTCAATTTGATTAGACGGAGCAAAACATTTCATCAAAGAAAAGTATCTTCTATAACCAGGAATCATGCTATCCAACTTTTCTGTCCGAAGCTGTTGTAAATTGGTTTTGGCATTAGCATTCAACTTTGAATGGTTGTTTTCTAAGCTAATTACAGTTCCCAAAAAAGAGAAAAGCTGAGAGATATCAATATCATTGTAATACTTTGTGTGTGAAGATGCTTTTCCAGTTGTACTCTCTCTGGTCAAGTTAGTGTTTAATACGTCCAATAGTATTTGCCAAAAGTGGTTTGGAATCATGTTTGAAATTAGAAGTTCAAGGCTAACCTCAGTGCAAATTACATTTCTGTTCAGAATGGTTTTAGGAGTGGTAGGAGTTTCGGTAACTTTAGGATGCACAATGTTGGAAGAAACCTTTTCAAATCCTTCTTTGTTAAAATTGAATAAAGATGCTATCCAATCAGTTTCTTAATCCAACTGCTTAGCAGAGTATTTAGGTGTAAGGTTTTGGCCGTTGGATGGACTGAGTTGGCTTGATTGCTGATCTTGGCTATTTTGTTGGTCCTGTTGTGTACCTCCTTGGCTATTTTGTTGATTGGAGGTAACAAAGCCATCGAGTGTAGCTTGTTTTTTGTTAGACGCCTCCAATTCTAACCGTTCATCCATACGAATATTTGGATTTTTTCAAGAATGCGTTCAAACACGCTTCAATAAACTTTTTTTTATTAAAGATTCTTGGCGTGAAACTTTCTTACCGGTTTCACATACATTTACAGGTTTGCGAGTTTGTTAATGTTGTGGACGAAGGATTTCAAACTTTTTTATCCTTCCAATTACTTGTTCAACTATTACTCTAACCTCCCAACCTCTTATTCCAATCTTCTTCAACTTGATCCAACTTTTATTTATTCAATCAAACTCGAAGTTGTGAAGTTTTTTGTCCCAAATTTTCTTGTCATGAACGTTTCCAGAAACATTCTGTTGAGCAACTTGAAAGAGGCAACCATTAGAATTCATAATCAAAGAAGTTTTTCAAGAAACAGCGATTCCGGACCGGTCTCAATAATAGAAGTTACACGTTCACAGTGAACAGAATTTTATCATTTTTACAATCCAAACGGTTTTTATTGGCGGGAAGAGGGAGCATTCTATTGTTTGAGGGAGCATTGCAAAAAAGCGGCGTGAACTTTTCAACAGATATCAAGTGATGTCAATTGTTTCATTTCAATTATTGATTTGGCTCCTTCATCACCGATTTGATTTCCACTAATATCAAGTGATGTTAATTGTTTCATTTCACTTATGAATTTGGCTCCTTCATCACCAATTCGATTGATATAAATACTAAGTGATGTCAATTGTTTCATTTCACAAATTGATTTGGCTCCTTCATCACCAATTAGATTGTTATAAACACTAAGTGATGTTAATTGTTTCATTTCACTTATGAATTTAGCTCCTTCATCACCAATTTCATTTTCACCAATATTAAGTGATGTCAATTGTTTCATTTCACTTATTGATTTGGCTCCTTCATCACCAATTAGATTGCTATAAACACTAAGTGATGTTAATTGTTTCATTCCACTTATGAATTTAGCTCCTTCATTACCAATTTCATTTTGACCAATATTAAGTGATGTCAATTGTTTCATTTCACTTATTGATTTGGCTCCTTCATCACCAATTTCATTTTCACCAATATTAAGTGATGTTAACTGTTTCATTTCACTTATTGATTTGGCTCCTTCATCACCAATTTGATTGAAATAAATATCAAGTGATGTCAATTGTTTCATTTCACTTATTGATTTGGCTCCTTCATCACCAATTAGATTGTTATAAACACTAAGTGATGTTAATTGTTTCATTCCACTTATGAATTTAGCTCCTTCATCACCAATTTCATTTTGACCAATATTAAGTGATGTCAATTGTTTCATTTCACTTATTGATTTGGCTCCTTCATCACCAATTTCATTTTCACCAATATTAAGTGATGTTAACTGTTTCATTTCACTTATTGATTTGGCTCCTTCATCACCAATTTGATTGAAATAAATATCAAGTGATGTCAATTGTTTCATTTCAATTATTGATTTGGCTCCTTCATCACCAATTTGATTTTCACCAATATCAAGTGATGTCAATTGTTTCATTTCAATTATTGATTTGGCTCCTTCATCACCAATTTGATTGCAAAAAACACTAAGTGATGTTAATTGATTCATTCCACTTATGAATTTAGCTCCTTCATCACCAATTCGATTGTTATAAATACTAAGTGATGTTAACTGTTTCATTTCAATTATTGATTTGGCTCCTTCTACACCAATTAGATTTTCACCAATATCAAGTGATGTTAATTGATTCATTCCACTTATGAATTTGGCTCCTTCATCACCAATTCGATTGTTATAAACACTAAGTGATTTTAATTGTTTCATTCCACTTATGAATTTAGCTCCTTCATCACCAATTTGATTTTCACCAATATCAAGTGATGTTAATTGATTCATTTCACTTATTGATTTGGCTTGTTCAAGAGAGTCAAGCAACCTTCTCGAAAATTTAACATTGACAATACTATTCATAAATTGACTTTTCATGAATAATTTAATTCGTTTCTCTGTAAATTTTTTGTTAAATTCAATAACGAGTTTTGAACGTTCCTTGATCACATGAAAGAATTGTTTTGAAATCAAAGAACAATTATTCAAAATAAACCACGAATCATCAATCATGGAAATTATTTCAAAACAAACATCATCCGAAAATATTTCTTGGAGCACAAGTTTTTTCTTTTTTGTTTTCTCTTCCATGTTATTTTTGATCCGAAATTGCTTTTCAAAATCTTGAATGCTTCGTTTACTCATTTTTTTGTGTTTGCGAAAATGCCTCAACATTACCACCCTCCGGATACGGAAGGGAGTACTCTGCTCGCTAACAGAATCTTTGTGTTGGAGAGAGCATTAGAAACCTCCCAAAAGGAAAACACATGTCTCCGGGAATCTATTCAAAATTTTGTAAATATCTAAAATGACTCTGACTATAAGCAATATTTTAATATTTTTAATGAATGTGTTGTTGATAGGAAATTTGTATTAGAATGTTTCCCATCTCCAGCAATCTTTACTCCAAAACCTCTTGCTTTATGTCATTCTACTAGTTCCAAAAATATTCATTACAGACTATTGGAAAAAATTATTGAATATTATATTATTGAAAAGGGAATTAATGTTGAAGGATTATATACCAACTATTCCCATAAACAATATATTACTAGAATATCATTTGATAATGAGAAAACGTGCTCTGAACTTGCTTCAGCTCTTGATTTACAACACTATAAAACAGTAGAGCAAATCAGAAGTGAAACAAAAGAGACAACATCTCAATGTACATTCCCTATTCAATTTACTGATAACGAGATTACAAACGGAATTGCTCGTGTTTACTCTAGAATGGATATTCAACTTGTATTGAACAATTTAAAAATATCAGATGCAACTAATCACTCTGGTACTTCAAAATATAAATTAGTTAAATTATCACACACAGATAAGGATGAAATGGATGAATTCTGTAAGAAAAATATTTCTCTTATTGATAAGCACAAAAACCATTTCAATTTCTATTTCAAACCTTCTATTGAGATTTTAGATCTTAAAATAGAACAGAAAAATAGATTATTTCCTTATTTACCTACTATTAATTCTACTAATAATATTGCAACAACTTAATCAGTTGCTAAAACAACAAATAATAATAATAATAATAATACTAATAATAATAATAATAATAATATTAATAATAATAATATTAATAATAATAATAATAATGAAAATAATCTGTTAATATTACTCACCAAAGCTTTTTTTGGCCTTGTTGTAGGATTGGCAAATAATAATGTAATTCCATTAGATAATAACTTAATGGAAATTGTCAATATTACTAATAATATAAATAATGTAAATAATACTAACTCTGTAATGATAGATGATGATTTGATTTCAACATCATCTAATGAATCTACTCAACCTTGAGTGGAACTACCACTAGTTTAAGACTTGCATGCTACAATGTTAACGGTCTATACAAGCATGCAGTCCATAAATCTGTAACTCAAGAATTGAAATCTATGTGTTTAACACATGGAGTTCATATGATGAGTATTACAGAAACACACGTTAACACTACTGAATTAGAAATTAAAGTTAGAAATTCTGGTTCAGGTTATTTATTAATTAACTCCCTTATGGGTCGATCTAAAGGCTGTAGTTATGCACTTTTTAAATAATCATAGAAAGCGTAACATTACCAATAATAATTTAGTACCTGGAATCTTACAATGGACAAGATTTGAAAGCAGGGGAATTCCAATTAATTTATTTACTATTTATTTAAGTGGCAGATCAGATGATTATGAAAATGATCAAGAAGCCATTAACAGTTTTATCAATGCTGTTTTAACATGTAAAGATGAACATATTATTTTAAGTGGGGATCTTAATATTGATACTCAAAACCCCACTACTACAAGAGAAAAGGATTGGATTTGGATTCTTGAAATGTTAAAATTGACAGAATTCAAAACACCAAATTATACATGGATTAGACGAAGTCAGGGAACTTTAAATAGATCTAGACCTGACCATATCTTTGTCTCAAAGAATATTAGAGTGGTAAAGGAAGTAATTATGACACCTTTGACCACTAATGATCATGTCCCTTTTTATTTAGATTTAGAATCTAATCTTACTTGGAGAACTTACTTTAGTAAGAATAAGAGGAAAAGAATGTACGAAGCAATTAATAAGTGTAAAATTGACAATTTTCAAGAGCTGAATCAAGCAATTGAGGCTCAAATAATTAAATATGGATCCAAAGTAGATAGATTAGGAGTTGGAAGAATTTCTACAGCATTTAAAGAAGAAATTCAAGATTTAGAGGATGAAATATTATCTAAAATTAATAACCCTAATATTCCTCAATCAGAAATACAAGAACTACAAACACTCCTAAAAGAAACACATATTAATAATGCAAAAGAAATTAAGGAAAAACTTATAACTCTTCATCGAGAATGTATCAATTTGATAAAATGATACACTCTAACCAAATTATGTGGAAAGACCTTAACTTTGAAGAAGAAGAAATAGTGGATTACTTTACAAACAAATTTACCTCCACTAATCAACAACCAACATTCACACCAAGTAATTCAACTATCAAAGAAGGTCCAGATTGGAGCAATTCGATTCATATTAAAGAGCTACAAGATGCTCTCAAACGAATGAAATCAAACACTTCTGGGCCTGATCTAATCTCACTCGATTTAATTAAACATCTTACAGAAGCCAATCAAGGAATCCTCTTAGAAGAATATAATAGATGTTTAAGAGATGGTGATATTCCACAAAATTGGAAACAAGGATGGGTAAAACTCATTCCTAAAAGAGAAATTAATACCTTAAGTGATATTCGCCCAATTACTATTTTACCAATATTTTACAGAATATTATTTAATATTATAGCATTTAGATTGAGATCTTGGGCATCAACTCATATTAATGTTAGACAACAAGCATTTATTACAGACAGAAATACTTTGAATCATGGTGTATTACTCTCTGCCTTAGCAATGAAAACAAGGAAAAGGACTTTTATTTTAGTGAATTTAGATATAGAAGGGGCGTATGATGCAGTCGAATTACCTGTCATCAAAATGGCCCTAGACCACTGTAAATACCCTTCAGAACTTACTCAATTCATTTTAAATGCTTATGCTAACCATGAACTTCAATTAGAAATTGATAATCATCTCTCTGATAAATTTAAGAAAACAAGAGGAATACCACAAGGCTGTCCACTGGCCCCTCTTATATACGATTGTATTACCCAATTAATAATTGACAAAGCAATTGATAAGTGGAAGATACCAATCAAACCAGGCAAACTATGTGCAAATGATATTGCACTCTGCTGTTTTGCTGATGATATGAATGTTGTATGTGACAGATATTCCAAGTATAATGACTAGACAATATTCATGATTGGTTACATCAATTATTATTTAAATTGAATGCTAAGAAATCAGTAGCAACTCTATTACCTAAAAAGAGCACAGTCTCACCTAAAATCAAAGGTACTCCAGTACCTAAACAGAAAAACCTTAGAGTACTTGGCCATTACCCTTGGGATGATACTTTGGTAATACAAGACATCCAATCCAAGATAGACAAATTCTCAAAATCATTAAGATTTTTACCATTATTCAAATTACAGCCAACAAACCTTAAAATAATTATGCATGCTAAAGCAATCAGCCTATTCACTCACCTCTCAAAAATCAATATAATCCCTTTAAAGAAAGCTCAGGAAATAGATCGTGCAATTAGAGGTGCAATCAGACGTAAATTATTAATGGACAGAGCAACTCCAACAAGTTTCTTTCACCTGCCATTAGAAGAAGGTGGATTAGGATTACCATCAATTGAGGAATTCTCTGAAAGAATGAATTTAAGAACTATGAATTTAATCGCCAATAATAAGAATAAGTTAATAAGAAAAGCTTTCAAATATGGTATCAAACATTGTGAGGAAACTAAAGATAATATTTATGCTAAATGGTTATCTGTACTTAAAGAATATAATCTCACATTTGTGCAGAATGATACGAAATTTAGAATAGCCAAAATCAAAACAGGGAATAGTTTCGATATCCATACAGATGGATCTAGAATTAATCAAAAGACAGGAATGGGTATTAATATTTATGATACCTCAAATAGATCAGTTCCTTGTAAAACTTTATCCCTCAGAATCAATAATCATTATTCAAATAATATAGCCGAAATATGCTCCATAATAACTTCTATTAATGTAATCCCACGAAACTCTAAAGTTACCATTCATACAGATAGTGAAGTTGCAATAGAAGTTCTCAAAGATAGATACAAAGGAGATTTTCTAACATTAAAAGAAGCCTTCTTTAGAACAACCAAAAATAGAAAAATAGAATATGAAATTAAGAAAGTTGAAGCACACAAAGATAGCGAGAATATCAAGGTTGATTTAATAGCAAAGAATGCTACAACCAGAGAGGATATTTTTGATATTCGTAATTTACTCAAGAATCAACACCTCCTTGTTAAGGATGGTGTTGTCGTCTTCAATCATAAGAAGATGACCATAACAAGACATTTAAGTGTAAGACATAATAAGATGAATGAAAACCCTAACTTTATTCTAAACCAAAGTTGGGATTCTCTTAATGTGCAATACCTTAAAACTCGTCTTACTCCTAAAACTAAATACTTTATATGGAGAAATTCCATCAATGCCCATATCAATTTTGGTAAGGGTAAAAGTTTCTGTTACGATTGTGGTACAGAATCTGATTTATTCCATTACATTCATGAGTGCCCTGGCTTGGATAGTGCCAGGTATTTTTGTAAATCAAAGATATCTGATATTCTTGAAGGGAGAGAGTGCTTACTTTCTCATTTTCAATTCAAACCAGAAAAGCACCACCATGCATTACATTTCCATCATAACGGAATCACCTCTTTGGAAGATGGATACATGCAATTCCATAAAGATACATAAAGACATCGCTAAGAAGTGGCCAGAGATCCAAGGTGCCATTTCTAACTTTGTCGGCCGTTCCTATTCTAATTATTATATTGACTCCAAATAATTTATATAACCTATGAGAATCTGAATAGATTCGTTATTGTCGTAATAAAAGATTTTTTTGTGTTGGCAAAGACATCTGTCACCACTGTTTTACTAAAATTATTTTTATTGAAAATCCATGGTTTATTTTGAATTATTTACAATTGCTCTAGTTTTTCTCTTTCTTGTAATTTCTTTAGCTTTTCTAATAGATTAATGGTTGGTAAATCTGCCTTTCCATTTTGAATTGTTCTATCCAAGAATTCATTCAACAATCCACATGCTTCTTCATATTTCTTGTCAAAGAATAAATTACAAGCAGCTCCATAGGATTGCCAAAGATTTCTCTTCTTCTTTTCCTCCAATTCATACATCCATTCTAATATTTGATTAATTTCGAGTGAATTTTAAAATATACTTACCATCTTCTTTAACTTCCATAAAATCTCCAAATTCATAAACATTCACTTCAGTAATTTGCTTTGAGGACAAAGGAGTATAACTTTCTGGAATGTTGTTACCATACTCTGGTGACTTTAAGAATGCCCAATTCTTGTTAAGCGACTTGTCTAGCTCAGGAATTCCATATTGTTGTTCCGTTAAGAAATTAAGTGTATCGATAAATCTGTGTTGATAGAAATTATGAGTTTTTGCCTTAATTTCTTCAGAGACTACAATTTCAATGTTCAAATTAACAGCAAGATCCAACATGGAAAGTATATTTCTTTGGAAGCTACCAACAATTGTAAAATTCTTAAAATCATTAGTACCCAAGTTACCACAACAAACAGCTTGGGAGAGAACTGCAACTCTAAAAGTTTGTGCCTTATCGGTCGCTTCTGGATTAATGGCCTTCTTTAATGGTAATAAACCATTAAGCTTTCTAACAATAGCATAAGCAAATGTTATAGATTTCTTTTCTGGGGCTGCTGTGTCAATATTAGAATTGAATGAAATAGTGATAGTCTCATTATCAAAATTACCAACAGAACCTCCATGTATCTTACTCATATCATATACATATTTGAAAATTTCACTTAAAACAGTTACAGTTTCAGAGTAAGAATTGTTGGCAATACATGCGCTCATTCCTTCAATATGTAAACAAGCAAAACCAACTTTTCTTTTATCCAAATGAAGGGCAAATCTTGCTAAAATATCAATTGGTTGTTGAGTTTGAGATTGTTTTTTCGTAGTACTTCCAATGCTTGAAAAACTGCTAGAAGCGTCTTCCTTAACTAGTTTTGCAATAGAGTAAGCACTTTTAGATTGAGGTTGGGAATCTTTTGATCTTCTACTTTTATCAACTTCTTCACCTCCATCAATCTTTGAAATCAAGTGACTTGGAATAAAGCTATTTCAAAAATTGTTTAGTCATGTTGACACTTAGTGATAACTTACCATCTATAAAGCTTAATCCTGTCAACCATCCCCTTAAAGTGTCCTTGAAGAATGACAACTTCTCTGAACAATGAATTTCTAAATTCTAATCCTTCCAATTTCATTTCAGAAACTTCACTAAAATTGAAAATCAACTCATAGAATGGTTGAATAATTTTAAATGAAATATAAACACCGAAGATTATACTAATAATGATAATCAAAAGACTTATACCAAGAGCAATTCCTACAGCCATGAAAATTGTTGTTAAATAGTTTGATGTTGGTTCAGCAAAGACAAGCAGCCAATCCACATTTTCTTCGGTACATAGCCGATACATTGAGAGGTAGTAACCCTCAACTTCTAACATAATCATTTTGTTTCTTTCAATTACTTGCAAGTCTGGATATAAAGAGTATAAACTCTTTCCAATAAGATTAGTTCCCTTATCACGGACTGTGATTGCTGTAAGTCTGGTTTCTTGTTGTTGTTCATCCCAAACAGCTACAGAAACTTCTGGATCATAATCTATATAGAGAGTAAGTAGATCAAATGCCTCAATAAATACTTACTAGATATCAAGTAATTAGTGCTCACTTCAATAGTAAAGGCAATAGCTCCATCAATCTCTCGTGTTGCTAGGGATAGGTATTTTGAAAATGATTCTACTGAAACATCATACCCAATCCAAAAGGCGTAATCAGAAGGGTCAGATGTATTTTTCACCATTGACAAGAGAGTGATAAAAGTAATGCTAGGTAATGTGATGTCAGCATAACTCATTGTAAATCTAGTTCCGTTTGGAGCTGCTCTAGCAGTGTCCCATATATCATTCATATCAATAGGATCCAGCACTACATCAAATGGAGCTGAATGATTTCTCTCACAATGATCGTAAAGCTCATAATCGGAACAGTACCAATAGGAGTCTTCGAGGAAAGAGACAATCATGGTTTCATTAAGCTGAAACACACCAAAATTATATCTAGTGTGATCACCAATAAAAAGTGTGAGAGGAAGAGAGGGATGTCGCTTAATTTCATTCTTAAAAAGTTTGAACATGTGCTTCTCTACGAGAGCGGTATCATAAGGATCGAACCCATCTGATAATATTTCCTTCTCCGTTTCGACAACAAGCATGAGTTCTTTAAGTGTGGAATGTGTAAATTGCACAATATTATCAAAACCCTTCTCTCTCACTGATGAACCCCACTTGAGCATGTATGGAAGAAAACAAGATATCCACACACTTGACAATACCAGCACTGTTAATATTTCTAAGAAAGCAACCAACAATATCAAACATGTCTTGATAGAAATTTTGGAACGAGATGGAGGTTCTTGATGATGAGTACCAAATTCATCATTCGTATTGTAGACAATATCTGGCAATGCCCTTGAACGTTGCTTTTTAAGATTGCTTTTAGGAGTATCAGCCATCGACTGCTGAGAAGAGGAAAAGTGTTGCTCTGATAATTGATGTGCAAGTGGATGAACTTTTGGCATTGCGAAGAAGAATGTAGTAGTTATCCAATAATGGTGCTGAAAAAGTTTTTTTTTCTTCCGTGTTGGTTTGTGATTCGAGACTCAATACAATGATTCGATTCCAGTAAGATATTGAGGTGTATTTCAATTTTTTTAAATTGTGAGAGTGTGTTTATGGTTGTGTTTGCTAGCTAGTGCAAAGACTCCCTGACCTTTATGTGCAACCTACTTCCCGCTGATGATGATCATTATTAACAACAGTGGAAGGTGAAATGTATTAAATAAGGGGTCGAATCGACATAAACGGTCAAACAGCAAGCCTTATTAATAAGTAAAAACAAAATTATTGTACCAAAAGAAGAAGCGCATAATATTTCTAGTTGGATCTCGATAGGGATTTCCCTGCTTAATTTTTACCTTAATGAAAATATTGATAAGATTTAGAGGAAATTTAAGTAACTCTATGCAAAACCTCCAGATATTAGAAAAATCATGAAGATGCAATATCGATTGCAACAAGCAAGTAATGGAAATATTTTGCAGTAACTATTCTCTTAACTTGAGGAGACAGAGGAGGAGTAAGTGTAGAGTTCACCCTCATGAACCTCTCTGGAAAGTTCATCATAGTCCCGTATGCTTTCTTAGTGTGGCCACATACAATATCACAATTGGAAGCGATAAATCAGCAATGATAACTGCTCCTTAAATTGTCAAATGATTATTTTGGAAAATCTTGCAATCAAAAATTGTAAATTAAACTTTAATAAATTGAGTTGAACTATACATTACATATCCGTATTATACCAATAGAATGCTTTGCTATGATACACATTGTGGATTACATTTCAAATAATTTCTTGGAAAATGGAAAATTGGAGCAGTAAGGATGTTTGGACTCTGAGTCGCTTTACATGAAGTAAAATGTCCTCATCACAAATTTGGCTGTCAAATTAAACTTAAACGGCAAAATAAAATCATTCCAAAGTATTAATATCATTGATTCATGTATTAAATTGACCGATAGTATCGGAGCAACCAATATTATCTATTACAAGCTGAACATTTTTATTATCATCAATTTAATGATAAATATTATTATTTAAAAATGTCATCATCGACCACCCATCACGATGATGACTTGAATTCTGCACATCATTCGGAACATGAAAATAATTCTCATCACTATGTACATTCACTTAGTAACAACAACAACAGATGGTAGTGGCAATGAACAAAAGCTGAGGATATGTATGATTTCCGATTTCTTTTATCCAGGCTTTGGAGGAGTAGAATCACACATCTATTGTATATCAACAGGATTAATTAAAAGAGGGCACAAGGTTATTGTCATTACAACATCCTATGATGATCGGAAAGGTGTAAGATATTTAACGAATGGAATTAAAGTTTATTACATTCCTGTATTTAAAATTAATACATCTGCTGGCAGTGCAACATTACCGTTCATCTTTACTTCTTTACCACTGTTGAGAAATATTCTGATCAGGGAGAGAATTGAAATTGTGCATGGACATCAATGTACATCCAATGTTTGTAATGAAGGACTCTTACATGCAAGAACCATGGGACTGAAATGTTTTTTCACTGATCATTCATTGTTTGGATTTGGAGATGAAGGAGGAGTACACATCAATAAGGTTTCTAGGTTTGTATTGAGTGAAGTGGATCATGTAATTTGCGTTTCACATACGCTGAAGGAAAATCTGACCCTTCGAGCATCTTTGAATCCATTCAAAACTACTGTCATACCACATGCTGTAGATACGAACGTATTCAAACCACTTAGAACGCACCCACCAAGAAGGGATGAAAGACTTAAAATTGTATCAACATCAAGATTAGTTTACAGGAAGGGAGCGGATTTGCTGATTTCTATCATTCCTGTAATTTGTACAAAGTACCCACATGTGGATTTTATCATTGCTGGAGATGGACCAAATTTAATTGAAATGACTGAAATGATTGAAAGATATGAACTATTTGACAGAGTGGAATTATTGGGAGCAAAACCTTATCATGAGATTCCTAGCGTTCTTCAAAGAGGTCACCTCTTCTTGAATACAAGTCTAACTGAGGCATTTTGCATGGCAATTTTGGAAGCAGCTAGTTGTGGACTTTTTGCTGTCAGTACAAATGTTGGTGGAGTAAGGGAAGTATTGCCAGACAATGACATGGTTTTATTGGCAAATCCAGATCCACTCTCTTTATGCGAAGCTATGGAAAAAGCCATTGAATGTCATGTTTATAATACTGACCCAATTCAAACGCATGAACGTGTATGCGAAATGTATAATTGGGATAAGGTAGTTGCATGTACAGAAGCTCTATACGTAGAATCCATGCATACATGTAAGGAGAGAGGCCTATTGGAAACCATCACATCTTACAACTCTGTTGGTTTCTTCCATGGAAAAATTATTGGACTTCTTACAACTCTGGACTATCTATTTTATCAAGCTCTTGAATACATGTATCCCAGAGAGGAAATAGATGTATGCCCAGAATTTGGTCCTTTCTACCTTAAAGATGTTAACGATTAATTATTTATGCTTTACGGTGTAATTTTGACCACGTTGAGGTATTAATTTGGCTTGGCGGATTGTTTGCGAGAGTAGTGTTGGTGCTTTAATACTCAGATTCGTGTTGTGTTGTGGCAAAGCTGTGTGTTGAGATACAAAGAGTCTTAATTCCTTTGAGAAAATGTCTTTAACGCCCAACAACAATAATTCCTCATTCACAACTGACAGTAACAATAACAATTGGTTCTTTCCCAATTCTGCTGCTGCCAGAAGCACTGATAACTTGGTCTTTGGACACTTTCTTAATCATCATCAGAGTCACATCACGATGGATGAGCAACAACAACAACAACAACAACAGCCCTTGACCTTCACACCCATCGACATCAACTCCTCCACTCATCACATCACCACCACATCTAAGAACAACAAGACTGATACATCTCCTCCAACCCAAAAGTCCAAGAAGAAACAAAAGGTGGCCTGTGTGTATTGCAATAAGCTACACAGTACGTATTTAGAAATTGCTTAATATCTAAATTTTCCCTCAAATCTCAGAAAAATGTGACGGTGAGCCACCAAATACCTGCTCACGATGCTCAAAGAAATCCATTCCGTGTGTTGTAAGTAGTAGTACTGTCATGAAATTTACAATTTCTCAAGTATTTACCACCTCAAAAAAGAGGTCCCAAGTCAAAGAAGAGAAAGACCACCGATGGAGAGGATGATGACTATTACTCTACAGAACTAACTACAGAGGCTCAGTTATCAACTACTGCCAACCAGAATGAACAAATTCAACAACTCCAGCTCCAACAAGCTCAACAACAATTCAATACTCCAGTGTACTTTAATCATGGTACATCCCAACAACGTTCACAACAACTGGAACATGTAACAACAGCTCATCAATCTCAAATTGTAGGCTCAATAGATTTGGATACCTACATATCTGAATCTCTTTTCTCACCAATATCTAATAGGGATTCCAACCAGATCCAACCTACTTATCAATCTAGTCCATTGACTGGTCTTCAGTTTGCTGTAAATGTACATACACGAACCCTAGTTGATCAATTTTTAGAGTAAGTATTCAACAATCGTATGCATGTGCTTACCCAAAAAAGCTCTGTAACATGTCATTCCCTTGTTGAAAAGAACATGTTAGAAAATGCACTCACTAAGGCAGTAACTTATTCATCTGAACCAACCGGGTATCAACTCTTGACAAATATTGTATGTGCGATGGGAGCCCAAAGATTAGAGGATAGAAAGAATTGCATTGATTTTTTCAACAGAGCAAGAAATCAAGCTAGTTATCTATTTGACATGCCTTCGAGAGAAACATCATGCGCCTTAAGCTTGATGGGCATTTATGCATGTTCAGAGGGTGAAAGAATCAAAGGTCACATATACAATAGAATTGCTCTCGACATGTCCACCAATATGTGTCGATATCAGGTTGAAAATGACAAGTATTTTCACTCGCTTTCAGCTCTTTCTTTGGCAACCAATTTTTCAAAATGGTTGTTCGAGTTGAACATTCTAAAGGTGGAAGAAAATTCCATCGATATTCTACTCAAACATGGAAATAATCCTAATCATCCCCAAGTGCCACAGATTCGTGATCTTGTGAAATCAGTTAAATCATTTATCAACTCTCAGTATTGTATGAGGAAAATTGAAGATTTGGAAAATAGAATTAATGATATGACTCTTGTAAAGGGAAGTGAGGAAATTTCATTTACAGCCATATTGGTTTATTACTTGCTGGACTCTAGAATTGCCTCACTATCAAACAATAATCAAGTTGAGTACATTAAACTTTTGAGAAAATTGGAAACGATTGAAAAGTATGTTGAATCAGACAAGTTCAACAGGGATGATATTCAAAAGAATGTACACAGATTCTGCCTCTACTCTCTAAGATCAGACATTCTAGTCAAGTGTGGACTCGACAAGATGGGATTACATTGTGCTACCAAAGCAACTGGATTGGCAGCAAAGCCAACATTCTGGAAATCAGCGCCAGACATTATTCTCTTCTTCCCTGTACTAATCAATGTTAACCTCAATGTCAATGATAGTAGCATGTCAATTGAAAATTATAAGTCACTCAAAATTATAAGTTCCAAGTTTGTGGTATTGAAGTATACACTTTTTGATATGATTAGTGCAATGAATAAGAGATCAGAATTTTCAGATCTTTTGGCAACTGAGAAACAACATGTTACCTCCAGTAGTGTTTCAAATGCTACAGGTACTTTACAATTTCCAAACGATATTCCAATGTGTGAGTCTTGTATTGTTGGTCAGGATGGTTGGGATGCCTCAGCACTGTTCGAAGATGCCAATAATGAATCCTGCTTCCAGACTACTGACATTACTGAAATGTTGCAACAATTAGGCACAGCTCATGATCATGAATCATATCAAAACAAATTGGAATCCATTTGGCAATCCATTGCACAATAAATTATCTAATGTATTTTATCAACTAAAGTAATGTAAGACTTTTATGTAGTGCAAATAGTTTGGGAGCAAATCCAAAAAAAGAAAAGAAGAAATATTCAATGCACCAGAAAGAGGTATACTAGCCAAACTTGCTTTTTGAAGATTTTACGGATTTTCTATGAAGATCCAACACAAAGGACAGTTCTACCATTGATTTTCTTAAGTACATAATTTTACAAAATAGTGATCATCTAAGCTTGTTGTCTGAATGTGAAAATCAAAAGGAAACGCCCACCGTGGGGGTCGAACCCACGACCACAAGGTTAAGAGCCTTGCGCTCTACCGACTGAGCTAGACGGGCTACATCTCAAAACATAAATTTCCCTTACTAAAGTGTCTGACCATTGTTGTCGTCCTTAACAATAAATCCCTATTTAGTTTTTTTATCCATAAACTCAATTCTAATTGACCTATTCTTGAATTTTACTAATTAAATCAAGAGATCTCTGACACACAAGATTTGAAAAAATTAATAAAATTGTTATTTACATTTGATGATAATTATTAATTATATTATTATTATTAATTAGCACAACAATCCTCTGGTACAATATTACTAGTCATTGAGAATACAGTCCATCCAACAGTATTTCCAGCAATAACAGCCAAGAAAAGGCCCACATTATAAGTCATTGTTACCAACATTAAAAGATATCCTAATCCATTTTGAAACAAGTAAATAATTGGTTTGGCAATATACCAAGCATAGGCCATATATCTTTTTCTTGCCTTTCTTTTGTGATCATCAACATCTCTAAATTCATCATCATCCTTCTTCTTCGGAATGGTTACCTTTCTCTTTACCAAAAACACTAAAAATTGATTAAAAACAGACAAGATAAAACAAATAATAATTGCCAAAGCATATTGCCATCCCTCAGTAATTTGAACAGTTTCAAATAATAAATGTGGTACCGTTGCAGTGGCAACAAAATACATTTGCATTCCTCCCATGGTATGATTTGAGTGATCCGGCATTGTATGATTAGAGTGATCCATCATGGTCTTCATCAGTGAAATTGGTGAATTCATGGTGTGATGCTGTAGTATGTATAATTATTCGTTAGAGGGGAAGGAGCAAAAAATCAAAATTGTGAATTTTTTTTTTCATCAAACTTTTGATTTTTTGCTGACAAAATATTTGTTGTTACCCGAGCGAACCCTCAAATTATTCACAAATCTTGGAAAATTGAAGTCTTGGTTGGAATTTTGCTGGCCATTCGCACATTTGGAAGATCTATTCAATCAATTTGTATCAATTTGTTGGGAATTGATTCAAAGTTTCATTGAAAAAACTCTTTTATGGTAATAGTGGAAAAGAATTGATTGAGAGTGGTGAACCGCCTAAAGATACTTGATAGATATTTATGAAATTGGAGGAAAATAACAATGTTATTGTAGGATTTGATGGTTTTAAGAGAGAAATACTAGCATCATCTGACTGGAGCATTAGGATTGAGTGGATAGTCAGTGAATAGAGGGTATAAGGTTACTGTTTTCTTTGGACACAGAGCAATTATTGGATTATAGATAATGTTTGGGTCAAGAGCTGATTTAAAAGTCATGAAATGCAAACCATTCTTGAAAAAGTTAATGGACAAGTTGTTAAAATCAAGTGTGAGTGCATATCTATCACCTACGTTGATTGGTCCTAGATCCATTAATTGTGCAGTATCGGATTTTAGTGAGCCTTTTGATTTTACATATTGATGTTCTATTACTAGTCCAACTCCATGATTATCTGACAAAAATTGAGTGGAGCTTGTGTCACTATTGAAATTCTCAAAATCTGTTCCAACCCCATAAACTAATCTCCAAGTATTTGCGCACAGATAATATTCCTGAATGATAATTTCATATCCCTTCAATGTAATTGGAATGTTTGACTTGTCGTCAATCGTTTTTGTCAAGTAATAATTTTTACAAAGAAAGCAATTCCATTCCTTCACATTATTATTCCTAACAGTTCGTTTGTTGATCATAACACCTGTATCTGATTTAATTCTTTTTGCATCATTCTGAGTTTTGTATTTAATAGATTTTAAATATGAAAGCAAATGTCTATATCCAAAACGCTCCTTCATTATAAAATTTCTCTTAATATACGAATCTAAAGAATTTGTTGTCAATTTTTCCAATTCAATTGAATCAATTCCATTACTAAAAGTACTTGAATTAATTTCATCAATCCAACGATTAAACAAATGTAACAATATTTCCTTCCAAATCGTATTTCTATATCCAGCAAACTCATCCTCATTATCGTTTCCCAAAATTAAAGAATGATAAAACTTGCTAACGGTTCCAAACTTTGACAAGACTCTATCAGATAAATACATTAAAATGTGAACTCTTATTTCGAATGGAAGATCTTCAAAATTAAAATACCAAATATTCGTGTTTCTTGTTTCCTCTTGATCCGAGGAAGAACTTTTTTCGTCTTCCGTAGTGGCTGAAGTGTTTGTGGACATTTTTTACATTCTATTTTTAAACATTGAACTCCAAACCTAGTTTACAAAAAGTGATAATTTCTCTGATAATTTTCTTGGTGAGCTCAACCAAACTAGAAACCTTCTCTTCTAAATATCTTTATAAGTAATGCATCCACATCCAGTGCCATCTCCTCGAAAAGATTAATAGCATCCTGTTTGATATTGATAGAAGGATATGAAAATGGTGTTTGCTTTTGAAACAAACGATCCAAACAAAAATTGAACAGTATGAAATGCTTAAAGACCAATCTTACTATGGTTGCATTGGCAGCTGATAATTTAGAAACATGTTGAACAAATGATGGAGGGAGTACCAGTTTGAAAATTCTTGAGAGGTATCGATCCAATATGGAATAAAATTGTTGCTTGATTGGCGAATTTTCATATGGGAAGTAGTCGAATGCATTCGGACCCAAATCAAAGAATATCTTAAACTGGACTTTGAAATAGGAGGAAACTGGATCAATAATAAAGTTAGTCAAAATTCCATTACTGTCAACTCCATCACAAATCCAGCCACCACTTTTCTCTACAGAACTACAAATGAATAACTTGTCATATTGTACTTCACTCCCAATATATTCCATTATTTCTACAGTGTTTGAATAGCAACACTCAAAAATAAACAAATAGTCCACAGATTTATCCTTTGTGGTGTTTGGCTTTAAAAAGTAGGAAAGAAAATTCCTAAACGACAAGTATTGGTGTTTCTGAAAAGATAGTCCATAGTGTTCATCTCCATGCCCACTCCAAAATATAATATTCAATGGATTTAACCCACTTTCCAATACTTTACGGCTCGATTTGTAGTATTCCCTCGAAAAATGGTTCAATAATTCACTAGTCTTTTTAAAATCATAATTACAAATCAAATTATAATTCATTCTACTCTTACTACGACCCAATGATGTAATCTTATATTTTTCACAAATATTCTGAACAAAATAGAGAAAGTGAAACAAATCATTATGTACATTAATAATACATCGTGAAACAGCATCAAAATTGGATGAATAATCTTTGATAGCATTACAAATAGACAAATCACCACAATCACGTGTATCTCCTAAATTTCCAACTAGCAATAAAAAAACATTAGATAATTGATCCGAATGATGACAATTTTTCCAATGCAAACTCTCCTCCAAGAATATATCATTTTCTCTCATTAATTGTTTCGGAAATATTTGTCTCGCCAAATTCAAAATTCTCTCCACGCTTTTTGAAGGTAAAATGAATAAATTATTATTGGTTCCTTTATCGGATGATGATAATTGTTTCCTTTTCGTCATCTTTTCATTTTTTTAATTTTAAATTTAAAACTCTAAAATGTCTTTTATGTGATTCAACTTTTATTCTCCATCTAAACTTAAAGAATCTTGTGAATCACACCTAAACATCATGTTACTAGCCCTAATAGAAAGAACTGGTGGAGGCACACCATGATTAATCTTTTTCACAATGTTTGGGTCTGTATAGTCCAAATCTAGAGCTACATTGTCCTGCATTCGTTGCTGTCTTGCATTCCGCAGCAGTTTTTCTCTTAGCGACTCTGTCTTGGTTTCATCCTCTTCATCATTGACATCCTCTTGCTCTTCCTCCTCTTCTCCGTCATCAGAATGAATGGATTTTCTACTGTTGGATCTCTGTAAATTGTTCTGCCTTGAAGAGGGAGAAATATCCTCCTCAATATCTTCCGACTTTTCCTCTTTCTTTTCAGGTTTCTCATCTTTTTCTCTTTCCAAGTTAATTAGTGAAATTTCTCTAGTAAGTTCTCTTTCCTTTAAAATGGTCTTGGTCAACTCGCTCTCCAACTCGAACAATCTATCTCTATCCCTTAGATCTTTTGATGCAGCTTCCATTCTGTAAATTATTCAAAATAAACAGTCAACCAACTTCAACAATACTTACTCTGAATGATTAAATAACCTAGATTTTGCGCTCTCATTTCTAAATGACCTTGGAGATGTGTTGGATCGTTTAGAGCCTATTACATTATTCAATGATGCTCTAGACTGGACAGATGCCTTGTCCTTCTTATTTAATAAATTTCTTAGTTCTGGTTTTACACTCGATGTTATTTCTGATTGTAATTGAGTCAATCTCTCAATTTCACTCTTATATCTTTGACTATCGCTCTTCTGTCTCTTCAATTCATTTTTCAGTTGATTGTTTTCTTTTACTATTTGCTTATATTCTCTATCTAACTTGTTCAAATTATTTTGAGCATTCGTGTATAAGATCACTAATTCATCGTAGTGTTTCTTCTCACTGAGAGAATATTTAATAAATTAAATGGTCAGATTCAAATTTAACTTACTCTATATTATTCGCAATCAGAACATCCTTCTCATAGGAATCTTTAATCATTCTCAATATTTTCCCAAATGGACAAACCTTGATAATCTCCTCAAAAGTCTCCGAATATATCTGAAGGAATCTATTCCTAAGAACGTGTTCATTTTCTTCCACTCCTTTCAATCTCTCAATATTTTCCAACATGTGTATCTCCATCTCAACTGACAATGCTTTCATTTTGCCACTACTTATTGGTACAGAAGATGATGAGCATGAAGGATTAGCTTGATTTTGAGAGACACTAACATTAGATGAAGTGGCTGTCTTGTCCAAATAGGCATAGGGTTTTACAAATCTTTTGTAATCAACAAACCCAGGAGTCAGAGGCGGTGTTTTTGGTTTTAATGTTTTCTGAGAGGAGCCACTTTGTTTCCTATCTGCCTCTGCTGCTTCAGAGAATGACACTCTCTTATTCATTAGATTGGTTGATAATTGTTGTATAGGAGCAGTGTTGGGACGTTTGGATGCATCTTTAAATCTTGGTATTCTATTGCCGATCGTTGGAGTACTATTTCTTGAAGGATAGTTGGCTACTTTTAATGTAATTCCAAAAGATGATTCGGATCTATTAGTTAGAGTGGTAATTGGTTTAATTTCTTCATTTACATCGGGTGTCTTCCTAATCTTCTCCTTTCTTATTGGCAATATATCGCTATTTAATTTTGTTGACAGGTTGTATTTGGTACCTGCTGGAAGAAGGTCAGAAAAGCTGTCATTATGTTGCATTGTGATGATGTTGTTATTGTTTTTATTGGACAACTAATACTATTGATGCTTAATAAATTAATGGCTGTTTGAAGATGATGAGGATTTTTAAAGGTTCATTTAATGCCTTTGTTTTTAAAAAAGATTATCTTCCGTAACTGATTTTGGCGGTTTTTTCTGTTTGCTTTTTGGCGCCAACATCATGTGTTGATAGGTTTGATAGTTTCCTTAATTGTCCAATGTTAAATATTGGTCAAATACAACATAATAGTCTCCAATTTCTTTCAAATTTTTATCCATTAATTTAGAATGATTTTGTTGTGTCTTTGCTTGTGTTTCAGACCATCAATTTCAATTCTATTACAATCAACCAATCAATCCATTCAACAAACGTGTCTTCTTTACAAAATTGTTAGGTGAATTATGCCAATTATTTCAAAGATGAAAACACTTGGAATCTACCTTGAACAAAAAATCCCTCAATCAAATTCCTTTCAATCCTCAATAAATTGTCCTTTTCTCTTAAAACATTCTTATTGTAACTTTTAATTGGAATTTGAATTGATTCTAAAGCGCACTCAAATTTGGATAGAAAGATGGTGATTAGAAGCGTTTACTGTGTTCGCTTGTTCTTTAAATGCGCTTATTGTTGCTGCATTCTAAAAAAAACATGTCTACTCAACAACCACCATTTGTATTCTATCCAACTGCATCAAATAATAATAATATGCAACAACCAACATTTAATCAACCTCCACAACAACAACAACCAAATGTTGTCTCCGGAGGTGTTCCACAACATCCATTCGTATACTATCCACAAGTTGTGATGGGACAAAACGGCCAACAACAATACATTCTTTCTCCTCCACCAAGATTTACCCAACCAACTATTTATACTACTCCTGTTGTGATGGATCAACAAGCTAGTAGTAGTATTCCTTTGGAAAATAATTTGCAACAAGTTGATAATCAAAATACAACAAGATCATGTTCATGGTCATCATGTAGATCTAGCAAATTCTGTAAATACGTAAAGGAAAATAGATGGTTCACTGGTCAAATTGTAGTGACAATCCTCATGGCTATCCTTTGTATCGCTGCCATTGCAATGTATCCAATGGTTGGAGGTGTTATGGCTTTCAAGATTTTATTGTCTGTTGTCTGTTGTGTTGCTGCTTATAAGAAGAAGTATTTGGCATTGAGCTTCTTCAGTGGTTCTATTCTTGTTGATTTACTCTTGTCCTCCTTCATTATTGGTTTGGTTGGTTCTTCCAGCCATTCTGACTATAACTATGTCAATCCTGCTCTTACTCTTCCATTCCAAATTTCATTCCACATTCTTGAATTGACTTTCTTGGTTATCTGCCTTGTTTTAACTGCAAAGATTCACAGAGAAGTCCACTCAACAAGCGTCCCAGCTCAAGAAAATGTTGTTCCAGTTTTGTCTACTGAAACTCCAGTTGTTGCCAATACTTCCTCCCAAGAAAACTACTCTCGTCTCCAAGATGAACAAGAATCTCAACAAGAAGCTGTTCAAAGATATTACCCAAGCTTGAACAATAACAACAACCATTAAGTTATTGTAAAAATCGAACAAAACACTACCTTATAAAATAATTTCTGTACAAAATGTTTTAAAGTAAGAAAATAAAAACCTCGATTCCTTCTTATTGAAATTACTGCAAAAGGTTGCAAATAGTCCTTGATGGCTCAGTAACTAAACATGTGGAATTAATTTTCTTCCAAATATCTGTTCTTGTTTAATCAAAACAAATAACGGCTGTGCATGTTGTTACCAATTAATCCGACACTTTTAACCTATGAAAGAGAATAAATTAGTTTTATTAGTTGGTGGCAGCAGCTGCTGGAGCTTGTTGACCTTGTGGAGCAAGATTTCTAGTCAACAATCTACTTCCAATAAAGAAAACTGAAATCATGATAGTAGATCCGTACTTTTGGAAGAAGGACAATTCATTATTAACACTCTTAACACCAACAATTCTTTCCATCTTATTTTCACCATCATAAATCAAAGTCAAAATGAATTGTTCACGAGTAGTGAAGAGGAATTGATAAGTTCCCTTTCTAGTGGCACCAGCAGTGAAACGTCCTTGAGAAGAAGCATGGACGACTGGAGTTTGTTGATTTGGTTGTGGCTTGTGAGTGACAAAATTGAATGGAATTTCAAAGACAACTTGGTCACCTTCTCTAGTTTCAGCAACTTCTTCTTCTTCCTCAGATTCTTCCTTCTTTCTCTTGATCATCTTCAAAGATCCAGCTTGTTCAGCTTCAGTTTGAGCAAAGAGTTTGTATTCAATATCGGAAGCATCTTCTTCAGATCCTTGTTGAGTATATGTTCCGACCAAAATTCCATCATGAAGAGCAGAATGAGTAAAATTATACAAGCCAACAACTGGGAATAATTCTTCTTCAGTACTAGCTTCACCAATGTTAATCTCCGACACTTCAACAGACCATGCTCCTTGCATGATATTATTAAAATTAAAATCGGATGCTGACTTGGTTTCCTCTTCGGCAACACAAACAACAGCCAAACAGAGAACAAAAACGAGAGCGAGGGAGTATTTGATGAATTGGTTCATTTTTTTCAGAGTTTCAATATTTTTTAATTTTTTAAAGCGGATTAAAAATATTTTGTCATCAGCAACTTATCGGACATGTTTATTAACATGATGAATATTCATTGAGGATATTTGTGGAGGAATAATGTTGAATAAACTATCGGATTGTACACGTGTGAATTCCGAAAGAATTTTACAATTAAATATTATTTTAAAGAATTTGTGGTCAAGGTAAGAAAGGGCAATAAGATTCAGTTATCTAAAGCAATTTAAATTGTTTATCACATGACAACAATTTTGAAACAAAGTAAATCTTTAAGCTCCAAAACTTCAACTGTGTATCCAATAAACCCTTTTGAAAATCAAGAATTTTTACTCTGGTCAATTACATTATTAAACCAATTGACCACAAATTCAACTCATTGTAAATTTCTGTTTGTTGAAAAATAATTATCTTAGATAAAAACTCATATCCCACTGCTTTATCTTATCAAAATACTGAATTATTTATTGAAAATAGCACCAAGAGAATATTGGTAAACACTTCCCTTATAAAAACCTAACCAACCTTCCTTATCATAAATTTCCTTAGCACACTTGACAATATTGACACGTTCAACACTTTGTTCATCTTCTGACAAGACACCATACTGCAATCTACGTCTCAAAATCTTTAATGGTTGAACAGTGAACCTAGAAACCAATTCAGCCATAATAAACATGATTGAATCAAGAATTTCTTCAGCTTGATCAGATCCATCAGCAACAGAATCATCTCCCAATCCAAATAATCCAAAGAAGAGTTGAAGACAACGATATGAACCAGCCAATGAAGCAAAACGAACAACTCTTTGAATTAACTTCAAATACCAACCACGATATAAAGCTCTAAAACCTTCCTTTCTAATAATCTTATTCATACAATCAATTGAACCAGTTGGATCTCTTAAAGTTGGATGAGCAATACGATGAGAACGAGAAGCTTGCATTCTCACAAACACAGTATCCCAAGGATAAGAAAATATATCTCCTAAAAGTGAAGTTCCTTGATAAATCAATTGATAGGAAGGAATTGTTCGTTGTGTAATTAAATCTCCTCTCTTGGCCAACAAGAATTCTCTTCTCAAATCTACAGAAACTAAAACATTACGAACAACATAGGAATGGAAGAATTTCTTCAACATTCTTGCTGGAAATCCACGGAAGAAACCAGAAATTCCTTCATTAGAGAAGAGTTTTCTAAATCCTTGAAGATGATTAGTTATTGTTGGTTCCTCCTTTTCATTTGTTGCTTCTGTTGGTTCAAGAACAACTTGGAAAGTAACAGCACGGTAGAGGAAATTAAAAACTCTATACAAGGAGAAGGAGGCTACCAGAGATGTGCCCAAAATAATATCATATGTATTGGAAAATTCTTGTTCGGCCGATTGGAAGGAATCTGGTGGTGCACCTGTTGAACTAAGTTGTGGTGGAGGAGTTGAGAATTTTGGAACAATATCAACAACATTCATTGATGAAGTAGTAGTAGTGGAGGAAGAATCACCACCGACTGGTAATTGAATCGTCACTGATGATGAAGAATTATTGGTCATATTTTTTATATTAAAATTTTTATTGTTAATTGCAAAATGAAATAATTTGAATTTTTATTGAAGCGATAAAACGGACCATTTAGATTTTGATTGAACAAGTTGGAGTTGAATCGAGTTATTGTTGAATTAATCCTCCAATCATTTCGAGATTGATAATTGAAAGTCAAAGTTTGAAGATGTACAAAAAGAGTGAAAAAATTTATTAAGCAAAGAGTGAGGCAAATGATTGTAAACTGGTTCCTCCAAGAAGAGACGAAGCTCCATTAGTGTTTTCTCTAGTGAGGGACTTTTCTTTTGGTCCTAGGAATGAAGAACCATTACTCTCGCTTTGTAAAAGGTTCAAGTGGCTATTGTCAAGGAAGATGCCATTAGATTGTTCCTTGCATGAAGTAGTTGTTGCTGTGGCTGAGTTTGGTCCAAATAGTTCGGTAAAGTTTGACAATTCCAAGTTAGAGTAGGCTGAAGAGTCTCTCTTCTTTTCTGCATTAGTTGATTGAGAGAGTGGAAGAGACATGGAAAAATCAGCATGGAACAGTTGACTCAAACCAGAGTTTTCAGTTGGTTGAAGAGAAGTTTGAGGAATGGTTTGTTCCTTCTCCAATTTGATAAATGAATCAATGGTTTGTTGAGCTAGGTGATGATGTTCCTCTCCTTCTTTGGAAGTCTTTTTTTTCTTAGTGGATTGGGTTGTCTTTTTCTTTTTGGAAGGACTGGATTGATTCTTTCTCTTCTTTGAATCCTTTGCAGTTGTTGCTTGACTTTTTTGTGAAGTGGTAGCGCCAACACTTAGAGTAGAACTTAGGGAAGGTATTAACATTTGAGAGGTATTTGGTAAGGTGGTTGGTGTTGCATTCTGTACATTTCTCATCGAGTCCAATACATGACTCACTTGAGCAAAGGATGTTATAAAGGAATTGGTTGGTCTATTGTTTGAATTGTGGTTGTTGGCAGTAGTGAGATTGGCTTGAAGATTAGGAGCAGTTACCTTATTATTGGAAACAATGGTCAATGGTTGTGGAACGGCAACAACAACACCTAGATTTTGATGATTGGACTGCCTTTTTGATTGGAGGAGGAATCATACTACTGCTTCTACCAGAACTTGGAGCATTAATCTTTGGAGGAGGTGGAGCAAATTCAAACAATGATGTTGGAGTGAGTTGACTAACTACAAAAGGTAAGGCAGGTTTATCATCACAAAACACAAAATCATATTCCATATGGAATGTATCATCATCTTGATGAACACCGGTCGATCCTTGCTCGATCTGATAAGACAATACTTCCCTTCTAACACTAGCCATCTGTACATTGATATCGCAAAGTCCCCATCCTCTATGAGCAATACATGCAAAGGAAACCTTCTTGGGAAAGATTCTTACTTCTCTCACATTAAATTGTTTAATAATAGGTTGCCATCGTTGTTTGAGATAATCGACAACAAAGGCTGCTGTTTTAGTTTCCTTGAATTTTACTCTGGAGTTTAATGTTGTTGATGATGAATTGAAGAGACACTTACTGGATGCCTGGATTAAAGCCTAGTTGGCATATACTCTGATAGAGCGCATCGGTCCTAGGCAAGAGTTGCAGAGTAAGCTTTTTGGGCTTAAATTGCAAAGGAGCTTGCTTTTTCATTTTTTTTTGAAATTGTTTTAAATTTTCGTAACGGCTAGGACGCCTATTTTTATTTTTAGGAGGGTTAATGTTTTTCAAAGTTAAATTACGATCTAACAAGGTATTACGTTTTAGATTGGAATTTGATAATGATATTACTAAGATATTTGAATAATTATTTGAAATTTATTTACGTCGTTTGGATAAAGAATGTTGATGAATATAATATATAATTGTTGTTATTTCATTGTGCAATACAGCAAAATATCAAATACGAAATTATAATAAGAATGTATTAATTATTTATATTTTTTAATCAATCACCAATAAATATTTAAAAGAAAATATAGACCATATCATAAGAAATTGTCCAAAACAAAATATATGTTAATAATCCTTGTGTAAATCCTCCAAAGATAATATTTGACCAACTTGTAAATACTCCATCAATCGAAAATGGTTTTGGAAGTACCAATCCTATCAGCACCGATGAAATCACAACAGAAACTAAAATATAAAACAAAAATCCAGACAATCCAGAGAGTCCGAAAATTCCTGCAACAATTCCAAAAACAAGAGAGATGAAAATTTTGCACTTATATACTACATTATCATTGTGTGCGATTTTATCAAGTCCAATCTTGTCGGAAGTTGATGGTGATGGTATTGCAGCTGATGGATCCATTTTTTAATTTTGAAAATTTAAAATTTATTTGAAAAATTCCAACAACAATTAATTCATTATTACTTGATGGATTATCTGATAGGATCTACTTGGGATTTGTTCATATCGTTTGTGGACATAAGATCATCTTCATTGCCATTAATTGTGGAATAGTATGAGAAAGAGGTTTAGCCAAACTTACTCAATCCTTAACTTGTTAGAAAGAACGATTGCGATTATTGAGCTTACTTCAATATTACCAAGTAAATAAAATTAGTCAAACCAAATGTGTTGTGCCTTTCTGTTAAATACTTCTTCTAAATGTTTTAACTGTTCTTTAGCTTGGAGAATTCTTGTTCTGGTTTGGGCAACATCTGGAGGCAAATTGTGATATCTTTCAATGAGCTTTAGCTTTGGTTCGATTTCTGTTTTGAGTTCTTGAATTCGGTCATATATTTCTATGAGTGTTGTTTGTTGCACATCCAAATTATTTGAAAGAGCGAATGCTTCATTCAATTGTTGTTGCATTCCAGAAACTTGTACTTGATATTCGTGTGATTTTCTCTTTAAATATTCAATAGTTTCTAACCTATTTTGAAGACTATCTGTTTGTTCTCTCTCAGATATTTCCTGATCGAATTGTTGATGAATTTCATTCAAATATTGTGACTTCTTAATTAAATCAATAGTCTTGTCTGAAATGTCAATTATTGACTTTTTCAACTGATTAGATTCATCCATTACTTTATCATAATCACTCGATAAATCATACAATGAATCCATAAATTCCCCCTGTGAAGAATTGTTCAATTTCATCATGGCAGCAACTTTGGCCAATTCATTCACATGAAAATTATTTTCTATTTTTTCATCCTTTTTTAGTGTTGAATTAATTATATGCTCCATCCTCCTACTTTCCGATTGATACTCCAAAATCTTTTGTTTATAATTATTCTTGATGGTATTGGAGACTAAATTTTGTTTCCGATTATGTAAAGCCAATTGGTAGAGTAAATTGATGGTTACTTCATTCTTTTCAAAAGGTGGAATATCACCATCATTAATCACTTCAAATAACCAATCATTGATGACTTTTAATTTATTATTCAGTGAGAGGGAATTGCTTGTTGTTGAAACCTCCGAAATATTGGAGAGTGATGATTCATTCATTTTTTTCTTTTAAAAACGAAAATAAAAGGCGGCAAAATATTTCACAAACTCAAAGATCATTTATCATTGTCCATTACAATACTATCGTTGTCGTCTTCCACTAGAAGCTACGTGAGCCATTATCATTGGTTTGTTATTGAAAACGATCATGTACTTGCAATCTTGGAAAACCTTGACATAAATTCTCCACAATTTGTTGTGTGTGGAAAGATCCTTCTCTGTGTAGTTTGGTGGCACTTTGAGAACAATGCAACAAGCTCCAAAGTAGAGCATGTGTTCTATCATTTGATTGGCACTATTCTTTACAACATCGGTATCAATGACTAGATTGTTCAAAACTGTGGAAGAATCCTTCTTGTTGGACTCGGTCAAATCAAGCATGATAACAGAGGAGTGTACATTGTTTTTGGTATCACACAACCAGTCAAAGAAATCTCTTTGTTCCACTGTTGAATTGAAAGAGCTTGCAGTAAAGATATTCCTCTTTAAGAGATGCTTGGTGAATACAGAAACATTGTGCCTAGTTAATTCATATTCTTCCTTATTAGATTCAAATATTAAAACTTCAAAATTTGTTCTAGAAATGGATTGGGCATAATAGTGCAAAATACCAACCAAATAAGTTCCCAAAGATTTTGTGTTATCCAAAAATCTGGTTGGAAAAACTCCACTATGCATCTTGATAACTCCTCCAATAAAATTCACAATCTCAATCGATTTATCAAATGATAGAATTTGTGATTTCAATACAGTTGAGTAGTGAGCAAGATTGGTACCAAGACGAAGTTCCTTGAGGATTGATTCTGGAAAGGTTGGTCCTGATAGAGCAGTATTGTTTCCAGTTGTGTTTGAACCTTGTATTGGTAGAGAAGGATCGTCAGATTCTAAATCTTCATCGGAAAGTTTTTTAATGGCTGAATCCAACACTTTTTGCATGTTGTTTCTAATAATTGTCAATTCATTGATTTTTTGAAGATGCAATGTTCCAATGGTAGAATTATTAGTATTGTTATTATTATAATTATTACTAGAGGTGGAGGTATTACTAGGAAGAGAGGGTGATGAAGATGAATTTACAAATTGTGCTTCGATATCTTCCAATCGGAATTCAGAAAACTGATCAACTAGGGAATGTTCCGCATTAGATGAACCAAAATAATTGAAAAAGGAATTTACATTATTTGTACAATTATCATTACTTAGCAAACTGTTTAGAATATTTGATTGTGGATTATTTCCACTATTTGCCAATAATGCTTGATTATTACTAGAGGTATTAGTTGATGATGATGATGAAATATTCGAAATATCTAGAATTTGTTTACATTTTTCAATGGAGAGAATACAATCCAAGAGACCTAAATTATGAGAGTTGGTAATTTTAGAAGAGAAGGAATGATTAATCTTCTCAACAAGTGTATCAACGGCCTCCCTATCGTCATCACTTTCATCATCACTGTAGGGATCTTGTTGAGGGCGATGAGGATGATGATTAGGTTCTTGTTGAAGTTCAACTAGTTGCTCCTCCTTTGTTCTTTCTGGTCAGGAATATCTTCAAATTGTCCACCTGATTCGTCTTCATTCCAAGCATCCTCAGATCCATAGAGAAAATCTACATCAGCATGTTGTCCAGGAGGAAGAGAAATAAAGTCATCATCAAACTCTCCGGATTGACCTCCCATCATTAAATTATTATTTGTATTATTTGATGATCCAAGAAAGAAACTATTCATCATCATACTACTGCCACCATTGGGGTTGTTGTTGGTTGTATTGAAATGGTTGTTAAACATTTTTTTATTTAGAGAAAAATTATCAATTTTTTGTAACGTTTTTTTGTCTTTTGAAGTGAAAATACAAAATGATCTAATCAAGACAATTCACCACAAGTTTTTGTTTTTACAGAAAGAATCTGTTTATTTCTTTTGATTTCTTAACTGTTCATTTTCTCGTCTGAGTCTTTGATTTTCTTCCATTAAATCCTGAACTTTTTGTTCTAATTTTGAGATTAAATCTAAAGGAGACATATTGTCATTGGTTTTTGCTTTTTCATTCAAAAGATTAAATATGAGTTGCTGTTGGGATTGAAGACTGGCCAATTGATTTGAAAGAGATGATATAGAAACTTCTTTGGTAACACTGGATATGGATACCTTCTTCTTTGGAGCTGTGCTGCTTGGTGTTACAGCTTCTTCAGGTATCTCATCTACTTCTTTTACTTCAAAGTTTCTCTTTTTAACTTTTTTAGATTCCACAATTTGCTCATTGCTTGGTGATTCATTGGTAATTTTCTCTACAGAATCTTCATCAGTTTCAGTAACTTCAAAACGACCTTTCTTTTCAACCTTCTTCGTAGTATTGCTGCTGGCTGTTTCCTCTTCCTTCTTGAGCTCATCTATGAAATTCCAACGACTAACAGCCTTCTTTTCTTGGTGGACTTCTTCTACGACTGAAGGTGAGTTAACTTCATCAGTTGAAAATCTGCTTGCAATTTCATTTTCTTCCATTGGAACAGTTGTGCTCATAGTTGTTGACATGGTATCTTGCATGGAAACAAAGGTTGGAGATTCTTGTTGTGTCATGGTGAATGTAATCTTGGTTTGACTGTTTGATTTCTTAATGCCTGCCAAGAGTTTGGCTCTCTCAGCCAAAGCAGGAAGTCCATTTAGAATCACTTTCTTAATAAGATCTTTTTGTTTGACAGCCTTTGCAAAGAACTTGTGTTTTAAGAGTTGTGAGGCAAGTGGTCTCTTGGTAGGGTCCTTTTGCAAACACAATGATATCATATCTCTAAATATTTTAGAGAATTTTCTTGTTTCTGTATCTACGAGTTGTGGTGGTTCTTGTTCCATCACAATGTACATAACTTTAACTGGAGGTAAACCTTCATAGGGAGCTTTTCCATGGGCTAGCTCAATGGCAGTAATACCAAATGACCAAATATCAGCTTTGCAATCATAACCATGAAATTGTTCCATCACTGAAAAATGTTAAATCCAATATAATAACATATATAACACTTACCTTCAGGAGCCATCCAACATGGAGATCCAACAAAGGTTTGTCTCTTACTCCTTCTATCTCCAGACATTTCAATGATATTGGCACTAACTCCAAAATCACCAATTCTCACAAGACCATCTTCATTAATGAGAATATTTGATGCCTTGATATCTCTGTGAATTTGGCCATTCTCATGGAAATAAGCCAAACCTTCCAAAACTTGATATAAAACGACTGATATCAATTCTTCGGATGGTAAACCCTCGTTATATTTGTATCTCATAATATCATAAAGTGATCCGGCTTCCATAAGTTCCATAACGAGATATAATTCTGTTTCATGTGTAAATGAAGTCAAATAATTTACAATATGTTCATGAAAACTTGTAACCATAGTATGAATTTCCTTTGTGATTGTTTGAAGTACATTATCTTCCAATCTTTCCAGATCCAATTTTTTAATAGCCACACGTTCATTGAAAGGAATACAAATCGCTTCATAGACAGGTCCACTTGCTCCAAAACCAATTGGTTCCAATAATTTATATTGATCAGCAACAGTAGGATATTCTCTTCTCAGACTAGGTGAAAGAGCAGCTGCTGCACCAACAGAAAAACCTGTTCCAATTGTTGGAGTATCTTTTGATATAGATAATGATGATGAAGCTCGAGTAAGTTGTGCAGATGGAGGTCTCATCTCCTGTTGTGGAGAAGTAATATTTGCTCCAATATTGTTTGTATTCACACCGACTGGAGTACTTGTTGATTGATTTGAAGATGTTTGTGTCAGTGTTTTCATTCCGTTGGCATTATTTGATGATGTTACAATTGAAGGAGGAGATGAAATATTTGGTGTTTGAGATGAAGGTGTACTCGAAGAGCTAGAATTTGGCAATGGAGTACTGGTACCGGATGATGATAGGGAATTAGTTTGTGGTTTGCTGTTATTCTGTAGCATTGGAGTTGATGAAAGTAAATCATTCACATTTATATTATCAAACAGGAGAGAGGAATTGGATAGAGAGTTGAAGTCCTTTGATCGTTCATTGTATTGGTATTTAAGTCAGGAAAACTTGCTGATCTGAAGGTTGATGTTGTTTGTGTATTTAAAAAGGCTTTTGTAGTTTGTTGTTCAATTTTGCTAGCACTTCCTGTGGTATGCAATAATGGAGGCTTCAAAAAGGTTTGTTTAGAATTGTTTGGTGTTGTTGGTGTCGTTGCAGATTGTAGCATTGAAAGAATTTTGGATTGTTGCTTGTTTTCGTCTTGTAAAAATCCAAAACAACACTCTCCAAATTAAATTATTTAAAAAAGATCAAGTTTAAAAGAAAGCGACAAAAAATCCTCTCTATATTGATGATGCTAATTCAAACAACACATAAAAAGATCCAAGATGAGGAAGTGTGTGTTTGTGTGGCTCTTAATTTGCCGTCTTCGGTTGAGTTTTGTATTTTTTTAGAATAAAAATTTCAAAGTCGTCTCAAAAAAATCACACAACATCAAACTTGTCTTCAATAAGGAGGTGTTTTATGGTGTTTGACTTTCCTTATTGTTTTTTGAATGTTAAGTTAGTTGTCCATCACTTGGAATTGATTGAGGGATGATTGTTATTCATTTAAAACAATTTGGTTTGGCTGAAGATCTGTGAACTTGATGATTTTATTGAATCTTCTTATTATTAAGGTACAATTTTGGATGTTATAAAAGAGCTCTACGGACATTGATTTTACAAAAATTAGAACGGATGATAATATTGTAGAGTATTTAATCAAAGAATTGATTGTTCTTTTTGGCCCAGAATAAATACAAACAAATAAGCGTTTAAAGCTTTGTAAAATTAAATTGTTGCAAATCATTATTGAACACATCATGTAAATATCTTCAAAAAGTGGTTTTATTAAGAAATACTGTACAGATATTTACATTTAATTTTCTATTTAAATTTTAAACCTAAATTTTCAAATTTATTTGAAACTAAAAAATGTCATCAACAATAGAATCAACCTCATCGCCATCAACAACCTCGGAAACATTTATTCAAAGTGCGGAAGATAAATCAATTGCTGAATTTATGATTAAACAAGCAACACTCGAACAACAAAGACTGAAGCAAAATGGAGTAGACGTTAAATTATTAAAAGTTAAGAATGTTGCCATCATTAGAGATGAAACTCCAACAACAACACCAAATACTCAACAACAACCTTCACAAAATAAGAATAAGAATAAGAAAAAACCAACCCGAAATGTGATTAATAGAGTTGAAGTGAATACTGATTTGGATTTTGATATATTTCCTCAAATTTTACTCTCTGCACCAGTCAAATGTATTCCAAAGCCTTCACTCAATTATGTTAATGTTATTCTCATTGGTCATGGTGATTTGACAGATCCTGCCTATTTGTGCCCATACACCTATCCAGCAGATGATAAAGAAAATAAATTACAACACTGGGCATTCATCAATAACAGTCTAAAGAGAACAGACCTTGATATTGATGCTTTCCAAGATGTTTAATATGATAATTGACTGAAAATAATCACACCTCTTCACTTTCTGTTCACACTGTTATGCTTTTTGAATTCAATAATTAATAGTGAGCATTCATTATTGATCTTTCACATTTTCCGGAGAGTTGCACGCTAATGTTTCAAAAAAAAATTCTTCACAACTGTCTTGGTGTTTTGTTGCAATAATACAAACCATCATCATTTACTCCTTAGCAAATTAAAAAATTTCTCTGCACGAGATTAGTTGTTTGAGTAATAACGAGAAAGAATTTTCACATTAGGCGAAGAGTCCAAAAGAGGAGAATAAAGAATCATCATGTCCGATAGAGTGGTACTTGGTTTCATGTCCGATTCTTGTGTGAATCATCAACAAGATGAAGAAGAATTAATGAATGATGAGGAGGAAGAGGATTTTGAATTGATGGAATGTATCAAGTGTTTTAATAAGAATGACAGTAGGAAGTTAAATGGCAATAACAATAGAAATTCAATAATTGAAAATAATTTGACAAGTGGAGAGAGTTTTAATGGGTTTAATAATGTGAATAGGCCTTCAACAAGACCATTTGAGGATTTTTTCAATATCTTTTTTAATTATGGAGCCAAGGATACATTTGATAATATTCAGACAAATACTGAACAGGAAAAGGTTCATCGATCATCAATTTCAAATAAGGAATATAGAAGAATAAGAAAGAAGGTGCTTGAAAGAGTGCTAAAACAATTGAAAACCAATGGGGAAACTAGTATGGTCATTCCAAAGAGGAGAGAAATTAAGGATATTATGGATACCATGTTTGCAAGATCGAATGGGTACAGTTTAAAGGTTGTTGCCTACTCGTTTAGAAAAGTTTGGACAAAAATATTTAGAGATATTGTTGAATCTGGAATGGATTCAAAATTGAAGACCATTAAGAAACTCTATCCAAATGATACAGTTGTATATGTTCCAAATCATAGAAGTTATATGGATTTTCTCTTGTTGAGCTATGTTTGTTTCCTTTGTAAAGTTTATCCAATTCCAAATATTATTGCTGGAGAAGATTTCCTTCAAATGATGCTTGTGAGTGATGTAATGAAACATTGTGGTGCTTTATTTATGAAGAGACAGTTCAATGATCAACCAGTTTACAAGACTGTTTTTAAGGAATATATTTGTACCTTGTTGGAGGAAGGAAGCTTTTTGGAATTCTTTGTGGAGGGAACCCGTTCAAGAAATGGCAAAACCTACCATCCCAAGTTTGGTATACTTAATCTTGTGATTGATGCTTATATGCAAAAGAGAGTGAGTAATATTGTGTTTGTTCCAGTCTATGTCAGTTATGAATCCATGATGGAATCTCAATCACACGTACGAGAAATGCTTGGTGAATCAAAAAAGAAGGAAACCACAGCAAATATGATTACTGGACTATTGGATTCAATTACAACCAATTTTGGAGATATTGCTCTCAAGATTGGAGATCCAATTTCCTTATCATCCTTCCTTGCAGATCCTAACAATGAAGGTTTAAGAAAGAATAGAAGAGAATTGTCATCTCAATTGGGGTTCTCCATTACCAAATCATTGAATGATAATTATACATGTCTTTCCTCTCATATTATTTCTTCATTATTATTACAATATTTGGGAGATGTTAGATTGGCAGATAAGAGATGTACAATTCCATTTTCCACGCTCATTGAGAAGGTATCATGGCTGAAGGACGAAATCCAAAGACGAAACGTTCCTCTTTATTTAAATGAAGCTGAAAGAATGCCAAATCAAATGATTGAAAGAACATTACAAGTTTTTAAAGGGCACGTTGAAATGAAAGGATTATCCATTAGAGTGAAAAGTCCAAGAGATTTCCTCTTACTTAGCATTTACAAAAATTCTCTGGCTCCAGTTTTTACAAAAGAGTCCCTTTTATTGTGTGCTCTTCATTCGCTGAGATTGAAGGATGTTAACTTTGAGGAAATTGTCGAGTTGGAAACTCAACCATTTGATATTGAGGAATGGAAGGAGAGATGTTCAGTGTTGGGAGAATTATTAAGCTTGGAAATTCATCCTCAAGACATGTTAGATTCGAGTGAGAGATTTAATTCGACATTATCAGATATGGAGGAAAGAGGAATTTTAACTTGTCAAAAAGTGGAAGGAGGCAAAATTTCTGTCAAGATTAATAATTTGGGATATTTTGAATTTGTCTGTTCATTGCTCTGGCCATCTATTGATACATATTCGATAATTATTGGGTATTGTTGTTTGATTGCCAACAGAGGAACTATCCATTCATTTGCTTTGGATAAGTTTGTTAAGAGTTGTCATGAATTTCTTGAAAAACTCTATCACGAAACAAGTGTGCCTTTCTATGAATCTGTCTCTGTATTGACTATTAGAAATGTTATTTCAAGATATTCCACATGGAATATTTTACATCGAGTGAGTGTGAATAATGTAAATACCATTCAAATTTCTGAATATTATGCCAATCAACCTTCAGAAATTAGAGAATGGTGGGATATTATTTCACTCTATGCCAAGTACAAGCAAAAGGAGAACTTTTTTGATTTGTATATTGACTTTGTTCCAGTGAATAGAATTTCAAAATTGTAATAAAACAAGTCTGTGAACTAGCTAATCGATCTTGATTGGTAATTAATGATTTTGTTGTTGTTTATTCTTCAAGGCAGTGTAAATGCAATATTCTGTCTGGTCAAGCATGTCAATACATAAATCTTCATTGTTAGCCAATCGGCTTGGTAATCTCACATTCATTCTGGTAAAGTACTCTCCTGTGGTATCTTCATAATCAGGATTTGCAAGAATATTGAGAGCATAATAAGCAGCCTTATCTGGTGATGTTATTTGTTTGAATCGTCTTAGGAAGGACATTAAATTTTGTTTAGCATCTTCTTCACTATACCTGTGGAAATTAGTATTCAATGATAAACTTCCCACTGGATCCAATGCATTTACCATAATATTACTCGATTCTAATCTTTCAGCCATTTCAAGCATTACCAAAATTGATGCTAATTTCGAATAGGCATATTGCTTATTAGGTTGATATTCTTTTGGTTCATTCCAGAGTTTTTCTAAAAGAAAGTTTTCATCTCTTGGATAATGATGAATTTTAGATGAAATAAATAATATTTTAGAAGCTTGATTATAATCTCTGACTCCTCTTTTCAATAATGGTACAAGCTGAGCTGTCAGATAGTATGGACTTAATAAATTAACTTGATATGTTTCCTCAAATCCATCTTGTGTTTTCTTAAATTCTGGAAGAAGTCCAATTCCAGCATTATTAACCAGAGCATGTAAATTAGAGTGTTTTGCAGTGTATTCTTGTGAAAAATTCCGCACACTATCCAAACTTGTCAATTCCAATTCCATAGTTTCAAATAATCCAGGTTTCTTTGGTTGTGTTTTTTCCAAATGTTCATAAACAGTATCAAATGTTAATTTCCCCTTTTCCATTGTTCTAACCGTACCAATAACATGTCCATTCAGAGAGGTTAATAACTTTGTTAATGCCAATCCGTATCCACTCGAACATCCTGTAACAATATACTTTCTCCTCTCCAAATCAATTTCCTTGCTCATCAGCTGACGAAGCGAAATAGATTGGGGTGGATTTTTACCAATCCTACGTAATGTATTGCCCATACTAGTTGGTGTGGTAGTAGAATAATTTCAAATTCCGAAAAAGCTTTAAAAAAACAGCTTGAAAGTGTCTTTGGTTTTCTGCTATTTTTTTTATTGTTTTTTTTATTTGAGCGCCAATCACGGAGATTTAAGAACAAATAAGAGATTGAGTAATTTATTTCCGAATTCGTTTTCAAGCCAATCAATTTATTAAATTGAATTATTGTTTCACATTCATTCGAATTCAACTCTGTAACCTCAAACTAATTAACAACTCCTTTAAGGGATTGAGATTTCTTCATCAACCCATTATGAATTTAAATTTCAGATAAATTAGATTATTTTATTTACATCATTTAACTCAAATCCATATTGTACAAGTAAATATTATTATTCAATCCATGAGAAGCAGCAATCCAATTAAGGTATTGATAAGTATTTCCAGAAGCTCCTCCAAATGCGGCATTGAACCAATCAACATTGGTCATTGGTGAAAAATCTCCAGCAGTAATAGTGGCATTATTATTTTGAGTTGAGCTGTACAAATCTTTTGTCATGAGACAATGTGTTGGGCTATTGTGCAGGAGAGAAAATATGACACCTGGATAGTTGAGAACGAACATTCTTTCACTCGTGGAACAGAGTCCAATTCTAGTATCAATCCAATTGGCATGCTGTTTTTCAGACCCAAATGCTACTGGATTTTGTAATTGAATTTGATTCAAAACCTTGCCAGTATTGTGAATTGACCATTCAATGAGTTTACCATCAGACCCACAAGTTAGTACAGAGGTTTCATTTTCACTGAAATGAACATTTGTAACTTCACCATCGTGAGCCTTCCAAGTCCAAAATGGTTGCTGTTGTTTTGAGGCAGTGTCGAAAATTCTCACAAACCCATCACTACCAGCAGTAGCTATCATTGTTCCGTTATGATTAAATTTGATGTCGAGTATTGGTACAGATTTTGGTTGAATGACAAACTTGTTTTCCAGCTTCATTTGGTTCAAATTGTAGCCTAAAAGCATTCCTGAAACTGATGAACTTGGTGAGCTATTTCCCCCAGCTGATGATGGTAATATTGGTACAGGTGTGTTGCTTCCAGAGTCTGACTTTTGATAGCTTGAGCAACTGACAACACAATAATCACTATTTCTGATTGTAGATCCGCAACATGCAATAGCATTGACCTTTGGGAAGAATATTTCAGTGCAAAACTCTCCTGTACATTTTCTCTTATCCAAATCCAAAATTTTAACCTTTCTATTGTTCAATCCACAAACTACCATATTATTGGATGATCCTTTCTTTCCATTTGATGCGCTCCACCAATCAAGACACATGGCCTTGGTTCCACATTCATAGGTTTGAATTGAAGTAACAGAATTTGAATTATTATTTCCAGAAAGTGACCAAATTCTGACTGTATTATCCTTTGAACTGGATGCTAAATATTTTCCATCTTGTGAAAATTTCAGTGATGTGATATAATCCTTATGACCTGTAAAAACCTTGACAGGATAAACAGGTTTCAAATTAAATAATTGAATATTGTCAAATACACTGGTTGTACTTTGTTCAGTCGGAGTTGTACTATTATTGGTTGTATTTGGTGAGCTTGGTGAGAGGGTAGGCTTTTGTGGAGTCACCAATGAGCTATTACTGCTATTATTACTCTGCCTCACTGAGGAAATATTGAGAGAGGAGAAGGATTGATGGAAGGACTTGTTTCTAGGAGTCTTATTGCCCATTGCAACTGTCGAATCAGTATTTACGCTTTCCTGTGGTAAATCAGAAATGTCCAAAGTACTACCATTTGAAGGGATACTTGTTTCTCTTCTATTAATTCCAACTTCTTGTTCCAATTTGGAAATGTACGCCTCTGCAGCTAACAATTTGCTTTTCAGAGTTTCATTTTCACTAATTAAAACATCCAATTTCTTCTTGAGGACATTCATTCTATCTCTCTTCTCTGATTCCATCAAGAGTAGAGTTGGTTTCTCAACAGACATGATGGCAGTGGCTATGAAATTTTGTACACAAACATATAACATTTCTGCCCATTTGTGATTAAAGAATGGTTCAAGCTCTGGTACAAATTGTTCAATAATTGTCAAGACATTGGAATGTGATTGTAAGAGTGGTGCATTAGATTCTCTTCTTTCTCTTTCGGTCATACTGCCAGATGTTGAACTATCCATTCCATCCAAATTGCCAGATGATCTAGAAGCTGAATGAGTAGAAGTAGCCACGGTCTGAGCTAGCAAGTACGGCAAGGCAAACCATGGTCTCCATTCTTGTTCCTGTATTAATTCATGACCGAATCGTTCGAAAAATTCTCTACATTCTTTAATTCTTCTATTTTGTGCACAATTCACAACATAGTACTTTTTCAATGATTGTTCTAATTTTCTAATAGTTTCATAGTAGGATGATGTTGATGATGAGGCATGTCTTCCGAGGAGTGAACCAATCGGAGCCACATTACTGCTCACATTATTAGATGATGCAGAGGAAGAAGAGGAAGGCATCATCATGGATTGTGTTGAATTTCCACCTCCTGTTGATGAATTTGATGTCGTATTGCTATTCAAATCATTCACCGATGAAGAAACATTGAGTGATGAAGATGATATAACATTTCCACTCATCAAATCAAGTTGAGAACTCGAGGAAGAAAGACCACCTATTGTTGATGATGATGATGATGAAGTAGCATCAATATTAGAGGAGGATCCACCAATAGTATTACCACTACCTTGTTGTTCATATTGATCAGATGATTGTGAAGAAGCCTTTTGAAATCCACTCGATTCATATAATTTAGGAAAGAAATTCTTCTCCAAATACTTCCAATAATCCATGAATGATTGAATATCATAGCTTTTTAAAAAGGTAAATAATTGGTCTGCAATCCTATCCGTTTGGAAAGCCTTGTTTTTATCTAATTTACGATCCGTTTCAAAATTGGTGAGAGTTCTCGTAAAACCTCTCCATGATAAATATTCCTTGATGAGTAAATCACAATGAATGATGGAATTGTCATCATCTAATTGTGAAGGCATTATGTTGTGATCTATATTCCCGTAAAATTCTTTATATTTGTGTAATAATTTGTGTGTTGTGATGATGGAAGGAAATTAAATGAATTTTTTTAAAGATGAAAAAGTTATTAAATAAATTTAATCCAAATTACAATTGATTGTAAAAGGTAGAGTATTAATACTGCAGCAGTATTTCTAAATTATCGATTCGGCTTTGGGTTCTCTAACATCTATTATTACAAAATTATCAACAGTTGAATATTCTTTTCAATACTTTATCAGTCAAAAAACCCTTTTAGATACTTCAATGTTCTTCCTTAAAACATTGTAAAAACTCCATTTCAACTCTTCCAATGGATTGAGTTTTATATTGAGTTTTTTAAAAAAGAATCCGATAATCTACATTATCCTCCTCTTCATTTATCATTGTGTATTGTTGGCCAATAATTATTTGAGACAATACCAAACGTTAGAATTACTCTAATTCCCTCTACTGTAAATTCCAGTCCTCATTGATTTTTTCCAAAAGCTTAAAAAACAAAACAATGCTCGTTGACGATCACTCTTCTCCATCCGATCAAGAGAAGAATACCACCACAGATCAAGAAGAACAACCACAACAACCACTGGTTATTAAAAAGATAGCCTGTATTGGTGCTGGTTATGTTGGTGGTCCTACAATGAGCGTTATTGCTACCAAGTGCCACGATATTCAAGTAATTATTTATGATATGAATCAACAACGTATTGATGCTTGGAATAGTGCCGAGTTGCCAATCTTTGAACCAGGCTTGGAAGAAATTGTCATGGAGAGAAGAGGAAAGAATTTGCACTTTACCACTGATTATCAACAAGTTGTTGATTCCGATGTTATATTTCTTTCAGTGAATACTCCAACAAAGTATTATGGTGTTGGTAAGGGAAGAGCAGCTGATTTGAAATATGTAGAATCTTGTGCAAGACAATTAAGGGATACTATTAAGAGTGGAAGAAAGATTATTGTGGAAAAATCAACAGTACCTACTCGTACTTCTATTGCAGTGAAGAGAATTTTGGAAAGTGGTGAAAGCAAGGCTCGTTTTGATATCTTGTCCAATCCGGAATTTCTTGCAGAGGGTACTGCTATTAGTGATTTGCAAAATCCTGATAGAGTGTTGATTGGAGGTGAAGATGAAGAGTCCATTAGAGCTCTTTCATCTGTGTATGAAAGATGGGTTCCAAAGGAGAGAGTTATTACTACTAATTTGTGGTCAAGTGAATTGAGTAAGCTTGTCGCTAATTGCATGTTGGCTCAAAGAATCTCTTCAATGAATGCTATTTCTGCTCTCTGTGAAAAGACTGGTGCAGATATTCAACAAGTTTCCTTCGCAGTTGGAAAGGATACAAGAATTGGATCTAAATTCTTGCAAGCTAGTGTTGGATTTGGAGGAAGTTGTTTCCAAAAGGATATTTTGAATTTGGTCTATTTGGCTGATCATTACAATTTACCAGAAGTTGCCAAATATTTCTATGGAATTATTGAAATTAACAATTTCCAAAGAGAAAGATTTGCTAAAAAGGTAATTCACAAATTGTTCAATACTGTCAGTGGTAAAAAGATTTGTGTTTTGGGATTTGCCTTCAAGAAGGACACTTCTGACACTCGTGAAACTTCAAGCATTTTTGTTTGCAAATCATTGTTGGAAGAACGTGCTAAAATTCACATCTATGATCCAAAAGTTACCAAGAAACAAATCATGTATGACATGAAGAGTATTATGAACGATTGCTATGATGGAGATTTCAGTGCCAAGATGGAATCATCCAGAGAAAGTGAACTTGTCGAATCGAACATTTTTGTGTCAACAGATCCATATGAAGCCATGTCTGATGCTCATGCTATTTTGGTTCTTACAGAATGGGATGAATTCAAGCAATATGATTACAAACGAGTATTCGAAGGTATGAAGAAGCCAGCTTACTTGTTCGATGGTAGAAATATTTTGAACAGAAAAGATTTGGAAACTATTGGTTTTGATGTTTATCAAATCGGAAAACAAGAATCACATATGGCTGATTGGTAAATTGGGTTTACTAGTAATAAATTAGTTATTATCGCACCAAATATTAATCCTAATCATTAGCTTAATTGAAGAAATAATTTCTGAATCAGAGCTGTATACCTTAATACAAACTAAGGAATATTATATTCCAAGCAGCGATAGATCAGTTGGTTAGATCGTAAGCCTAACACGCTTAAGGTCGCGGGTTCAAGCCCCGCTCGCTGTAGCCTTTTGCTTGTCTTATCTTTATATACAGCCTTACTTTACTCCATCCTTTATTCATTTGCTGTAACCATTTGTCTCATGAAACAACATTATTTCCTTATGGTTATTTGCATTAAGCTGAATTTAGTTTTGATTAAATGTAATATGATTGTAAATCAATTCATCAGCGAATGAACAGATGTCAACTTAAGAATATTCCATGTACTAAATTCAATATTAATTAACTAGGGAATTTATTTACAAATAATTTAAATTTCTTCTTCGTCACTATCATCACTATCACTGTCATCAGAATCTTCATCAGCAGTAAATGGGAATCTCAGAATAGCAGCAATACCTGTCATATTATTGAGCTGAACACCGGCAACGTGCATGGCAGAACACATAAAGACCTTACCATTGGTCTTTTCAACATTTTCACATAATCTCACAAATGCTGTTCTTTCCTTGAGACCACTAGATCTAAATAATTCATCAGTAATCAACAATGTGTCAATAGCATCATGCTCAGCAGCTTTCATGACATGTTTAGGACCATAGACAGCCTTATTTGGATCATTAGCCAAGACAGTGTAAAATTCCTCCAAGGCCTTAACTTCCTTGACAGCCTTTGTATCAGCCAATCTCTTCATGACAGATTCATCTTGTAAGACTTCTTTCAATGAGTGCAAGTGTCCTGTATTGGAGTGAACACGAACAAATTTATCCTTGTGAGCCAGTAATTCCTTATTTTCCTTTTGTTGACATGTCTTGACCATATATTCAAAAAATTGTTCATTAGTAAAACCAGGAGAGGCCAACAAGACACATTTCACAATTTCAAAATCAAAATGTTGTTGAATACCTCTCATAATGGCCTCAAAGAATTTACCCAAATCATTTTCGTGAGCTTCAGCAGAATATCTCTTCTTTGAAATACTCTTTTCAACTTTTTGTTTTTCCAATGTCATATGTTGAGAAATGATACAAATATGGGCCTTTCCTTCACTCATAATTACGGCACCCAAATCAGCATTCTTAGTCATGTCTGTAGCTTCTTCAATTCGATCCAAAAATACTTGATCCCATCTTCCTTTAGAAATAGACAATTTTCTATTCAATTCCAAATCAAATGTGTGATATTGACCAAGTTTAATGTACTTGTTTTCAGAAATGTTTTTTCCTGAAACACGGAAAGATCCACCATTCGGATCAAAGTCAATCTTTTCTACGGCAATAGTTATTGTAATTTTGACTTTTTCATTGGAGACGAGACCAGTGTTAGTTTCCTTTGAAACTTTACGAATGGTGGTTGCTCTCACTCTATCGTTGATAGCAATAATATGATACATGTGCCAGAAATCTTCATCAATTTCCGGTATTAATTCAACGTAGCCTTCTCCGTCCTTTGCCGCAATATCTTTCTTTACTAATTTCATATTGTTTGGTGATGATGATGATAATTTATAATGTTATTTTATAATACTAAACGGTTTTAATGTTCTTGTTGATTGTGTGTAGATGCAATATTCTTAACTCCAAAACGTTCAAAATTCAATTCGAATTATGATGAGAATAAAATTGTTCCTTGTTGCTGTGATGATATTTTTTAATATTTGAATTTAAATTTTTAAAAATAGAAAAAGTTTCAACTCAACTTTGAACTTTTTTCTATTTTAACTTTAGGACATGAATTAAACTCGTGTTATAAATAAGGAATTTATTTAACAATTTCAATAATATTAGTTACTGGCATCAATCTGAATGAAGAGGAATTCATTGGGGATGGCCACACTGCTTCATTCTTTTGAAGATATCCTTGGAGGAATGATAATTTAGGTAATGCTTTGGTGAAGGTCGATAGAATTGGATTAGTAATCGAGGCGAGATAGGTTCTTTGGAATACCCTTTGGAGTGACCTAGATCTGTCTCCATAAACTGATGGTTGGTACCCCATTTTCTTTTCTGTATCACCTTGAATAAAGAATTCCTCTTCCAAAAGTCCAGCCCATTTCAAATATTGATTTGTTTCTCTGAAAGTATACGAAATATCAGCTACCTTGACTACCATTTGTAACATTAACCTCGAATCTTCTAGAGATGAAAAATCGGCCTCATCAGGATCATTACCAAGCTTGGTTCTAAATCTGTTCAAAGTGAAAGAGTGACTGCTCATATCAGTAGCCAAAACAATCTGAATTATTGTTTCTCTTATATCCTGATATTGATCCTCAGAGAGGCCTTTGAATATATTATTTTCTTCAGAATAGAGTAGTTCAAAAGCTCCTGTAAGGTGGTGATTCTCTAGCACTGATCTGTTATTGTACAGTATTGATAAATAGCTATTAGTATTCATTTGGAAAGTGTTGTTGAAACCTGGATGATTAAAATCAAGTATTATGGCTGCTATTAAAGCTGCAAAAATTGACTCGTCCGATAACATGTATTCCAGGTCACTATTGTGGATAAAAAAGTTGACTGCTTGTAGAACCTCTACAGCTCTTCTTGAATTGTGGAAAGGATTGTTGTTATAACCAAACTCTACTTGATTTAAAAAATTGATTAGTGTTTGTTCTGGAATATCAAATTTTCTCATCAAATCATTTTCAAGGAAAATGTAGAAACCAACGGAAACCATTGGTTTTTCTGGAATCTCAAATACATCAAACTCCCACAATGACATTTTCATCAGTGCAGATTTCAAATTAATTTGAGGATCCCAACTAGGTGTGTTCGATTTTGGTTGCTCCTTGTTTCTATTCCTGTAAGCTGTCTTTACAGTTTCCAATGTATCTTTCACTATTTCATACACCACGGTCTTCTTTTCAAGCTTACCACAAGTAAGCGCTCTCACAACACAATTAAATGCATCGACATCGAGGTAAGAAATTTGTTTTTCCTTGATAAGGCTCTTCTTTTTGGAAAGTAGTTTAGAAATGGCCTCAAGTACTGTCATTGGTGTTTCAATGACTGGTAATGGCTTTCTACCAATCACTGGTTTCAAAACGAGAACTGGGGTTGGAGGTGGAAGGGAATGATGTGATTTCTTGGATTCTAACATTGAAATTTGGGAGGATGAAATGATGAGAGGAGGTGGTTCATCAACTCTAAAATAAAGAATGATCAGAAGAATTGAGTAAATAGAGGACAAACTTACGCCATTGAGACATCCTTCACTGGCATAACCACAGTGACAGGAGTTGGGGATGGTATCTTTTTCTTTTCATCTTCTTCGTAACATTTTTTACAATATTCAAGGAAGGCCAATTTCTCCTCTAATTTTTTACATCTTTTTTCCAACTTTCTTAATTCATCATGTTCAGATTCCTCAAAATTATTAAAATAAAAGTCTGCCAATGGAACCAAAAATGATTCAAATACTTTCTCATAAAAAGTATCCATAAGTGGTTTCATCCTAAATCCTAGCTCAGTTCTTATTTTGTTGATGTTCAGTTCGACCATTAATTTTCCATTCTGTTGTGTTTCATCCAAGGTGAAATTAACTTTCTTTTTCTCAATGGCCTTTTGGAATGCTCGGAAAATCTTGACCATCGATACTTTTCCAACTTTGACTTTAACACTCAATATTTTCCTCTTTATAATATTCTCAGTTAGAGAAATTCGAGCATACTCCACAAACTTACCAAATCCTCAAATTCATAACAATTTACAATCTTCTCAAAACAAACTTCTCCATCAACAGCAATAACAACAAGATCCTTTTCCCTCTTAATACATGAAATATAAAAATCGGTAGTATTATTTTCCTTGTCCGTAAATCGACAGAATCCAAACATTAAATCCAAGCCATTCAACTCTTCCTCAAATACTATCGGAACCTTAGCATCATAAACAACTTCCTTAGGAGCTTCCGCTGGCTTACTTGCATCAAGTGGTTTTGCCTCCTTCGGTTCTTTTGATGTAACAACGCCCATATTTTTCAATCAATGATGATGTGTCTGCTGTCCTCAACTTCCTCAATAAATTACTTTTCAATGAGTACACTTTAACTGACAACAGTTGGTGCGTGATTTTTTTTAGATTTGAAAAAACGAAAGAAATGTACGGTTTTGGCGGGAAGCTTCATTCTTTGAACTTTGTTGAAAACATAAAGATCAAGTTCAGCCAATGGACCAATGATGTGAATGAAAATGAAACCTTTTTATCCAAACATATTCAATCCAAAAACCATTCAGAATTATATTGAAATAATAATTGATAAGCTGGTTGACAATTTTCAAAAAAATGTCTGTTGGAAATCTTTTTCGATTATCGGCTCCAAGCAATAGTAGCAGCAATGATGGAGAGAATAGTGTGATCGGAGTGGAATTTTATGTGGAATCTAATAGTGAAAATATTTCTGTTAATAATTATCTCGTTATAGGAAAAGGAGATGATTCAATTGATGAAAAACAATTTTACACCATCAATGGTGATGGAATTTCACATAAACATGTATGTGTTCTATTGAGTAGTGTTTGTTGTGTTTACACATAATTGGAATTCTTTGTGAATTTTGTGTTATTAGTGTTCGATAATTTATGACAATTCTAGGGATGTATATATTTTAGTAAATCACAGCAAGGTAAGTGTGTGATGACATTCAAAAGATCTGATTAATGGAACTGTTTATATCCTTCAATATTTGGAAACAACAGAATGGAACATGGGCTAAAGGAGGACTTCAGAAAGTACAATTTGAACCATACCAACTAGGAGATGAAGAAAATATATTTTTATGTAGAAAGAATGTAAGAAGTGGATTTCTCTTTAAAAGAACAAGACAATAATCATTGTTTTAAATAAAACCACTAGATTTGCCCTGTTTAATTGACCTTGATAATTAAATATGATCAATGTGTTTTTACATTGAAAAGTTTATTTAAAGTTCCTCAACAATATCCAATTAATAGTGAATTATATTGAGCTAGTCTACACTAAAATTATTTACAAATTCGAAAAATAATTAGAAGGGGATATATACATGAAACTGGTGGGAATGTAGGCTAGGTACTATTACAAAAGCTTAGTAATTGAGAATGCGGGAGGTTGGTGGAGAAAAACTTAAAAGACCCATTTCAGCTCCAAAATATCCATCCTCTACTTTAGAATGGCAGGAGCTTCTATGGTATTCGACTTCATCTGGAAAACGGCCATTGTCCTTAGGTCTTGTTCTCAATTCAATAAGGAATGAAATGTCTTCCTGAGTAACAAAGTTTCTTCTCTTTCGTTGATCGTTTCGTAAAGAGTGAAAATCTTCATCGTCATAACCAAAAGTACTTGGTACACTTCTTGGTTGGTCTTGTTCATCATACGAGTCCTCAAGGATGACATCATCAGTAAAGTTTAACTCATCATCGATGAGTAAAGACTCGTTAATATCTAGTTCAATTGTTGGTGGTGAAAATGTACGTGTTGGAAAAGGTGAGTGGGAAATAAAAGGGGAGAATGGAGAAATTGGAAGATCATATGGCTTTTCTTCTTGCTTGTTATCAGCTGGTTGTGGAGATTGTGGAAGTGAATCATCTCTTGATGCTGATAAAGGATGAGAAAAAAGAATTTTGTGAAGTTCTTCGTTGGCTAATCTTTCTGGTGTTCCAGATATGATGTTTGGTGAAGAACCATTTTCAACAATATTCTTAAATTGTCCTCCTAAAACATCAACAGGCGATGTTGGAGAAGTATCAAGAGAAGGAGATGAAAAGTTGGATTTTGGAGGATTGGTTTTCAAATTGCTAGAAGGTTTACAGAATGCCGGTGATGCTTTAACAGGTTTTGGTGTAATAATTTGTTTTGGTCCAACAGAATTATTATTAGTCGCATAGGATGACAATAACCGTGTAGTATTTGTCAGACAAGGAGATGAATTATAATGATGAAGACTCCTTTGTAAATAATTAGAAGACGACATGGTACAAAATTTCCAATCGGTTGTGTTGGGTTAAAGAATACAATATCTACAAAATGACAATAAACCTATTGTTGTGAGGAGTTGTGAGGTTGTGTGTGTAGTATCTAACTACTGGTACTATAGTACAAGGTATTGTTGTTTGTCCAATATATATTTGATAGGCGCAATTCTCGCCACTCTATATTATCTGAATGAACAACAACAATAATTTAAACCAGAGTTTTCCACCAAGTGTAACGGTGCAGATTTTTTTGGATCCGAAGAATAAAATTAGACTCGTCAGGTGCAGGGAAAAATAAGCGCGAAACAATTTGCCAATTTTTAATTCAACGTCGCCTTCCAAAAAACGTTTTTCTTCTTTTCGCGTGTAGCACAACTAGGTGATGATCTGAAGATCAAAATGATGAATGAATGTGCACGTTAATTTAGATGCAATATTGATTGGGAAAGAAGAAAACAACAAGGGTTAGGCTAGAGTTTCTTTTTTAAACTATTTTCGGGTTGAGTTATTTTCCTAGGACAGAGATCTCCCTTCATTGTCAATTAAAACAATAACAAACTTTCAACCCTTGTTGTTTAGTGCATCATTGAGGAGGATTCTCTCTATTGAACAATAGTATGGGTTATGAGAGATTCAACTAAGGCACAATAACACCTTTTAAACACTTATTGTTACTCAATTATGTTAGACAACCAGTAAACAATTCAAAGAGATATTGGGTCCTTAATTACAATCAACATAAAAAGATGTTAACTGTGAATTACGACAAAAAATGCAAAATCAACCAACATTCGTATTTATTTGGAAAGTCGTTTTTGGTGATTCTTAGTTCCCTTAACGGAAGGCAAATAATTCTTACCAAATGCATAAATTGGCGGATCAACAAGCAAGTTCATTTACTTGTTGACGCGCAGCTATATATGGAGCCAATTATTGTAATAAGCTGTAGTAATATATTCAATTTAATCGTACTGTAATTCAATCATTTTTGAATCTTAAAATTTCACATTGTATAAATTGTACAAATGTAACAAAATGAACCACTTATTAGAATCATTTCAATTGGTTCATTGAAGAGTTATCAGATAATGGTTGTCGACAAGTAGTAGTGGTTGGACGGGTATGACACCTTGAGGATGCTTATGGTAATTGGGAGTTTTGATATTATTCATTTATATTTATACTGGATGGATTTCTATGGATTGATCAAACGTTTTATAGTAGCATTGCCTGATCTGAACCTTGTTGTAATGATAAAGAAACTCATTTGACCTTTTTTGTTGTTGTATGAAATTTTTACAATATTTATTACAAAATTAGTTTCCTAAACAGTTCAATCAACATTTCATGGATTATCTCTGGGAGATTGGAAACTCAGTTGTTTATGATAAAGTTCAATTAGGCCTATGTATCAAGTTCAATTTCATATATATTTGATAGTATCCATTCAACAATAATTTGCTTCAAGGATAGAGAATAACAAATTCTGTATGAAAGTCAACCAAATATCAATTTTAAATTTTCAGAAGTAAAGAAAATCAATTTCACAACTTGAAAACAAAATATTAAAATTGAATTTTAAAATTTCCAAAAAAAAATGATAAATCATCAAATTGCAACCTCATCAATCATTAAACAATTAATTACGAAAAATTCCAAGTCATCTATTAATCTCCTCTTCAAGAATGGTAAAATAGTTACGGATTTTGATGTTTCCACCAATTCTACAGATTTTTTGAAACAATTTCCGAGAGGAGCCTACACGGCAATGAGAACTTTGCATCGACACTCGGTTTTTCAATTAAAGTTTCATGTCCATCGTTTGATTTATACAACCATGAAGATGATCAATGATGAACATTTGGAAATTAATACAAATTCACCAAAATCCGAATCACTAATTGAAGAATGTTCCATAGGAATGTATCCATTATCTTTGTTGTCAAGTGTAGAGAAATCGAATAACAATGAAAAACATGAATTGTTTTTGGAAGAAGTTGTTAAAACTCTTGGACAAAGTATTGCGGAATATTCAATCAATGTTGATGATGAACATCCAAATGAATGTGATCAATTATCAGTGGAAGAATTAAAAGTGACTCTCTTACTCGTTTGGTATCATCAAAGAAAGAGCTCATCTGAAATTTCTACATCCTTTGATCTCTATTCACACATTACAAAGCTGGGTGAGAGACCTTCCAAACCAGTCTTTGTAGATATAGTTCCAGGAAGTAGATGCCATCTTGGAAATGCAAAGGATAGTATTTGGATTACTGAAAGAAACTCAATGTTAAATAAGAAAACTCAATCATCCAATGAAGTGTTAATGTGTGAAGAGAGTGGAATTGTCAGAGAGGGAACTAGCTCTAATTTCTTTATTATTAACAGGGATGGAAAGGTTGTCACTGCTAGAGATGGAATTTTATTTGGAAGTGTTCGAGGATTGTTAATTCCAACTCAAGATCAAGCTCAATCCATTCTCAAAAATTCCACAGAAGAAGAATCATGTGAAACAGTTCTTAAAAGTAGTGAATACACAGAAGATAATCCAACCATTAGAGATTTATTAAATTGGAAGGAGGCATTCATAACCAGTACCTCTCGTCTCGTTCTTCCAATCAAGACCATTAATATTGCCAAGGAGTGTATCGATAACATATTGACAAGAGAAGAGATTGAACAAGTGAAACCACATCTCAAAGAGCTCAATTCTTACTATTATTCATACGAACTTGAAAGTGTAGATCAATGTATTCATCTTAATCAATTACTTGTAAATAAGATGCAATCAATGAGCATTCGTGTGGTTAACTAATCTGTAATAAAAGCCTCAACAGCTTGTTTTAGCGAGTATAGCTTTTATCTGAAGATTAAAATATGAAATATTGGGGGATTTTCAAAATATTCATCTCAATAATACTTATTATTATTTATTCAATTATTTTCAATCAATTAATTTTCTAATTTTAATAAAAAAATGGAACAACGAACACAAATTAATGGCGTCACTCAAATTTGTGATGCAACAGCTGTTCGGGAATGTTTCAAACAAAATCCAACCAATAGACAAGAAAAATGTAAAGATGTAATTGAACAATTTAAAATTGCTTGTGAAGAAAAAGCAAAGGAATTTAGGGATAGAATTGATAACAGTCCAACAGAAAAGAATTCTTGTGGAGATTACAAAGTGTAATCATCATCTATGGAAAAATCAACGAGTGTGGATAAAAATTAGTAATATAATACCAATAATAATAATAATTAATAATATATTAATTTCAAAAAAAGATAACATTAAACTGAAAAAACTCCGATAAAGTAGAACATTATATTCGGAATCTATAATAAATAACACGCAATTAATAGCAGCTCAATCCAAGAAAATAATCAAAACAAATTGCAATACTAATTATCCCATCCTTGTTTTTCCTCATCACGATATCTTTGACTTTCTCTTTCCAATTCCTCCTTTCTAATTCTTTCCAAGTCCTCAGGCGAAAGCCTATCATCAGCATATAATTTTCTATGAGTCTCAACTTGAGCACGAATATTATCAATGTGTGTCAATGCAAGTCGGAATGCATCTTCTAATTCTTGTGGAGGTACATCCTTTCGGAACATGGTCGAGGCCTTTTGTTTGACAAAGGTACGTTGTATTTCCTTTGGGAATTTATTTCCTTCCTTGAGTACTGTTCTATAGAGTGAAAGAATCCCCTTTTTACTTGTATCAAAGATGAGGGTGGATGATGAAAACATTTTTTTGAATTTAAATTTTATTATTCGCTTCGTCAAATTAATCCTGAAACAGCATTAATTTCTCAATTTTTTGGTGATCAAGTATTGTTATTGTTCAATTCACACTTTTATTTAAAATAAAGTAAATAATCAAAATTATTAAAGTGCATGGTAGCAATAAGATTCTGAAAAAAAAAATCCTTAATATGTCTACTGATATTAACTTGCACAGTTTCAACAAGGTATTTCCCAACGGCAGAATATTTCTGTGTACAATGGTTAATGGTTTTTTTACATTCGCAATAGCAATTGCTGCACTATGTTATTACTATTTATATTCTGGGGGGACAACAAAAGTCGAAATTGTTCGTCCAGTGCTCGATAGAATTTCAATGCTCAACTCTTCGTTCTACACTGGAAAGATTCAAAATGAGGATTTTGTAATCAAAAACGAATTCTATGATATTTTCACAAACACTCTCATTCAAATGAAAAATTGTCAATTAAGGATGAGAGGATTTTATGGAGAGAGTGGAATTGGAAAAACAACAATGCTAAAGGAAAGTTTAAAGACTCTCAAACCATATCCATACTTTCTAATAAGTCTAACTAAAACAACAACCATTCAAGAATTAGCCGAACGTATGAACATTTTTGTTAAGGGTATTGCAAGGTGGTCCGATATTCAAATTACAATGAATCAGTATACAGGTTTACTGAAACAAACAGAACAAATTTGCCCAATTATTGTTATAGATAACGCCAATAGAAATACAGAGATTACAGAAAACTTTGTGAATATGATACGAGAGTACACATCAAGAGAGGTTGGGTTGTTAATTGTGGCATCTGATGGCTATTTTGATGGATTGGATACAGCAGGAGGCAGACTTTGGACATCGGAATTCTCAGAGCCATCCAATGACTTTGGTGTTAAATATTTAAACAAGTTAAATAATATTACTGATGAACAAATCATATCGCGGGTATTGGATATAACTGGGACAAAGCCAGTATATTTAGAATATGTTAGGCATTGTATTAATACAGGTTCAGATGTGAACTATAGATGTTTACAGAAGATCATCGATGGACTGGTGTTGCATGAAATTGAATTGTTGCCAGTAGAGATACAAATAGAGATTAGAAAATTGGCTTTTCAATTATTAAGAAAGCCTATTAGTACTAATATTTCTCTACCCTATTCAATGCCGGAAGAAACTCAAAAAAAGATATACAGGTCAAATATTTTAAGAAAAGGAAGAGGTAATGATGATCTACCAATTGTTATATTTCAGAATAGGATAGTTAAGAGATATTTTGAAAACTTGGTTGCAAAATTAAATAAAGAATGAATGAGATATAGAACATTATTATCCTTGTAAAATAAACGAAAAAGCATTTTAGTCAACCACCACCTTAATGCTTCATCTGCATTATTGTGATGCTTTCAGAAGAATTGAAATTGTGAATTTCTATTATGAGTACAATTTACTGGTGACTTTTGTGTGAAGAAACTGTATGGTTGACTTGTCGTTTATTGGGTGTTGCTTCCTGTGTTTGTTGTTCATAGAGAAACGGAAAGCTCAAAATTTTCTTTGCATCAATCTACAGAATGTTAACTATGACAATGTTCAATTACCACAAAAGGAAACAATAGAGTCCGTTCGTTTTACAATTATTCAAGTGTTGCACGATAGAATTCATCTTCTTTCCAGTTCACAACATTGCAACTTTCCGGTTTAGATATGAAACCCTTTAAATGGCTGAAACTAACACAATTTCACACTCAACAAAAAAAACAAATTTAACAACAATCACCAAAATGCCACCTCCACCTCCACCAACTAACATTGTTCCAATCAAGAAGGAAAAGCCAGTCGAACAACCAAAGGTTGAAGAGCTACCTGAAATTAAAGGAATTCCACTTGTTGGCAAGGTTACTGCCAAGAAACCAACCAAGGAATACATTTATGTAAGAGAAGCCATTGGTCAATTTGATGTTTATCAAGCTTTGAGACTTTCTACTTCAGTTTTCAAGGAATTATTCGGAGTTGACTATCCAAGTAGTCGTGATTACGTAGTAGGACAACAAATTTCTCAAGTTGTCTTTGAAGGTCATGAGTTGAATTTGATTTGGGGTCAAGATTTGAGTCAAAGTTCTAATAGTTTTTCTGCCAACTTTGTAATGACTAATTCCACCTTTGCATTATGGGAATTGTTGTGCAATAATGGATTCGAATTGAAGGATTCTAGAAATTATAATACCTATAGATCTAAAGAAAGTAGATTTGATGGAAGAAAATTGTGTGAAAGAGTTTTTGAAAGAGATTTGAGCAAATAAAGCCCAACAATTGTTTCATTCTTTTTGAAATTCTTAATTAAGATCAGCAATTTTTCATCAAGATAAAAAGACTACAGCACCACAGGTTCCCAAGTTGTCTCCAACCTCAGTACTGATGTGGCTCGACGATGCTTAACTTCTCAAATCGGACGGGATGAGGTGCATTCATCGTGATATGGCCGTAGCCATTCATTACCTTAATTTCCGGACAATAACTTTTAAAACCCTAGACGTTCCTTCACGAAAATGAAAAAGAATTCAACCCAACCACACGAATTATTCTATAACGTTATTGTTAATTTGAATGATACATTGAGTAGCCAGAGTTTCAACATTGGAATGAAATTAATAAGTTCAATCGAGCAACAATGCAGGCAAAAATTTAATAGTTCATTTGGAATTTCCCTATTTACATCCAAATCTTATTCTTAAATCCTTCAAAAAGCAACCCCAAATAATGTAACACATAATTATTGGATTAATTAAGGCCAACCAACTCGCCATCCAATAACTCATCACCACCAATGCTATTAAAACTCCCAAAATTCCATTAATTATTGGATAGGTAAAATCCACTCCTCTGTCCACATATCTAGGCAAACACAATGCATTCCACAAGGCATTCAGTAAAAAGATGATCACTCCCACCAAGAGAGACACAAAAATCGGAATGATGAATGAATTTACGTAAAGTGGATATGTAAGATCTTGTTCCATTTTTTTTTAATGTTGAAAAAAGTTCACAAGATTATTGTGAAGCTTTTAAGGATTTAATCTCTCTGGATTCGAATGTTTGTGAGTGTGTTGACCTTAATTTTAATATGAAACAAGTTGAACCCCAGAAGTGGAACTCCTCCTGTGAAAAGTACTATTCTTCAGTGATTGAAGTTTTTGTGTAACACCAATTGTTTATGTTTTCCATATAATTTTCCACAAGATTACAATACTCGGAAATGAGGAAGTCTGTTTCCTTGAGATTCACACTTTGATGAACTTCAAGTTTTCGGAAATGATAAATTCGGCTAGGTGAAACTTTAAACTATTCCCAAAAAAAAATGCCTCAACATATTCCAAGCAAGTACAATAAATTCAACTCTCATCTCTCAGCCATTGATGATCTGGATGAATTTTATACGAGGAATCCATACGATATTTTTGATCGTTATTGTGAAGAGGACAGCTTTATGGTTTTTAATAGAATAATTCCTTTCGCATTGATTCTCTATTCAGAAACTGAAAAGAAATTTATTTTCCAGAATAGTTTGATAGATGTGTGCCCTATGAATACATCTCCAAAGTATATACTTGCTCAATTTATGGAAAAATCTCGTTATAACAGATTTGGATTAATTAGGTTAGGTCAATTAGGGTTTAAGATTGGGTATTCTTTCTTGAATCTTGTTTCTGAAAGAAAGGAAATATGTGATAGTTTATATTTGTACCACTCAACTGTTTTATCTATTCAGAAATACTCAAAATCTAGTATTGAATTTTATGTTTCAGACAATAATAACTTTACAAATTTGAAAATTGCATTGTGTCAAGAAAATATTCTGAAAACAGAGATCATATACAAGACGATAAAATTCTCCTCGATCCCTACTCGGTTATGGTCTAGTCAATCTTCGCAGGAATCAATAGCAGTTTCTCCTCAAATTATTAGAAATGGTCACAAAGAGAACATTTATTTAGACAACTCAATCTCTCTATTTCATTACAAAAATGATACCCAAAATATTGAATCTATTTGTTCACATGAATTTGAGCATCGTTATATTTTATTAGTCAATCAGAATAACAATGAAATTTTTATAATGAGCTTCCTTGACACTCTTGAATTTTACAAAATGGAACCATCACCATGTTATAACACATATGAAATGAAACCAGTTCATTTTGAAAACGTTGAGGAAATTAACGTAACAAACAAGGGTGTAACCTCATGTCCTTTAACAGGTAGCAAATATCTGGTATTTTTCTATAGGTACGATGATGATGATGAATCTAACATGAAAAATGTAACATATCAGGAGTTGTTTACTACTGATAAGGGGATGTGGATGCTCGTAGATTTAAACTCAAACAGTGTCGAGAGGGTTTATCCAATTATTTATGATTTAGAGAAGGAAAAGCTACCTATAGTTTCATCTGATGGTTTCCAAACAGTTACAAAAAGATTAACAAGAAGATGGATCCATATGCAAGATGGTGATTTGAATGGTGGGTGTACTGATTCTTTTTTAATCGATGGCACCAAACATTCTAATGGCCCCTTTATCAACCATGACCCTATTTCTCCAATCCGATTCTCTGATGGATTTCTACCAGAATATTCATCCCTATTTGCATTTAGACCATTTCCATATAATTCTGAACTATTTCAAGTCCATTTATCATTTCCTTTCTGTAAAGATTATTCAGACTATAAGTACACAAAGAAGGATTTAGACAAGTATGGATTTTCCTTTAGATTTTATTTCAAGTTTTATGAGGAAGCAACTTTTACTTTATTTGAAAGATTATTGGAATTTGAAAGAGAAGGTCAATTTTCAGATATCTCAATTTCAAGTGATAAATGAGACATGGTCTAGTGAAGGAATTAAAATTTGGTTTGGCTACTATTCAATATAGTGATTTGATTTATAGGTTTTTTGGAGATTTAATGGTCAGGGGAAGAACATTTGGAAGGCTATTTGACAATTCAGAGAATTTACAATCACAATTCCAAGCAGTAACAAAAAATTTTGTTAAAAAAAAATAAATAAACAATTTAATCTCGGAAATTCCGAATTCCGAAAAAATTCCGTTTTATTAATAAGTGACACCCATAATAATCATAATCAAAGGTAGGATCGAAATATAAAATTTAAACTGTCAAAAATCTGACCGATTTCACTTCATACCATACAAATAACCAATACTTCTTAAAATGCTACAACAATCAAACTTTAAAAGATTGAGAAGAAATAGTGATAACTTTGAAACAACCAAGAAGAGGAAGGTATTCAATGAAAGTTCTCAAGAAGAAGATTTCATAGATGATTCTGAGCAAGTAGTGTTTTCTCAATATTCACAACAATCAGATGATGAGGAAGATCAAGAAGTAGCCAGTTCAGATGATGAATATGACATCCAAGAAGGAGAAGAGGAAGAAGAAGAACAAATTGAGGAAGCTGAAATACCAAACAGAATAATCAATGTGAATGCAGAGGAGGATGAGTATCACTTTTCACAAGAAAGTGAAACTCCACCCACTGAAACAGCTCAACGAGTTAGAGCTTCAGGCTCCAGTGGAGAAGGTACATTGGATGTAAATTTGCAAAAGGGATCATGTGAAAGATATGTGCGAGCAATTTTGGGCAACTTTGTGGCACAATGTTGTGATCAAGAATTAGAGGAGAAAATTAATCGGGAAATAGATGACCAGCAATATCCCATTCAATATTTTATCAACACATTCAAGAATCATTTCTGGATTGAAGATGATTTTGAAAAGAGTGAGAATGCAATTAATTGTCAATGTTGTAATCATTCCCCTGTTCGTAATTTATTTATTGTAAAGAGTAAGGGTGATTATACAGATCCAATCTATGTTGGCTGTAAATGCGCACTGCTTTTTTATCTAGATGGAAGTGATAATAGACAAGAAACTAAACGAATGGTAGAGGAGAAACTGTATAACGTAAACAGATTTTTTCAATAATATGACAATAAATCGTTTCTAAATTCATAAATATAGTTCTTGTTTCTCAGATTTGCAAGTTTTTCCTTCTTTCTAACCACCATATAATTTACATAAATTTCAAACATGCTGTCCATATTGGTGACAGGAGTGAAATGGCAACTTGACACCCCCAACACTGTATTCAATTAAATGAATAAACTTCCTGAAAAGATGTATCACTGTTATCCATTTAACATTGTAATAAAACCAAAATGTAAATATTCAATAATGCACAGTTGATTATTTTTCTTTATTATCTATTAAACTTCAAGTTCAATTCCACATCCTACATAAATTTCAATGTCAATAATGTCAATTCTGCTGTTTACTTCATGTTAAACTATATCAAAGAAGTCATATCTTAAAACAACAAACAACGACCATAATTCAGTTTTCAAAAACCATTCACCCAAAAAGGTGTTTAAGATGTGTTCGTATGCCAGAATTTGGTCAATAATCAAAGTGGTTGTTGCCCTCCTTCTCAATTTTTTCCTGTGAGGATACATCTGGTATGATTTCTCGCTCTGTTTGTTTAAAAGAATTTCACAACCTCTTAACAAAATTTACATAAGAATTGGTTGAAACAAACTTCAAAATCTTCGAATTGACCAACACTCTATCACATTTCCTCTCCATTCAAGAAGGCAGTTCGTGAAATGAATCTTCTGATTTACTTGGATATACTATATAATACTAAACAGTAGTATTTATTTTGTTTCAAAAATTAAATTTCAAATATTAAATCTTGTCTAAAATTATTTCCCTCAATTTGTGGATGTTTAGAAGAAAGGTATCCTAATTGATTTCCTGCCACAATAATTCCATTTTCAGTTTGTTTCACAATCGAATAGTGAGTATGTCCATAAATCCACATGATAATTGGTGATTTGATTAAAGAACTCAAATCACTTGCAAATGCATGATTGTAATGTTGAACTTTCAAATCTTTCGTGTGCTCATATTGAGGAGCTCCAACTCCACTCATCATTGGTGCATGATGGGTACAGACAATCACTTTCTTGTTTTTGTGTTTTTCCAATTCATTACTCAACCATTTCACATCCTCTTGGAAAAATCTGACAGTGTCAGTGACATGTAAAGTTCTGGATTTTCCATTTTCCATAATTGAAATTAATCTATAGTCATTCAACGACTTGAATATATTTGAGAAGGATGTTGTGAAATTGTGAAATTTTGAAATTTTGACACCTACATTCTGTACCACCTGAAGTGCTTGATCTGGAACATGACTCCACAGAGTACATCCCAGGAACACAACTTGCTCTCCATCACCATTAATTTCTACAGAATTTTGATAGAGAAAATGAACATTTGCGAATAAATTGGCCAACTTTTTCATTCGATCCACAGATGACCAATAATCATTTCCATAGAATTCATGATTGCCGGCCACAATAATCACATCCCGATACTTTGCAGAGCAGTACTGCAAAAAATCCGAATAGCAATCGAGAAATGGATTTGCAATATCACCAGCAAGAATCAGCACGTGACCAATTTCCTTTCCACTCAATATAAAATTACCAAACTTTTCCTTGAATTTCAAATTGAAATCATCAAAGGAAGGAAAATGTTCAATGTGCAGATCGCTCATAAATTGAATTTTCATTTTTTTTAAGATAAGATTCGTTATTATTGCAATAAAAGATTTTTTTTAAGATAATTCAATTTTACAAAAAATCAAATGGTTCAAATACCTTTCGAATAAGAAGGAAAAAGACTACAGCACCACAGGTTCCCAAGTTGTCTCCAACCTCAGTACTGATGTAGCTCGACGATGCTTAACTTCTCAAATCGGACGGGATGAGGTGCATTCATCGTGATATGGCCGTAGCCATTCATTACCTTAATTTCTGAAATATAAATCAATTCAACCTTCACCAATTCTCTCTATTTGCAAATCTCGAAACTATCACAAGTTGATTTCTTCAAATTTTCTCTATTTACTTACTATTTAAAATAATAATAAATCAATTCTTCCTATATTATGAATTTTTTGAAAAAATGTCATCAAGTGAAGAAGGCCTAAATCATTGTTGGGCAATTAAATTCGGAGGAAGTTCAATCACTCACAAGGGAGAATTACATTCACTAAATCATGAAAATATTAATTGGTTGGTGGAACAAGTTCGGAATTTGTATCGAAAGAATTATAAATTTATCATCATTCATGGTAGGTAATTTTGATAAATTGGAATATATATATTGAGAGAGGCAACACGACAATTAGGAGCTGGATGTTTTGGACATTTTGAATGGAGCCAAGTCAAATCAATGAAACAAGATTTTGCCAATAATTTGGAAAATATTAAAATTAAAGTTGTGGAAACGAGATTCTATGTCAAGACATTGAATATGGAAATTGTAAAGAGATTGGTGGAGAATGGAGTGCCAGCTCTTACTGTTTCTCCGATGGAATTTGGAGATTTATACTCGAGTGAATTTAAGGGGAAAATTCAAAAATTATTAAATGATGGATATATACCAGTAATGCATGGTGATTTAAATTTTAATGTGAAAGAAGAATTCCCATTCTCAATAACCTCAGGAGATACTATATTGGACGTTTTATCAGAGCAATCCATATCTCATTCTAGTATTTTCATTTCAGATGTTTTTGGAGCTTTTCTTAATTGCCCAAATGATGAATCAAAGAATTGTGAGTCTGTTGCTATGAAAAATGGACTCATTAAAGCAATACAGATACAAGAGAATGGAGAAAAAGTAATGGAATTATATGAAAGTTCAGCAACAGAAAAGAATGGGGAAATTACAACTCAAGTTGTACATAGCCATGATGTTACAGGAGGATTTGAGAAGAAATTGACTTGTGCATTTGATATAGCCAAGAGAAGTCAAAATGTCTTCATCCTCAAAGCCAACACTCCAAACCTTTTCAATATTGTGGAAGGAAGAGAATTTGTTGGGACAAAAATATTCAAATAGTTTTTGTTCGCAAGCAGTTCATTTAAATTTATTGAAAGCTGCGGACTAACAGCTAATCCTAGGTGATTAATAAATAGCTGGTTGAATATCACTCGCATAAGTGAAGATTCATTGGAAGCAAGCTCAAAGAAAGAAAAGAAAAGTCCTATTTACTTTTCAGTATTAACATTTCGTGTTAATACTTCCAAATAGATAGGACACTCTTTTTTTTTGTTTGAACTTAAAAAGAGTGTTTGGTTTAAGGATTGAGTGATTGCAATTTGTTTACACCAAATTAGTGAAGGAGAAATTATTTAACCAGGTGTTATCTTCACAGGTAGCAGTGTAAGAAATAGCAGGGGAAGTATTTTGAGGGGAGGATGGTTGTTTTCTTTGGAAGAAATGGATATTTGGAGTATGTTTTTCGAAAGGAGAGGTGGAAATTCTAGCGATTTGTTTTGGTGGAGATCTTTCAGGAGTCTTTGGAGCAATTGGTTGTTGGACTGGTTGTTGTCTAACTTGCTTGTTGGTCTTCTTGAATGTGTTTACCCATTGTTGAAGATCGGCAAGGAAAGGTTTAACAGGCCAAAAATTGCCTCTTGCTTGCTTCCTGATAATTTCACCAATATTAAACCAGGAAATTTGAGCAATTTCCTTTCTGGTTTGGGTGAGGAACTTGGTAGATGAAGGAATGTTTGGAGCAATAAAAAGTTTAACTAATTGTTCGTTGAATTGTCCTTCAAGGAATTGGTCTTTCAAAATATATTGAGAGCAATCAAAACCAACTTCTTCTCTACCTTCTCTGACAGCACAAGCGACTTCTTCTTCATTCTTGTTAATCTTACCTCTTGGGAAAGACCAAGACTTGGAGTTCCATCCCTTGACTAGGAGAATATTTTCCAAGGTTTCATCAATTAAAATAACACCGCATACAGGTACGCTAGTCTTGTAATTGATAAAGGATTGAATGTGTTCATCAACAGTTTTTTGGTATGGTTGGAGGAAAGGGCAGGCAAGGAAAACCTTATCGGCGAATTGGTGGAGGTTGAATTTAGGAAGGGAAGGATTTTGTTCTCTATAAAAATCCAAATAGAACCAAAAGGCTTCTTCAATTTGGAAGAAGAGACGGTCAAAGTTTTCGTGTTCTTCTTCAGGACAATTGAGAATAAATTTAACTACTAGTTCATCCATAATTTCATCGAGAGATTTGACTCTAGTAGGGGTTTCAACTTTTCTAGCATCTTCCTTCGAATTTCTTCTTGGGGATTTCTTAGAAGGGGACTTTCTAGCATTATTCATTCCTGACATGATGATGATGGTTTGTTTAGAGTTAGTATAGACAATGAGAGTTTGTGTAGTTTTGGTGGGAAAACTATGAAATGATTAAAAACGGGGTTATACAACGTATAGACCAATGTAGAGGTGTGTGGTGGTAGGTAGTTTTAGGGAAAAACCTGTAGCGAGATGAGAATGGCGGTTTAAAAAAACGAGCGCTGAAAAATACTATTAACTAGCTCTAGCTTATTGTTCATATAGTGAACGTATGTTGAGAGAATTTTTTTTTGTTGTTTTCGGTTGAGTGCAAAACAACGCTAATTTTAAATCTTTGCGTTGCGAAATCTCCTGCTGCTATGAAACAACGCCTCGCAACGTGTGTTGTTGTGTTTGTCGGTTGTTGTATCTTTGAATCTCGCATACAACTTTGCTTGGTGTTGATGTGAGTCATATTTGGGTCATGGATTCTCTTGCTCCTCTTTCGATAATTTGATAAGACGCAATTTTGAAGAGAATGTCCCAATGAGAGACAAATCGTTGCCTAAAGATCAATGGCAAGTTATTATTAGCAGAGAAGAGTGACAAATTCAATGATGAACATCACATCCAGGAAGGAACATAAGAAAACTATTTTTGAGCTTCTAATTGTAATTTCGGAATGCACGGAAGACATGTACAGTTGTTGTCATTACCTCCTAAAACCATATTTCGATATTGAACATCAATCAACTTTATTATACATCAATGATAGTTTAATTGATAAATACAATCATTCAACCTCAATTGTTGGAAGAGAGGTTTACATCATGATTGGTCAATCATTATTAGTTACAAAATTTACCTTATGATGATTTTGTAATACACCTTATCATGTTATTTACAATCTTCAAATTTTCGGTTGGAAGGTACCATTTCTTCCTTATACAATCAGCTGAAGGTAGATTTGGAGATTAATGCTTCGCGGTTGAGAGAGTTGTTCAAAATTACTAATAAGGAACTTTCAAATATACAATGCTACGAATGGGTTGATCAAGAACTAATAGCAGTTTTAGTAAAAAATTTGAATAGGTGAGAGAGAATATCACAACATTGACAGTGAAATCCAAAAGTTCCCTTTTGTTGATATTCAAACTATAATGGGCGTGAAACAATTTATAACCATTGAAGTAGTTGGAGGAGAGGATTCAATCATGACTGAGATCACTCTTGAGAACAATGGAAAGGCCTCTATTGTTCATTCATGCTTATCTATAAATTAAGAATTGTGCTTATTTTGATCATTACGTTGTAAATGAATTACTACTATATTAAATATTGGTTAAAAACAGATGTTGAACTGCATAGAATAGAAGGGTGACTGTTGTAAGGAAGAATAATCGACTGTTTAGTAAACCTATCATTAAGGACATTCGAGTACAGTATTTTCCTGTAAAAATTGTTTTATTTCTTCTGGGATTGTTCACATTTGCATCTTACTTGTTGTGATTCTTATCCTTTGATGGTTTAAGAAGCATCAAAAGTTGTTTATCCCGTTCTTCTTGTTTCTTTTCCATTCTTCAAGATTCTTTGAAAGATTATTAACACTTTCAACAAACTTATCGATACCCGAAAGGATTAGGTTATTTTGTTTTAACAATTCGAGTGCATCTATTGTTTCAATGCTCATCTGCAGACTTGGTGTGTTTGGTAACCTTATCACTTCCATATCTTCTTCATTCCCTGAATTACGAATTTTCTCCATCACTAACTCTTCTTTTAATTGAGAATCTTCCTGAGACGAATCAGTTTTAAGGAGAATTCTCTTGGATACGTCCCATTTATGAGGTCCTGATTCTTATGGTTGGGATTCTTTTTGGGAATCACTTTCTTCTTGTTTGGCAAATTGATTGGTTTCCACTATTTGAGAAACTGGAGTTATTACTTCATTGAAATGCTGTTCTTCTTTCATATCCCATTCATGTCGAGTGATTGTTTCATTCATACATTCAATCTTATCAACATCCTCAAGGATTGTAGTGTTAATTTGAGGTTCTCTTTCCTCTTGAGGTGGGGTTTTGGCCTCCACATCTTCATTCACTGATTTATGAATTTCCTCAATCACTGACTCTTCTTTTAATGTTGTTGCTATAGTTGTTGTTTCAAGTGCTTGTTTCTTCCATTTCTTTTGATTTCTTTGGTTTCTTCACAACATCCTCATCTCTGGAGAAGCTTAATAAAAAACTGTCAAGATTGAACTTACATGTTTGCTCTTCCGCACTCATTTTCGAACAATTCTAATAGTTTCATGCATAGTTCACTCTTTTCCGTTTTGGTCATGCAAAGTAATTCAATAAGGTTCTGGGGATGTGTTGATACTATTCAATCAAGTTAAAGCACATCGTTGCGAACAAATCCTCATCTTTAATTTCCTTTCTCAAGTTACATTGTCCAAAGACTTTAAAAAGGAGATTGGTATAAATCTTTGGTTTGTTTAATACTGCTTTGATTTCATGATAGCGTTGATTAATCTTCAAAAAGGAAACCGAAAGAGTTTGATTTTTCCATTCTTCCAAAAAGGAAGAAGAGACGCATTTCGATTAAAAAGTTCACAAGAATATCACAATCCTTCATTTCATCATTGGTGAAAATTCGAATGTACTCTCTTGTTATTTTCTTCTTTTCTTTCAAGGTCAGAGTGTGGTTCCTTCACTTTCTTTGAGGTTGTTGTCGAGCATTTTTTTTAAGGCTTGTTGTGATTTTCAATTCGAGAGGGAAGAAGAAAAAGAATGGTTTAATGAGGTTCAAAATTATTGATACAATATCTGATCAGCTCTACTGATTGGGCTCTTCTATTTGTTAGTATGGATGGTAGTGGAAGAGTTATCTGTTTGGTTCAAATTTTACATAAGACCCAAGTAATGTCCCAGCAAAAATTGGAAATACTATTAATCCATGATGTGATATTGATGTTAGAATGGTCCACTTTTGATGGTAGGCTAGGTCCAAATGTTACAATGAAGGCAGCACTAATCAAAGATAGTAGAAACGTGATTTCATGAGTAAAAAAAAATGCACTAGAGGTTTCTTCTTCTTGTTATTGACCTATTTTCTGCGATCACGTTTAAAAAAAAATGTCAAAGCCTATTCGATTCACACAAACACGAAGATCTTTCATCACTTCCAACAACAACAATGATGACTGGCTTGCACCATTGCTTGCCCAAACAAACATGCCCGAAGGCAACTTTAAAAGACCATTGGCAGTGGGTGGTACTTTTACGAATGGTGATAAAACATATAAAATCATAGAGATTTTTGTTGAAGGAGGTCAAGCAAAAACATTCAAATGTTTAGACAGGTACAACAATATTGTGGTGGTAAAATTGCTTCCTTGTGAGAATGTGTTATCGTATGGAGATTGTATAGAATTCAACTTGTCACTTTCTAATGAAGCAAAGAGAACATTTTCACGATATATTATCTATCAGATGGATGGATTTACAGTAACAATCAATAATTCCGAAAATAATATTGATGAACAATATATTTGTGTTGTTACAGAGTATTGTAAAGAAGGCTATTTGAATGTTATAGGTCATTCTTTTGACATAACCATCTCACTTGTATTACAGTTTATTTTCCAGAGTGGAATAGGTTTAGATAAATTACATAATGTTGGTTTTGTTCACATGGATTTGAAACCAGAGAATTTATTCATAAGAGAATTCACACAACACAAGATTCTCTTGGTTGTTGGAGATTTAGGAATAGCCAGAAAGTTCCAAAACCAAGAAGAACAAGAAGATGGTGAGTACTACTGGGGTACCGAAGGCTACAGAGATCCAATTTATAGGAAATGTGGTACATTTTCTTCTTCATGTGATGTTTGGGGCATTGGTGTAACTTTTTTGGAGTTTATTTCAAAGAAAAGGATTAGTACTGATTTTGAGACAATGTCAGAAATAGAGAGACACTGGTATATTGAATTATTATTTGCTGAAATATTATTAACCAAACCTAGAGAACAAGAAGAATGGTCTATCATCAAATATATTGTTAAAGGAATGTTAACAGAAAACATTGACAAAAGATTAACCATTTTGGATATCTTTAGAACTATTTTTACAGAAGCAGTTAATGAAATAGATTTTGCAAGCAATTTCCAAAGATTGAAAGATGTTTTTAGAATGAATGAATCTGTGGTTATTTCATGTCTACATGAAAATGGTATGAATTTAAAATATGTTGATGATGGATATTTAGATAGAAGAGATATTATAGAAATAGCTGTCTCTCAAAATGGTCTCTCTTATGAATATATCAAATCAAATCACAATCAATTCATGTATGACAAAAAAATAATTCAAAAAGCTTACCAAAGTAACCCAGCTGTTCTTAAGTTCATTCCAGAACATTTCCACAATACTGAATATTTGGGAAATGATATGCGACTAAAAAATTCAGACAATCAAAGTATTAGCATAATTGATAGTAATGATATAAGTATCATGATGCACAAAGTTAAAATAGATGGAATGTACTTAATTTCAGCTTCAAGTGAATTAAGAAATACCTATGAACTTGTTAAGGAAAGTGTTAAATCTAGAGGGATATCATTACAATATGCCTCTGATGATCTTAAAAAGAAGTACGAAATTTGCGACATTGCTATTTCTCAGAATGGGTTGGCTTTGGAGTTTGTTGATGAAAGTATAATAGATGACAATTTGGTGCTTAAGGCTGTGAAAAATAATGGGATGGCGTTACAGTTTGTATCTGATATTTGGAAAACCGAAGAAATTGCCCGAACCGCCATTCGTTCCAAGGGAAAAGCTATTCAGTTCATACCAAAAGATTTGTTAGATCAATATGCAGTGATTTTATTTAATGAAAATCTCGAAAGCATGTTCGTATGTTTGTTTGTGCAAGGATGGGAATATGTTGAAAAGTGTATTCGAAATTATGGCGGTAAGGTAGACTATTTAGAAGGTATATTACTAAGCAAATCAGAACTGAGTACCATTGTATTAGCTAGTGAACAAGGTGATTCAAATGCACAATTTAATCTTGCAGTTATGTATGAAAATGGTGAAGGAATATTACAAGATTATTCAAAAGCATTTGAATGGTTTTTAAAAAGTGCTGAACAAGGTGATTCAAATGCACAATTTAATCTTGCAGTTATGTATGAAAATGGTGAAGGAATAGTACAAGATTATTCAAAAGCATTTGAATGGTTTTTAAAAAGTGCTGAACAAGGTTATTCAAATGCACAATTTAATCTTGCATTGATGTATGATAATGGTATTGGAATATTACAAGATTATTCAAAAGCATTTGAATGGTATTTAAAAAGTGCTAAACAAGGTGATTCAAGAGCACAATTTAATCTTGCATTGATGTATGAAAATGGCAAAGGAGTAGAACAAGATTATTCAAAAGCATTTGAATGGTTTTTAAAAAGTGCTAAACAAGGTGATTCAAATGCACAATTTAATCTTGCATTGATGTATGAAAATGGCATTGGAATATTACAAGATTATTCAAAAGCATTTGAATGGTATTTAAAAAGTGCTGGACAAGGTTATTCAAGAGCACAATTTAATCTTGCATTGATGTATGAAAATGGTATTGGAATATTACAAGATTATTCAAAAGCATTTGAATGGTATTTAAAAAGTGCTGAACAAGGTTATTCAAATGCACAATTTAATCTTGCATTGATGTATGAAAATGGTGAAGGAATATTACAAGATTATTCAAAAGCATTTGAATGGTATTTAAAAAGTGCTGAACAAGGTGATTCAAGAGCACAATTTAAGCTTGCAGTTATGTATTATAATGGTGAAGGAATATTACAAGATTATTCAAAAGCATTTGAATGGTTTTTAAAAAGTGCTGAACAAGGTAATTCAAGTGCACAATTCAAAATTAAGGCTTTAAAGATGGAATAACATAAAATCCGTTAACCATTTAATTTTTCACCATGTTTGTTTTATTATTTAAATAAAGAATGGATTGTATGGATTTTGTAATAAATTTGGCAAGTTTTCAGATTGTGCTTTGAGAATTAAATTTGATAAGTAATTGTAATATTCACTTGGGAATGATTGGCTCAATTGTTTCATTAGGTATTTACTGGTATAGTAGAGAATGGTTGGGTTGAATTTCTCTTGTTGTAATAAATTCTTGAAAAAGGTAATTCCACCAATAGATTCCAATACATTAACAGACTTGTTACATTTTTCAATTATTAAAATTAGTAATACAGAACAAATAGATGACAATTGGCTTGATTGTTGTTGATTTGAATGCAAACTTTCGAATAAATAGTACAATATACTAATACTGATATCTTTCAATAAATAAAAAGGTATTGTCAAGTATCCATTCAAAAACATTTCACACATATCCAAATTAAATAATTCATTAGATGATTTCAATGAAGACTGAAGAGAATTAACAATGGAAATAAAATCAAACACAATATAAAATGATTTGATGAGAATGTGTAAATTAGTCTCTTTTCTGTTAACAATACATTCTAATAGAGATTCATTAATATTCTTAATCATAATCTTGACTAGATCGCCATGTGTTGTACATTTTGATTTGAATAATTGAATCTTCTTTTCCAATAAATTCAAATAGAGAATTCTTACTTTAGGATTTTCATGATTAATCATATCTGTCATTAATTGATTAAGTTTCAATTTCAAATCTTGATAATATTTTGGTGTAAGATTATCATAATCTTCAAAGAATTTGATAAAATTGAATAATACCAATTCACCTTGTCTTAAATCATCATCACTTTCCATAAATGTTGATGATGAATTAGTTGTTGTTGAATTTACACTACTACTAGCCCCATTAAAGGAACTATTGAGACCACTACCAGTAGTAGCATTGCCACCGCCACCACCAATACCAGAACCACTCATGTTTGGTCCATTGGAAGTAGTATTAGTAGCACCTGTACAATTAAAGATTAAATCTTTAATAATTTTTTCAAATAAATTAATATTACTCATGTTCATATTATTTAAAATATTTGTTGTGTAATTTTTAAATTCAGAGTTCAAGTATTTACAAGATAATTTTTGTAATCCAATAATAAACTTCATTAAATTATCAATTTTGAAAAAGAATGTTTCGGATTTTACAAAGTTGGTGTATAAGAATTTTGTGAATAATTTTACAAAAGTATAATGTTTGTCAACGTTTGGAATAAATTTGAATAGTAAATGTAAATATAAAGGTAAATTTGATTGATCAAATATTAAAAATAAATAATCTTTTTGGAATGACTCCATATCTGGTAATTCCAAATTAATGATATAATCAAATATGATTAAAAATAAATTATACTTGCTATTTAAATTTAACAAGTGATTATATTCTGTATAAAGTTGAATAATGGAATATATTGAGTTTGGTAATTTTTTAAGCAAATTATTTTGATGATTAATTTGAAATGTTAATAGAGAAATTAAAATATCATAACAATTATATTCCTCATTAAAATTACTCAGATTAAATAAAATCAAATCGAATACAATTCGAACATCCAATTGATCAATTAATAATTGAGGATTTAACTCAATTATAATGTTATTATTCAAATTAATATTTGTGTTATAAATAATAAAATGATGATACAGGAAATAAATTAAAATCTCACTAATCTTGGTCTTGATAAATGAATCGTTATGGTTCATTGTAAAATAAACCAGCGACATGTCGCAAAACTTGGAAAACAAATCAGAAATTACAAATTCAATATTTGGAATATTCTGATAGAGATTGAATAAATTAGTAACATAATAATAAATATTGAATATCAGTTTGAAAACATAATAAATATTGGTATTATCATTGGTATCTAACATTTCCAAAAAGAAACTATTCAATTGCTTCATAGTTAATTTAGATTGATCATTTCCATAAATAGTGTGTGAAATCATTACTGTAAAGAATAGGCAGGCATCATTTAACTTGATTTCATCGCCATTAGAATTTATAATTTGATTCAAAATAGTATTGAACTGATCATAATTTTCAATAATAGATTGAATATACAAGTCATTGTTATTCTTGTATTCATAATATTGTTCAATGTATTGTGATAGATTTGGAAGCAAAATTTCATCAATATTATTCAAAACAAATTCTTCATGTTGAATTTCACTCTTGATACTTTGAATTTGGTGTTTAATAGTATCCATATTTTCAATATTTAAAATCTTGTTACTTTTATCAATTTCTGCTTGTTTATCTTCAAATTTAGTAAATTTTCTAAATTGACTTCCAAAATAGATGAAATCCATGATAGTTTGATCAATTTCATTCTTTGAATCACCTCCAATGGATGCACCTCCTAATGATGTGAATGATGATGATTTTTCATTTAATGAGTAGTTATTATTTAATACATCATTATTTAATAATCTATTCTTGTATAAATAATATTCAAAAACTCTTGAAGTTAATCCTGAAATTCTCTTATCATAATTTAACATGTTTAATATGAGAGTTTGATTTTTCTGTAAAATTTTAATTAAATGCCTATGTAAATATTTAATACAGAATTGTAATTGTGTTTGTAAATTGGCATTTAAATGTTTTTTTGATAAGCCATCTTTACAATAGTAATAAATATTTTTATATTGATCCAATAATGAATCATCCCTCTTGAATGTTGTAAGAAAGGTCTTTAATAAATATAAACAAATTAATAAAATTGATACAGAATCTTCATTCTCTTGCATTCTTTTCAAAATCTCCTTATAAATGTAAACTTTACTGTTTTTATCATTGTGATATTTGAAAAGTAATTTGAGTGAATATGAATTTTTAAAGTAAATATTACTATGTTTCGTATTGTTATTGTTATTCAATGCATTATCATATAAAACATATTCATTATTCAATAATTGACTATTATTACTTATTAGAGTACTAGCACTTCCAATAAATGATTGAAATGTATTTAAATTTCCACTATATGAATTAATAGAAGTTGAATTATTTCCTCCAATAAAACTTCCACCAAGTGTCGTATTACTTGTCAAATTTGATGAGCTCGAATCAGAGCCACTCATCGATGTTAAGTGATTATAAATAATATTCATTGATGAATGATGTTGATTATTGAGAACAATATTATCCTTTTTAATTATACTTGTCAATTCCTCAACTAGATCATGAATTATATTTTGAATGAATAAACTTTTAGGAGCATTCTTTGTTTGATCCTTTACATAGGTAAGTGATGATCTCAAATTATTGGAAGTATGAGTAATGCCATTCAGGAAGGTTGGATCCATCATGAGTAACATGATATCATCGGAATCTCCTCCATTTGCAGAGGAAGTAGGTGCACTTCCTCCACTCAAATAATTATTACTTGGAGTACCAGCAGATGATGTAAAATTGAGACTATTTCTTGGAGTGGTCACAGAGGAAGGTGATGAGAATAGATTTGTTGTAGGTGATCCAAAGTTGGTTGATGATGTAATCACTCGAGGAGATTGATTTGCATTATTATTAGTATTGGAAGGTGAATTGAATTTTGTATATTGTATTGGAGAATTGGGTTGTTGGAAGGGAATTGAGGAGGCTGTTCGGTGGTGTAAATAGTGTTGCATCTCATTGTAGCCTGAGAGTGATCCATTCTCAAAGGAGTGTCTTCGGTTAGGATCATTGTGATGACTATTTAAATATTGTGATGAGGAAGCTGCAGTTGAGGATGGAGGTGGTGGTGCATTTTGAGTTGATGTTGGTTGGCCATTATTTGTAGTGGGTGTTCCAAAAGCAACACTCGAATGAGTAGAGGCAGATGAAGAGGATGGTGTGCCAACAAGTCCTCCTTGTGGATGATGAGACATTTTTTGGTGACTTTTGAAAGAAGATGGTATATAATAATAGTATTACATGTCTCTCTAGTTATTAACAAACTCTTGCAAATATATTGTTGATGAAAATTGATAATAATAACGAGCAAGAAGAATTACAAATTAATTATAAATATTTTAAATTATTATTATATTTAGGAGTGGAAGAGTGTGTTGTGTGTTGTGGGAAGTTTTGGGAAGTAATAATTGGGAGGGAGAATGAATTTAAATCTGATGATGATGAAATTATGTGAGAAAATTATCCACAAACACGAATATTTAAAACACAATCATCATCATTGTCATCATTATATTATCTGGGAGGAAATTTAGAAAGACTGAGCAGCAGCGGATTCCATTTCAATCTTTTCAAATTCAGAAACAATAATATTTTGCAATTGCATGCCAAGGTATCTATCAGATTGCTCCAACATCTTCTTAAGTTCGTAATATTCTGGATTAATTGGTTCAGCAGCGGAATAAATAATATAGGCAATAGCAGCCCATTCAGCTAAATGTTTAAGAGATTCCCAATTCTTTTCAACTTTCTTGGTGTTTGGACCAAAGAATTCACGATAAACAAAGTTAGTGATAGGTTTTAATGGATTGAACATTTTTTTCAATTCAATCAACAATAATTTTTTAAAAAGATTGAATTTGATTGGGTAACTAGGAAGAAGAGAGGCTTTGCTGCATCAAATATTTAATTCATGTGATGAAGTACAATTAATAATAAATTGATAGTTGTTTAATCAATTCGGAATGTAATTGATAATGAGAGGAAAATTTAAACATCATGATGCAATGTTTCTTTTTCAAATTACGTTAAAACTCACACCATGTGATTTATTTCAATGCTTTGATGAAGTTGTGGAAACATTAGAACTTGTACTCATTAGACTATCAGTACTGGCACTTGAAAGTCTTCGTCTTGATATCAAATCATTTGAATCGGCATTTCCATTAGAAAAGACTTCCATTAGACTTTGTAAACGTGGTGAAACAGCTGCTGGTTTGATTTGTTGAGTTTGAAGATTATTGGATTGACCATCTGTTTGTTCATTTCTTTCGAATACTTGAGCTAAAAGACCAATCTTGGACATTTTCCTCTCGAATGGTGGTCTAGGAGATGTTTCTGTTGAAGAGCTAGTTGGACTACTGCTAGTTCCAAAAGGTGATAAATCTGAATCCAAATTCGTATTTGACATTGCAGAGTTTGGTGTTGTTAAGCTGCTTGAATTTATCAAATCAAAGATAGATTCTGTGAATTTGGACTTGTTGGAGAGGAGGAAACTGGCACCAACACTTCCACTGGCCATTGAAGCATTGGCAGCTGTTTTCCTTCTTGAAGACATAACCAAATTCTGATAAGCTTCAGTATTGGTGAATCTACTGTATGTATCGAATAATACCATTTCAACTTCCTTGTTTAGTCTGTCGAATAAATCGAGAGGAAGTTTAACAAATGTTTCATCTTCACCTTTAGTTCTGAAAATTTGTCTTGCAGCTGTGGAAATTAGACGCTTGTTCACATTGACTTCTGAAGGAGAATCAGAAACAAGAAACTTATCATACATTTTCTGAGCGAATTTCCATCTTGCCTCCATATCTGTAATTGTTTTATACTTCTCGACATGATCGTAAAACTCAATATTTTCAGTACTGCACTCAATTTCTGAAAATGCACGAAGGTAGGATCTATAGTTGGTATTTCTCAATACCTCCTCGAAAGAAATTGGTTTAGAGGTGTCATTACCAACAAATTGTTCAAACATCAAACAATTACTTGAAAAGTCAACTGGAGAATAGATAACTTGGAAGGCAAGGATTGGGAAATTTTGTAAATTGTTTACAGGAAGATTGGCATAATAGTCTAATTGCGTTTCGGTAATATTTGATTTTTTCAACAATTCAAAGAATGGAGCTTGATTGGATTTTCTTAGATGTTTGAGAATAAAATTCAACACTCCAAATATTGAACCATTCACAGGACTGAAATCTTCCTTGTATTGGTGGAATAATGCTGGTAATTCAATGGAACTTTCTGTGCAAGCAAAGTTTTCATTGATATATCGTTTAGTACTTGACTCGATAATTCTTTCCATTGTTAATTGATCTATAGCTTGTGGTAAAGGGCTTGATTTTCTTCCGTCGGATATTATGAAATGTATTCTTGGATCGAATTGGGATGAGAATGAGTCGTATGAATATTGCTTCTCCAGGAAATTTAGTTGATACTCTCTGAGATAGAACTTCCATTCAGGTAACTGCTGTTCTCTCAAAATATAGTTCATGATATCGGACATACTGAGCTTATATCGACCAATAAGATAATTTGGTTCATTATAGAATTTTTCATATTCTTCTTCAATGGCAATATACTTCTTTTCACAAAATGCGTGTGCTAACATTAAATTATGCAAATTGATAAAGAAACTCTTCTTTTGATTTCTATCCAGTTTGATCGGGTCAAAGTTTCTGAGCATGCTCGTGTATCTAATGGTTAGCTTGTAATTTTCCGATTGCTTGAATGAATAGTAGTCGATAGCTTGTTCAGAAACTAAAAAGTATTCCTTCTGTATAATTGCCATTAAATTTTCCAAAATAATCAATAATTTGATAGTATAGGTTGGAGCATCCAGTAAGAATGCACTATCTTGCGGTATTGAAATGGCATTAATTGCCTCTAATGGTACACTTCCTTTGTGGAATAGATTTGATATAAGCTCTCCCTCAGATAGGAGAGATGCCTTCTTCTTTTCTGGAATCACGTTGAGTATTTGACCGTTGTAAAATACAGGATTATCATTATCAACATATCTGTAAATGGTATTTGGTGAAAATTCCAAGTATTCGTAGGCGTTATATGGTACAGGTGATAAAAGTACAAGATTATTTGAAATGTCTCTACATCCATTAACATTCTTCCTCTGTGTATCCAAAATGAAAGATAATAATTCTACAATATCAGTATCTGTCAAGTAACCTTGAGCTTTTTTCTTTAAATAATTGAAAATACTCTCACCATCTACAGTTAGTTTTATCTTTTCTATATGGATAACGTTAGTTTCTTCTACAATAGTATCCCTCCTCTCTGGTTCTTGATTCAATTGGGTATACCGTCTAGTTTCTGGCCTTCTTCTTTCGAATTCAGATCTAGTTGTACTGGATGACGTCCTAGCATGGCCTTGATGAGTGCCAATTGATAAAATCTTGTTCAATTTTTGTTTGAAATTATTTTCCTCCAACTCAAGCCAATTGGATCGAGTATAAATAATCTTATTAACACTCGGTGGACACTCAGATTTCATTTCATTCACTAATTTCCACATGTCTGAGTATTTCAAACCATCTGGCAGTAAATAGTTATGTGTCTCGTGTTCAAATAAAGGATTACAAAATTCCTCAAACTCTGTTTCCAAATTGACATTGATTTTAAATTCCTCTTCCAAGACACTTTCTTGCCATTCTTTACTTGTCAAAGTGGCCGTTATTGGATTAGTACTAACTGGTTGATTGCCATGCTTGATACTCATTCTCTTCAGTGTACCAGAAGCTCGAGATGATTTTCGCTTTTCTGCCTTCTTTTGAAGTGAAAAAGTTGAAGTTGTTGAGAGAGGATCTTTCAGTTTGGTAATTTTGTGTTTCATAAATTGTTGTAATTCTCTCTGGGCTGTTTGTGTTCTACAGAGACCACTCAAGCTCAGTGGATTAATAACCTCAGTCCACGAATCGGCAGGTGTTAAACTATCCAAATGTGAAACAAATTTTGAATCTTCTCTCGGTTTGCCATAGTGACATGTGTGATAAAACATGAGTAAATGATCTGGAATTTCTTCTTCAATTTCACAGAGTGGATTGACAAAGTCATTAATTTCCTCTTCAAAGAGAGGATTCGAATAATTTATCCACACTCGCTCATTTTCACTATCATTCTTATAGGAAGAACTTTCCAATCGACTCACTTGATTCTTATCTATCAGAATATCCTTCAACGTCAGCAGTGAATTGTTATTATTATTATTATTATTTGTGGCCAACTTTGAACTACTATTTCTTTCATTATCATCATCATCATTTGCAACAATACCAAAATCATGAACATCATTCGATAGTGTTGAATTAGTGGAAGATTCGGTTTTTTGTTCAGTGGAATTCAGCTCAAATTCAAAGTCATCACTATCCAAATCAATTCTCCTCTGCACATAGTCATGTTCCTCATCGAGGTCCTTTCTAAATCTCACTAGAAAGATGGCACATGCTCCCGAAAAATCCCTCTTCATTAATTTACACTGTTCATGATGAAGTTTGGATGGTAAAATTTGATGTGAAATGTGTTGCTTCTTATTGTAGGCTCTATTTCTATTGTAGCCGTCAATTGTATTCAACATGAGAGAATCTGATGAACTATCGAATGTAAAGGAGGAGGAAAAAGTCGATCGATTACTTGTACCAACACCACTCAAAACACTACTACTCGTATTTTGATCATTCGATGATGAAGAGAGGGTATTATCCTGACATTCGTCGTTATGCATTGAGTCATCAAAATTATTTTCTTCGCAAATTGATAATGTCGATGATACTGATGTTGAAATAATATCATGTGATGATGATAGGGCGCTACTACAAATAATGATCGTATTGTTGTTTAGACTATTGATAGTATCGGTCATTGCAATTTTCTTGTTTGTTTTTGTTACAAGACGACGACGACGATGATTCTGAAGTGCAAGAGTCAGCAATCAAAAGAAGGGCGGATTTTAAAATCGTTTCACACCTGTGTCGCTGATTCTATTTTTTTTTGATATGACTGTTCGTTATCAAAAGTTGTGTTTGTAAATCAGGTACAAAGCTACTTGACTGTTCCGTTAAAAGTACGTGACGATTGATTGAAATCAGTGATAATCAAGATTTAATTCAATTATTTTCATTAATTTCTGTAATAAAACGATCCTCTGTTTGCTACTTGTGTTGCATTTGCAGCTGAATCAGCAGCAGCTTGTTTTTCTCTATTATATTTTCGTTTCAAGTAGGCGATAACAACTACGGCAATTACAAGACAAGTGACAAAAGCAAGCAATATTGAGGCTGCGCCAACTCTAAAGTGGAAAGGAATAATTTGGCTCTCATCAGAAGGATTGCTTTCTTCTGGAACTACCTCAGATTGTTCAACATGCAATATTTCACTACCATGCAATGTGAGTCCAATCTTTTTTAGATGTGCAACATTGGCTACACTTGTGTAAATTGAAAATGACCAAACACCAGTGGCAGTTTCATTCCAGAACTGAACAGATGTGAATGTTTGATCCTCAATATCACTAGAGTGGTCATTTCTTCTACCTCTGCCCATCATACTAATAGTTCCAGCTGGGGAACGAAGAGCAAAATAAACACTACCTCTAGATGGCACTGAAACAGTGAGACTGATAACAGCTGATTCTACTTTCATTTTCTTTTTAACTTCAAAGAGAACAATGGTTGGACTGGTGCTACTCTCGGAAAGTTTGAGTCCCTCTGAACCCAATTCAAGATCTGGTCCAAATGATTCAATGAGATATGGAGAGGAAATTAATGACCAACTCATTGCTGCTTGAACAGCTGCATAAGCATCAATTCTACCAAATCCATAATGAATGTTGTGATAGAGGCCGGCTCCATTCTTAATCCATTCTGAATGAGTGAGGTCAGTTCTTTTTGCTGTTGCAACAAGAATGTGTTGAACATCTCTCCATGTTAAATCTCTTCTTGCCTGCAATATGAGTGCCAAAACACCAGCTGCGAGAGGGCATGCAGAGCTAGTACCTCCAAATGAATCATAGCAATCCCCACTGGTGTATCCATTACTTCCTGTTCTATCAATGGTGACAATCTTACTTGTGAAAGAATAACCACCATTGTAATAGTTATTTGATGGAGCATTAATCAATGTGCTTGTACCAGATTCACTATAGTCACTTCTCTTACCACGCCAATCAGTGGCAGCAACGCAAATAGTGTAGGGACTATTGGCCAATTCATCCCAATCAGAAGAGTCTCCATACTTGGCACCATTACCACTTGCCCAGACATAGATATTTCCAAGACCATTTCTTCCCTTTTGAATACCATTTACCAATGCCATAATAGAGAGTGGATATCTTTCAACGGTTACACCATCATCAGAAGGTCCATAACTATTACTATAAATATCAATTCTATCATTGAAATGAGAAAGAGCTTCAGCAACAACTGAATCAGAATAGGCATCACCTAAGGCACGAATTGAGGCAACATTGGATTCAAAAGCAGCTCCAACACCACACTTGTGATTATTGGATCGGCCACAACAAACACCAGCACAAGAAGTACCATGATTATCACCACTACCTCCTGGAGCTCCATACTCCGAAGGAGTTCCATAAGAACTCACATCCTTACTCAAATCTTCTTGAAAACCACATTCCAGATCAGGATGATCATACTGCACACCATCATCAACAATTGCCAATGTTATATTGTATCCAGCTAAACGATATTTCTCCCAAACAGGCCAAATATTTACATCATTTCCAGGTGAACCAGAATCTTGATCTCCAAAACCAACCGATTGTGATTGCCCATTATTCTTCAAGTGCCATTGCTTTGGGTAGAGTGGGTCTTGTCCAATTATTTCCGAAACTGATACATTATGTTGATGAGAGAGTAAATAAAATTGTGAACATTCTGATAATGGTTTTCCACTGACCATTGATGTGGGTGATACGACAAGTAATAGCATCACCATCATCATGATTAATAAATATGTTGTTATCATCATCACTCGCTTGATATTATTATTGTTCATCATATTTATCATTAAACACTCTTCAAAATTCCTTTTAATTTAAATTCCTAAAAAACAATATATATACAAATCCACACTAATAACAACACTACTATTGCTCAACAAAGTACAGCGGGTTATTTAGAAGTTTTTGATGAGGAATTTTTTTAGCATCTATTAAATATCCAAAGCAGTTCGAGAGTAGAACATAATTAGATGCCTGACAAGATAATGTTCTTAGAGTGATGATCTATTCATTATCAGCTTAGTTTAATTTGCTAACAGTCTGTGCTTATTCCATGTCGATAATTCTTTAAATTCAAAAATCATAAATTGAGAATAAGGTAAAAAAAGGTAAATAATTGTACATTATTAAATTTTATGTGTCACATTTAAATTACATTAGAATCTATACAAAGTTTCCAAAAAAACTTGAATTATTAATCAGAATCATCACTATCACTATCTATGCTCTTGGATCCTTGCAATGGTACATAGTCAGCAGAAGAATCTCCACTGCCTCCCTTTCCACCACCAAATTTAGTGGCATAGACGTGTCTACAACAATCAAACATACATACAATACAAGCAACAGTTGCCAAACACAAAGAAATTGGTGGAACAATTTGTAAGACAATGTTTGCATCCATAACAGTTTTGTAAGTGTCACCCTTAATAATGAACAAGATATAATAAACAATTACACCAATGTGCAACAAGGCAGCGATAATATCAAGAATGATACCAACAACCTTTTGACAGAGGCCAATAATCAAAGCTAAAAGAGTCAATACTGCCACAATGAAAACTATTTCCAAATATTAGTTTCTCCAAAATGTATCGATAACTTACAAGGACACATATGTAACCAGAAGGTACCATTCGAACAAACATCATCGGAAGCACTACTTGTCGATGCACAGAAAGTTCCTTTAAAGATAAATGGCACAGACTGTATTCGGGTAAGAAGTAACACAGAATTTAGCACGATCATTATACAAATCATATTATCCACAAATCATGTCCGATATTAATATTTGACCATCATGATGAATATATACAACCAATTTACAATGATGACTCTCGATAAACAAAAGCATAAATAATAATACTAACAAATTCAAAAGCCAAAAACAAAACAGTTATGGCCAATATAATAATTGTAATAATATGTCTCTTGAGAGTCTTGACGATTCCTCCTCCTGCGGCAGCCATAGTACTATTGATTGTGTTTTAAATTCCAAGCAGCTGCTTCTTGTTTTTGAAAGGGTGGTTGGATATTTTTTTAAATAAAAGAGAGCTCTGTGCCGCACTCTGAAATATTTTGTTTCAGCATTGAAGATGAAAAGTAATGAGGTGGTGAATTATTTTACCCTTTCGCTGAACATCAATATTTTTATTATTATGATACTACAACAATGTCAAAGTAAGAAAATAGAGTGGTTGGAAAGCATTGTGTCTTGCTACATGTATCATAATTAAGAAGAATAAATATTGAGAATCGATTAATAAATTTCTTTTGTAAGGATTCTAAATGAAGATCAATTCCATGTTTGTTTTGACGTAAAACACTCCAATATACAGTGTTTCTACTTTGACAAAAATAGCCAGGTATACTGATTGTACAATTTTGGAGGGAAACTAGACAAAGAATACAATAAATTATTTTATTCATTGTAATTTTCATAATTATTATTATAATTATTGTTGTAATTATTGTTGAACTTTTTATAGCCTCCTTGCTTCCAATTTGATCCACCTTCTTCATTGTAAGATTCAGAATTACTATTATCATTATAATTATTGTCGTATTTGTTGTTTCGATAATTGTCTCCATAACCCTTATTGTTACCATAGCTGTTGTTGTTGTTATTATAGCTATTGTATTTGTTTTCATATGTATTATTATAAGAGTCATCAACTTGCTCATTTTGATAATTAGTATCATTGTTATTGTCGTAATTATTTTCAGAATACTTGTTATAGTTATTATTTCTATTAAATCCACCCTTGTTATAGTTATCTCTATTATTTCTATAATTATTGTTATTATCTTGATTGTTTTGGTCGTATCCTTCTTGTTGCTCGTTGTTATTATTGTTATAGTTATTATAATTGTTGTTATAGTTTCCTCTATCATTTCTATTATAACCTCCTCTATCATTGTAAGAGTTGTTGTTATTGTTTCTATCTCCAAAATTATTGTAATTATTATTGAATCCTCTATCAAATGTCTTTTGTTGGAAACCATCTTTGAATTTCTTTCTATGTGGATTAAGAACGTCAACACTGGCTAAACCTCTCTTGAGAGATTCTACTTTTTGCTTGTGTGAAGTGGCAATAGACCGTTTGATTTCAAAAGTCTTCTTTGGATTGACAAGATAGTCTCTTTGATGTTTGATAATGTTATCTGTACCTAGAGTGTTATTATTGAGCTTGTTCATGAAACTTTCTACAGGTGCAGCATTCTCCATTCTTTCAATAGTTTGTTCAACAAAGACTTGTTGGAAGTGGAACAGAGGATCCTTAGCTTTGATTTCAACTTGTAATTTCTTACTGACCAAAGATTTCATATCGAGAGATTTTGGCTGTAAGGATTTGCCCTTGCTGTAGACATCAGTCTTGCTTCTAATTGTATCTCCCTTAGCTGTTATATTGGCAAGTAAACCTGCCTTAAGAAGTACAGGATCTTGTCTTACCAATCCTGGATTAGCCTCTTCAAATTCAACATTGGATGGAGGTTCCATATCGTGAGAAACTGGCTTACCCATTGCAAGTCTTATTTGATTGGAAATTTCCATCTCAACAGCTTCCTTATACTTGTCAGCGAATGCCTTGTTAAAATGCTCAACAAGTAAACTAGCACGATATTGGTTTTCAAACACTTGGTCCATATCAATGTGAGGATATGGAGTTAGGCCATCCTCAATACCATATTTTGATTCAATTTCCTTCTTTAAATTTTCCCATTCTGCCTTATCAGCATATGGTTGAACAAATGTGACTGAAACACCAACATTACCAGCTCTGGCAGTACGTCCAACACCGTGAATATACTCTGTACATGATTTAGGCAAGTCAAAGTACAAGACTGCAGCAACTCTCTTGTAATCAATACCTCTAGAAAGGTGAGAAACTGTTGTACTGTGCTTGGTTTTATCAATACCTTTGGCACGTCTTTCTAATTGTTCAATCATTTCGGTAAATCTATTGGCAACATATAATTCATCCTTTGCTTTTTGATCTTCTTCCTCATTGTTTGCTTCTGGTTCCATGGTACTGATCAAAACTTGATATTCATTAGTATTGAATCTCTTAATAATATCAATTTTAGAAAGTGTTGGATAGAAATATGGCAACATGGCACAATTTACACCAAAAGCTTTGAGTCCAAAATAGACAAAGAATAACTTATTTGCAGGCACGTAAACTATCACTCTGCCTCCATAAAATTTGTGATTGATAAAGTGATAGAGAAGCATTATAGAGTTAACCTTGATGTTTGGAAGTTTGGCTTGCATAATGTTCATATCTACATAGTATTGATAGAGTTTTCCTTCTAATGCTTGTGTTCTTCTGTCAAGTTGAATAACAACTGGATCTTTAAGTAATTGTTGTCGAAGTGTAACAGCTTGTTCTGCTTTCAGCGTGGCACTTGTGAGAATACATTGGAAAATACCTGGTAAATTCTTATTTACCAAAGTTTTAATCAATTCAAGTTGACTACGAATAATTTGATCAGCTTCATCGATAATAACAAGTTTGAGAGACTCCTTTAAGGAAATTGATGAATTATTCAATGCATAGGTAAGAGATTCTGGAGTTGTTATCAAAATTGGATGTTGGATATCACATAAATCCTTAATATCTTGTTGTAATTGATTCAATTCACTTCTGAAATAAATACAATTGCATTCATCTCTACAAAAATGTGCTAATAACTTCCATTGTTGATGTACTTGAATGCATAATTCCTGAGAAGGAACAAGATAAAGTACTCGTACACCTCTCTTTTCAACTGATGAGTTATCTAATGTTGTCACATTGTTGTTAATTAAATTTTCTGCAATTTTCTTCACTCTATTTGTTTCTTGTGTAATTTGATTAATTTTCTTCTCATGTAAAACCATTTGAATAGAAGGTATCAAAAAAGCTGCTGTTTTACCTGTTCCTGTTGATGAACTGCAAACAATATCCTTTCCTGACAAGGCAATAGGAATGGCAATTTGTTGTACACGAGTTGGTTCGTGAAAACCTTGTCTAAACACTGAACTTATTATTCTTCTATCCAAACCGAAAGACTTCCAACTTTCAATCACTGGAAATTCCTTGCAATCATTCGGATCCTCTATGACTTGAATTTTATGTTTTTTAATGTGGAGGTTATCCGATAAACTAGAGAATTGTTTTTTAGCTATTGTGTGTACTTCCTCATCGGCTGTATAATATTCAATATTGCTCTCATCTTCATCCGAATAGTCAGAGTGGTTATCCCTGCTCGTCGACGATTCATTATTCTTTTTCTTGTTGTTCAACATTTTTTTTGTTCAAGTTTTTTGTTATTGTTGTTGTGAATTAAAAGTACATTTTTAATTGGAGAATAGAGAAGCATAATCTGCATAGTCTCTATCCTGACTACTTCCAGGCACTGTTATGGCACTTACTCTTGAGAGAAACTGTATTTCAAGATCATTTTCTTCATCTTCCATCATTCTTTTGATTTTTTCACTATTAACAGTTAATCCCAATTGTTTCAAAACATTGGAATCTCTTGCTTTCTTCCCTTCTTCTACTCTTTTGGGACTGGTAGATTTTGGAGAGTCATCAGTTGGAATGGCGTACTTGTTTCTCAAAACTTCGACAGGGACTTCAACATCCTCATCTTCTCCTGGCATATCTTCCTCAGCTGAATCTCCATCATCACCTTGACTATATCCCACCTCTGATTGTTTCATTTCTTCCTCATACATTTCATTGAGTCCATTCTTTTCCATCAATTCTTCCAGAGTCATCAAGTTATCCAATGGTGTATAATTTCTATCAGATTGCTCTTCTTCGTCTTCCTCTTCCTCGTCAATAAAACTTGATTCTTCGTCATCTGCATTTGATGGCTCTTCAGATTGTGTCACTTGACGTTCTTTAAAATTAATGTATTGACTTCTATTTCTTATTATACTATCAAGGTCAATATCTTTTTTCTGTCTCAATTTTTCGAGTCTTGGTTCAATAAATGCTCTTTGGTCCTTTGTTGACATTACTGAAGTGCTATTGACAAGATGAGAAACTGCTCTATAGTAGAACAAGTAAGTAGTAATTACATCCATAACATCAGTAAGCATATCCTCTTGAGTTTGACTATCCAACATTTTTCCAATGAATAATTCCAAAACATCAAATATTGGATTAATGGTTTCAACCTCACATTCAATTTCTAGTTCCTGTAAATATGACCACGTTTCCTTGCAAATGTGTATTACATCTCCTTTAGATATGGCACCTCTGAAACCCTCATCTTGTTTTTCAGAAGCCATTCTCATAAGAAGTTCTTCAACTTTGGTTGTTAACAATCCAATTAGATCAGCAGTGGCACTAAAGCTTTGGTCAGCAGTGTCTTCAGAGATAATACTCTCTGTGTCTTTCTCAGAACTAATCATTGCTCTGACTGATGTAGCGACAGATCCACCATCACTAAATGGTAATGTTCTAGAAAGACTTGAGGATGATTTGTTGAATCCAACATTTTCAATCTTCTTTGGAGATTTGAGCTTTTCAATTTCGTTTTCTTCCTTCTTTCTTATTTGACTCAAAAAATCCAAACATTCCATTCTGGAGGAGTTTGTAGTAATGAATTTCATTTCTTTCAATACCACCAAAAGAAATTCCAAGTTATCGGCATATATTCTCTTTAAAATGTTCATTTCTTGATCTATGAGAGGTTCCATATCATTTGATTGGTCCTCATTATCAGTAGTATTTAAATCATGTTTGATTGAAGTCTTCTTTGGAGTTAGGTTACTTTCCTCCAATTCTTCTTGTTCGAGCCTCTTAAGAATACCATCTGCAATTCTCAACTCTTGTTGTAACTGTTTTGTTGTTTTTCTATCATCTCTTATTGAAGAGGATGCTGGTGAAGGATTTTGTATTCTTCTCATCTCATCCCTTAACTCTGTAAGGTTAGATTGTATTAGTCCGATCTTAGCTTCCATTCTTGTGAGTTTGCTTTCCCTGAGTAATTCCTTTGAACTTTCATTATCTATTTTATCCATAGGATCTTCATTATATGATAATTCACTTCCTTGATCTAATTGGTATAACTCATCATCATCAAAAAATAATCCCTGATTTGGTTTTGTATACTTTCTCAATCGTCTTTGCAATTCTGCCTCATAGGAAACTTCTGAAGGAGTTGAACTTGTCGAACGAGCATCACCTTCATTTTGAAGATATGATGACTTCCAAGCTCCTGCAGCAGCAGCCATAGTGGATGATGAAGATGAACTCTTTCTTGATTGAGGCTTTTTGTGTTGGTACATTTTTTTCTATGAATTTTTTTGGCAATATTAAAGCGCCAAAATCGTAGTTGTATTTTGAAAAAAAATATTAACACCTTCACTGCCTCGTTGTATTCATTATTAATTTTCTTCCTTCAAGTTAATGTAATTCTCCTTCTTCGGAAGAAGTGAATTCAAAACAATATTTATTATTTTATTAAGGGTTGAGTCAATGACAATGTATTGAGAAAAATTATGAGATAAAGAATATTTACAAAAATTGTTGAAAAAGAAGGGATAAAACAGCTTTGGATTCAGAAAAACATTGTTTTTTATTTTCAGATTGGTGGCCCTTAGTGTGAAATCAAAAAAAGCAACCGCAGCTTTCGGCAAATTAGCTTTCAAAATATCAATAAAAAAATAATCGAAACTAAATGAAAGGACAAAACCGTTACAAAACAAGACTTTTCACAAAAGGTGCCAATGGTGATGGAAATATTGGATTCCCTTCCGATATATCTTCAACAATAGAATTTAAAGAAGTGACACTAATTCAAAATCACACTTTAGAAGAAAGTAAACAAATATTAGAAATGATCGAACATATTGCTTCTGGAAGATCCAGTATCATATTTTCCAGTACGTGCTTCTTTTAAAGTATTTAGACCAATTATTTAAATTATATATTAACTATATACAGCCAGAAATAATAGAGTATTCGTTTGTGGTTTAAATAACTATAATCAAGTGGGTGTAGCCAATACAGAATCTATTTTCCTATTCAAATCAATCGAACATTTACTTGTTGATCAATTAGAAAGAGCTAGAGTTATGGAAGAAATGGAATTGACTCAAGCATTGAAATTGACTAATTGCAGTTCTCACACTGAGAGCTTTCTGAGGGAGAGACTTTACAAAAAGTTTGAAAAGGTGAAATCGATTGATTTTGTAGAGATGGGATGGTTTCACTCGATTGTTGTGATTAATAAGGTTTGTTATATATTGAATTGAATTGTTTTTATGAATGATGGAAAGAATATTGTGATGGGAAGTGGACACAGTTATTTTGGACAATTGTATGATCATGGATTTAGTGAAATGCATCAGTATTTAAGGGTGGTTCCATATGATTATGTGTCCGTCATTAATGAGATAGAAGATAGTGGAAAATTGATTGACCCATTTAGGCAGGACAAGATTACACATCTATCGTGTGGAACATTTTCTACAACCATTGTAATGAATGATACCAAAGTTTATTCATGTGGTGAGATTACACCATTCAAGAAGGAATTGTCATTTGAATTGGACATACAACCCTTTCTGGGAAATGACAAGATATTACAAGTGTTCCATTTGGATACTGGTATTGCATTTTACACAAGCAGTGAATGTTTCATAATGTTAGAGAAACCAGATATTTACACACGAATTGAAAATGTGGCAAAACTGGTTGGTGGACACCTCAGTAATGATACTTATTATGTCCTTAAGGATTCTCCTAATACTTTGAGAAGATGGGTTTCCACTCCATCAACGGACGAACCATTAAGTTATTCTCTCTCAAATATTCCTTCCCCTTTTCATTTTGTTCCAGGGTATTACCACATATTATGTATCTCACAAGGAAAGTATATCTATACGGATGCCAGTTTTTTGGATGAAGGTGTTGGTGTTGTAGATGAGGAGGAGGACTTTGAATTGACTCTATCGACATTAGTTGGGCCAAAGTCTCAAATTGGAGACAAGGATACCAAGCTCTTAACAAGACTCCTATTGAAAGAGGGCTATTGTGTTAAGAAAATATCTTCTGGCTCTGATTTTTCATTCGTTCTGGTGTATCACGAGTCTTCAAAGGAACAAGAGGAAATGAAAAACAAGCTCCATAACCAATCTTCGAGAAGAAATTCTTTCATTGATATGTCAATAGTTTGTCTAGATTTTCAACTTTATTAATTTCGGTAGCATGCTCATAAAAGGTATTGCACCAATTCAAATTTTATTAAACCCATGTATTAAATGAATTATTGATTGTTCCATACGAAAGATCATCAAGATCAGCAAAGCCTTCTGTTTCTGTTGGATTTTCAGAAGAGCTTGGTTCTGAAGAAATCTTTTCGAATAAATCAGCAATTGTTCTTTCCCTGTCAGCATTAGTTTCATTGTAATAAACAAATTTACCAAACTTGTTCTTTCTTCTGTATCTTCTCCACAACCAGGCAATGACACCAACTGCAAAGAAAGCACCAATGAGTCCAACCAAAAACAATGGAATTCCCAAGGCAATAGCAAGAACATCCAATGGCTCTGTTCTAATATTGGCAAGCAATGGAGTTGTCTTTTCAGCAACATCATACAAAGCAAATGAAGTGAGCGAATCAATTTGTGTTGTTGTAAGATTTTTACAGTTAAAAGCTTGACCAACAGACATTGTGTAATTAGTAAAATCATTCAATGTTGTCTTGTATGTAGCATCGCAAACTGTTCCCATAACATCGTGAACCAATTTAACAGTGTATTTTTGATCAGCATAGGTTAATCTGAATTCATAGGTTTCTCCAAGATCATACGTGCAAGGATCTGAAATTTCTGTATCATTGACATGAATTCTACGACCAGTTGCATCATAGCTTAATGATATAAAAAGATGATCAACCTTAGTGAACCAAACTTCAAACAAATTACCAGAAGTAAATTTGCTTGGAAGGATAATCTTGAAACTAATGATTTTGGAAATATCAAACTTCTTTGAAGATGATACATATTGTCTCAAAACTGGCATTTCAGAACATAATGAAGAATTAATAGTTGGTTTGAAAACCATTGCACTGCCATCTCTACTTTTAGGTAAATCAATCTTTGTAATGAGAGGAATACCAGCAGCTTGTGGTAACGCAGCAACAGTTTCAACATCTACACTAGTGGTACTAGTTGAGAAAATGCTGGAGGCGCTTTCTTCTTGAACAGATGGACTGACATATCTGAATCTTGTTTGAGTGGTTGAACTATAAACTCCACTCTCAATGGAAAGTTGAAGATCCAAAAGTACAGTTTCAATATTGAGTTGAGGCATCTTGAATTTAATGCTTGATGAGGACACTTTTTGTGCATCAACATTAACATCAATGGATTCATCCTTATTTGATAATTTAACAAAAGCTGTATGTTCTGGAACGAAAACATCATTGATAACAATGTCATTACCAATATAACCCAAAACTGGACTCACATTATTGATACGATTGGAATAAACTGTGAATTGGTTACCAGTATAGGGAACTTCAAGGAGAGGTTCTGCTGATGAAGATTTAAAGTCAACAATTTCAACCTTTGCATTCACTTGGAATGAATTCAAATCAGCTAATTGAGATGGCAAATTCTTCATTTCCTTAGTATTGACTTGATAAACACCATTGGTTGATGTCTTTTGAATGGAAAGTCTTTGAGTAAATACATTATCAACACTGAAAATTAAATAAATTCCCAAAGTTGGTTTAAACGAAACATCAAGATTTCCTTCAAATGTAATTGTTGTACCACCTGAAACTGGTAAATAAAGCTTTGAGAATTTCTTAATATCAACACTGTATACAGGTGTTGTTTCAGCAACGAATGAGAAGGAAGATTCTGTGGAAGCAATCATTTTAGAAACACCTTGGAATGGATCCACTGTTGAAATACGTGTTAGCTCAACTGAAATGGATGTTGAATCTTCAGTGTTTGTCAATGTAATCTTATTGTTTTGAGTATCGATAATCAAATTTTCGACATTGGAAACTGAAAAGTCACCATCAGTATCAAGAGAAATAAAAGTAACATTTTCGGCTTTCAAACTTGGAATGACACCAACAATTTCAGTACCATTTGTTCCTACATTGATCAAGAATTGTTCCTTAGTATCTGTATTTGCAACAGCCATAGAGAAAACAGTATTTTCAGTGAATGGAATGTTGACTGTTTCAATTGGGGTTGTGATGGTAGTTGATGTTAATGGAATAGTTGCCATGACATTCTTTCCATTATTATCTTCTACAATGAATGAATAGGTACTGGTATTGGTAATCGGATCAAATACAATATTACCTCCCAACAAGAACTTGGTATTAGTATTAATGGTTCCCAAATTATTAACAAGTTTTGCAGAATTAGAATCAAAGTCTAAAGAATAGAGCTGAGCTTGATTGGATATAGTTTCTGATGTAATGGCAAAGCTTTGATCTTCCTTATTGAATAATACTTTAGATTGTCCCAATGTTAATCCACTTGTTGGTTGTTGATTTGTATCAAGAGTGGTTAACGTTTTCACAGTGGCATTGAATGAATTTTCTTGTAAACTAATTAAAGCAAAAACTAAACTATCCTTTTGTTGCTTGTGAAGTGAAGGATCGAAACTCATAATCATAACTCCATTTGGACTCTTGGTAGTGGTAACCAATTCTTGAAGGGTTTGATTTTCAGGAATAACAACCTTATCCAACAATACTTGTGATTGCATGACAATAGTTTTACCACATTTAGCATCTACAAGAACCATTTCATAGACAAGTTGTTCATCAGTTACAGTTGGACCAAAAGCTCTTGCAAATGAACCACTACATTGATCAGCAAATGTTGAGTATTGACATTTAGATCCTGTATGACCAGGATTACATTTACATGTATCAGGAGAAATACAAATACCATTACTACAGTTAACACTTCCAAAACAGAGTGGAAGTTCACATTGGAGTCCAACATAATTCTCACTGCATGAACAAGAATTATTCGAAATGCAATTACCATTACCAGAACAAGCTAGTGAACTGTTTTGAGAAATTCCAAAACAGAAAATCTTTGGAGGTTCTTGACTTGGACTACTGTTATTATTATTGTTATTATTACTATTGGTATTGGAATTGTTTGTAGAATTATTGGAAGAGGAGGTATTTGTGGACTTGTAAGATTGAGTTATGGTTTGAACAATGTTATTGATAACACTCATTTGAGATGTAATTGTTTGTTGGGTTGTATTACTTGTTAATAATTCAAAGAAAACGAGTTCACCAGTAAATGGATATGGATTAGGAAGGTCATTGGTTCTACCAATCAAAATGTTATCAGAGTTTGGAATGGAAGATGTGTTATCTTGATAAACTACCTTACTATCCATGACAACTACCAAACCTGGATCAGTAAATTCAACTAAAAGTGATACTGGTTTGCTTTGCAATGAACTATTTGAATAGATAACCGTATTAGAACCAAGCAAAGAAAGACTAACATTTTGAGAGTTCAAGAAGACTTTGAGACCAGTACCAATATCCAACAAGACTTGAGGATTGGAGGTTGTTGGTGTTGTGGATGGTTTGGCAACTAATGAAAGAACAAAGTTGTCAGTAAGTGGTGAAGCCAAATCCAATGAAACAAATGAATCACTGGAGAGCAATAAGGATGAGTTGGATGATGATGAGGTAGTGGTACAGTTTTTAACAACTGCTAAACCAATCTTACAGTCACTTCCGTCCTTTGTAACAGACCAGGTGATATCTGGATTATTTGACGAATCTTGACTATTGGTGATGCTTTGAACATTATTAATGACATTAACTAAAGTTTGATTATTGACATTATTGGTTAACAATTCGAAGAATGATAATTCACCGTTGAATGGATAAGTATTAAGTAAGTCATCAGATCTACCTATCAAGATGTTGTTAGAATTTGGAATTTGTGTTATGGCTGGATTTTGATATTTAGAATTTCCATCAACAAATACACTCAAACCTGGATCTGTGAATTGAACAACAAATGATGTGGCGTCAATATTATTTGGATTGGTTGTTGGATAAGTGCAAATAACTGTTTCAACACCATCGATAACCAAAATGACATGTGGATATCTAATAATTACTTTGAGACCAGTACCGACATCCAATAACACTTGAGGATCAGAAGTGGTTGTTGAAGGTTTAGCAACAACTGAAACAATAAAGCTATCAGTGAGAGGAGCGCTCAAATTCAAAGAAATGAATGACTCATTTGATAACATCAATGTAGAATTAGAAGCTGTTGCACAATTTTTAACAACTGCTTGTCCAATCTTACAGTCAGAACCATCCTTTAGTAATTGCCCAAACAACCTCTGTGTTGGTAGTATTTGACACCGGTGCTGGATTGCTTGGTGATGTTGAAGAGACAACATTTGCAACTGTGCTAATTACATTGGATAAAGTTTGATTGTTAACATTGTTAGTCAATAGTTCAAAGAATGATAATTCACCATTGAAAGGATAAGCATTCAGTAAATCATCAGATCTTCCAATGAGAATATTGTCAGAATTTGGAATTTGTGAAATGACTGGGTTTTGATATTTAGAATTTCCATCAACAAATACACTCAAACCTGGGTCGGAGAATTTAACAACGAATGAGTTTGCATCAGGACTGCTTGGATTTGAGGTTGTTGGATAAGTGTAAATAATTGTTTCAACACCATCTAGAACCAAAATAACATGTGGATATCTAATAATTACTTTGAGACCAGTACCGACATCCAATAACACTTGAGGATCAGAAGTGGTTGTTGAAGGTTTAGCAACAACTGAAACAATAAAGCTATCAGTGAGTGGAGCGCTCAAATTCAAAGAAATGAATGACTCATTTGATAACATCAATGTAGAATTAGAACCTGTGGCACAATTTTTGACCACTGCTTGTCCAATCTTGCAGTCAGAACCATCCTTTGTAATAGCCCAAACAACCTCTGTGTTGGTAGTATTTGACACTGGTGCTGGATTGCTTGGTGATGTTGAAGAGACAACATTTGCAACTGTGCTAATTACATTGGATAAAGTTTGATTGTTAACATTGTTAGTCAATAGTTCAAAGAATGATAATTCACCATTGAAAGGATAAGCATTCAGTAAATCATCAGATCTTCCAATGAGAATATTGTCAGAATTTGGAATTTGTGA